GACCAGCTAAGTAAATCAGAGAGAATCAAGGAAAGGAACAGCTAAGAAGAGCTCTCCTGGGATCAAGAAAACCTCTTATTTGAGCTTCAAAAACTTACTGTAGAGAAGTTGGAATTCAGTTGGATGAGACCACTAGAGCAATTTATGCTCCAGGTCATTGTCAAAAACAATAGCGCAATCAGCCAGCATTTGGACCTGAATACCTGGACTTACGTGGTATAAACTACAGCATTTACTAGGAAAACAACCCAAAAATATATAGTATAGAACAAAAGATGAATAATGTTCTTGACATCATAGCCAAATGAATTCTTTTCAACATTTCATGAGTTGCTCAAAATCATTCCATATTTTAGTTTTATCTTTCTTTCTTTTTGGAACATGCTTTTCTTGGAAAATCTTTTATTTTTCCTGGACTTGCTGACTATCTTTCTTTCTCTTTTGCCTTCTGTACTTGGATGTCTTCAAGCTTTCCTAGTGTTTAATAATTCTATTGTTTACTCCTTATTAAAATCTTAAGTGTATAGTACATTGCAGGAAATGTTTTCAGCAGATTGTTTTCTTAATTTCCTTTTCAGATTTTTCACTTCCAATGTATAAAAACTCAATTGATTTTGTGTCCTAGAGCTTTGTTGAATTCATATATTACTTCTAACAATTTGTGTGTGGGGGAGGGGACACTTACAGTTTTATGCAAAATAGTCATGTTATCTAATAACAGGAAAATTTACTTCTTCCATTCTTTACTTCTTCCAGTTCTTCCAAAATTGCTTTCCAATTTTGATTCTTTTATTTTTTTTCTTGCAAAATTCCTCAGATTAGGACTTCCAATGCTATGTTGACTAAGAGTGGTGAGAATGGGCAACTTTGTATTTTTTCCTGATCTTAAAGCTTTTGGTTTAAGCTTTTAATTACAAGTTAATTACAAGTTTGTCAATTACAAGTTAATTACAAGTTTGTCATGTATGGTTTTATTGTGTTGAAATATGGTCCTCATTTCCCTGGTTTGATGAGTGTTTTTATCATGAGAAGGTGTTAAATTTCTCACATGACTTTTCTGCATCTATTGAAATGATCATGTGATTTTTATTCTGTGCTATATTAATGTGGTTTATCACACTATTTGTATGTTAAATCATACTTGAATTCCAAGTATAAATCCCACCTGGCATGGTGTATGATCCACTTAATATTGAATTTGGTTAGCTAGTACTTTGATAATTTTTGCATGTATTCATCAGAAATATTGATTTATAGTTTTTCTTTTTTTAGTGAAAAAGACAAAACACAAATTATCAATAAATTATAAACTTCCTGATCACACAGGAGAAGTAGTTTCCTTTCCCTTTAGTGTATTTTTCTGGCATGAGTATCAGGGTAATTCTGGCTTCATAAAATGAATTTGGAAGTACTCTTTTCCCCTTCAGATTGATGGAAGAAACGTGAGAAGGATTGATGTTGATTCTTGTCAGAAGAGCCATTTGATCTTGGCCTTTTCTTTGTTGAGACGTTTACAATTACTGATTCAACTCTTTATTAGTTATATAGGTAGTTCAGTTCTTTTAAGACTCATAACTCAGTAGATTGCATTTCTCTGGCTATCCAATTTGTTGGCATATAGCTGTTCATAGTAATCTCATAATCCTTTAAATTTATATGGCATTAATTGTAAAGTTTCTTCTTTCATATCAAATTTTATTTGAGTTTTCTTTTTTACTAGTCAGTTAAAATTTGTCCATTTGTTTCCATCTTTTAAAAAAAACAACTATTACATTTTTCCCATTGTTTTTCTATTTTGTATTCCATTTACTTCTGCTCTAATCTTTATTATTTTCTTTCTCTTTCTTTTACCAACTTTGGGCTCAGTTTGTTGTTCTTTTCCTAGCTCCTTGGGGTTTAATTTGGTTGTTTATTTGATATTTTTTCTCTGTTTTAATGTAGGCATTTTTTAAAAAGATTTATTTTTATTTATACAAGAACTGGGGTATAGGCCAGAGGTATGGGAGGGTGAGTGAATTCACCAGAGACAGAGCAGGGAGCAGAACAGGCAGACAACCAAAACACACTGCTGAGGAGAGCAGCAGCAGAGACAGGAGAGGTCTACCATGCCATGTGGGTATCTCCCTGGCTGGCCGGGAATCAAATCCGAGCTGCAGAGTTTGCGGACACTTTCTCAGGGCTGCACTCAATCTGCTGCACCACTGGGGAGGCTGTAATGTAGGCATTTATTATAATAAGCGTCCCTCTCAGTACTGCTTTTGCTCTGCTCCATAAGTTTTTGTATGTTGTATTTTCATCTCAAGATATTTCTTAATTTCCCCTTCGACTTCTTCTTTGATCCACTGGTTATTCAATCATTGGTTAACTACTACATAATTGTAAATTTTTCAGTTTTTCTTCTGTTACAGATTCTTGTTTTCACTCCATTATGTTCAGAAAATATACTTAGTTTGATTTCAGTCTTTTAAATCTGTTAAGACTTGTTTTGTGACCTAACATAGAAAATGCTCTATGTATACCTGAGAAAACTGTATTCTATGCCTGCTGGTGGAATGACCTATATATGTCTGTTAGTTCAACTTTGTCTGTAGTTTTGTTCAAGTGCTCTGTTATCTTATTTATCTTTATTTTCTGTGTGGATATTCTAGCCATTATTTAAATTGAGGTATTTAAATCTATTTTAATGTGACTGTCTTTCCTTTTAATTCTGTCAAGGGTTCCTTCATATATTTGGCTGCTCTGCTCTGTTAAGTGCATCTATGTTTATGATTTTTATATCTTTCTGGTGAATTGATATTTTTCTCACTATTTAATATCTTTCTTAGACTCTTTTTTGATCATTTTTGACTAAATGTATTTTTTCTGATATGAGTCTCTTTAGGCTAATATGTTAAATACAATTTAACATTTTTTTTCCTACTCCATCTTTCACCCTATGTGTCTCCTTAAGTCTAAAGAGCCTTATAGGCAGTATGAAGTGGATGTTATGAGGTTTCTTTTTTAGTCCATTCAGCAAATCTATGTCTTTTGACTGGGTAATTTAATACACTTACACTTAAAGTAATTGCTGATAGGGAAAGATTTTGCTGTTGTCATTTTGTTAGTTAATTGTATTCTGTGTTGTAGCCTTTTTGTCCCCCTTTTCCTCTTTTTCTGCATTCCTTTGTATTTCTTTGACTTTTTTTTGTAGTGACCTGCTTTGATTCCTTTCTCATTTTCTTTTGTGCATATGTTAGAGAGGAACATATGTATGTGGTCGCCATGCTGCTTACATAAAACATAACAGTCTCTTTTAAGATGATAACAACTTTAATTGCATACAATAATCTATATTAAATCTCTTCCCCTGACATGCTTTATATTATTGATGTCTTTAAATAACATTATACTGTGTATCCAGTAACATTTTATGGTAATAGTTATTTTTTATACTTTTGTTTTTTTAACTACATACCAGAATTAAAAATGATATATGTGATCACATTGTAGTGTGTAGAGATGTCAAATTATTGTGTTGTATGCCTGCAACTTATATAATGTTTAAGCAATGTTATCTCAGATTTTAAAAAGTGATTTATACACCACCATTCCTATATTTTGTATTTGTGTATATATTTACTTTTACCAGCAATCTTTATACTGTACTCCCCCCTTCCCAGCAGTTTCATTTTGTGCTATTTCAGTTATTGGCTATCAACTCTGGTCCAAAAAATATGTTCAGTAAGAAAGGTAGTATACTACATTAACATAACTTTTATTATAGTATATTGTTTTAGTTATTCTATTCTATTAGTAGTTAATATTAATTTCTTACTGAGCCTAATTTATTAAACTATCACAGGCATGTATGTATAGGGAAAATCATATACACATAGTGTTTGATACTATCTGTGATTTCAGGCATTTACTCAGGGAGAGGGAGCTTCTTATAGTTTAATGGATAAGGGGAGACTGCTATATAGTTTCTTTCAATAATAGACACTGAATAACTTTGAAGAATGAAATGGTGGTCATAAAGGAAAACGAGCTAAGTTTGTTATGTAGAAGATAGAAGAAACTCTTGCTTAAGCAGAAAGATTTACCAAGTAGAAAGCTGTAAATGATTTTCCTGTAGAATGCATTAGAAATGGTAGTTAGGTTTTACAGTTTTATTAATATTATTCAATAACAGGTCAATTTACTTTCAAGTTATATGATATTTATTAGTTAACCCATCTATAAAATACTGTGTTAAGAAAATGCTTTCTGGAGGGCAAATGGCAGTTTATAATTTTTTTTTTTAAACAAGCTATTTGTAAATTGAAGTTTACTTCTAAGGTCTTTTATCTTCTCATTGGTTTATAAAGTTATACAGAACATGAGTCCAGAAATTGTTTTCTATCACAAAATAATAATAACACAATGCCCAACTCTTATTTATTCTTTGTTCTCCTATTCCAACTTGGAATTAATTAATCATGGTTCCTTATATGTAGTAGGTACTCAATAGCCTTTGCATATTAATTTATATTAGAATATCACTCATCACAGAGTAATATATCCTGAGAAACCTCGGGTTCTTACTTCAATCTAGCTGTAATTTTGAATTACATACAAAGTTAAAAATGATCTTTGGAATATAAATTAAACAACTAGTGCTAATTGATTTGTTTGCACAATTTTAAAAAAATATGCAAATTATAATAATAGATTTTTCTACTTGGCTTATCATTGAGGGGCAAGAAAAGATCCCAATTTGAGAGGTCCCTAAAGTCCTGTGTCTAATCAACCATTTAAATAATTTCCTCTATTTGAGAATGATTTCTCAATCCAGGAAACTGTAGAATGCTCTAGTGTCTTGGTAATGTATCTATCTGCCCTGGAATTGTTTGAGGTTACCTAATTATTATCTGTTAGATGGAGAAAGGCTATGACTTTGGAAGAAGTATCTATTACACATTTTTTTTCAATATGCTGACAAAAAGATATGCTTCACAAGAGACACTGCTTTGCCCTTTTAGATGTAATTGTGTGGAACCACATAATCCTAGCAATGATACCTTGAAGGAATGGAAGGAGTCCAACATTTCTGCAGCTGACATAATTTGGGAAAATCTAACTGTGTCGGTAAGTGAAACCTTGAGAAATATACCATATCTTGAATCTTATACTGCACAGGATTTTCGTCACATTTTGAATGAATTACTGCCACTAACATAAATTGTTTGAAAAGTGATAACTTTATCTTAATTTTAATTATATTCATTTTATTTAATTTATTCATGTATTCATCAGTAAACTGAGGTTTTCTTTCATTATTAGTTTTCCTATTAGTTAAGAGGCCTGAACTGCTCTAAAAGCACACATACAGAGAATAATATGACTGCATTAACTAAAAGTACATTAAATAGGCATGGTGACCTGAGAGAAACCATATGACAAACTGTTGGCCTTCTGTGTGAAGAACCCAGAATGCTTTTTACTTTAGTTATTAATACTGCTCCAGCTGTGCAGAATATGCTGGGGATAATGGGGAGAGGACATGTTTGCTAATATTTTATTGCAAATCCTAAAGTCTTAGAAAGGACAAAAGTCACTTTTCTTAACAAAATCTGGCACCTCCCTCAGAAAGAACTTCCTTACTTCCATTTTCTTATTTCCCGCTCAATAATGAGGATGGTAACAGATTTTTCACCTGTGAATGTTAACTCCTATACTTTTTAAGAACTTTTTTGGCTTTTCTCTGCTTTGTGGTTTCTCTCTTTTTTTTTCGTATTGTATTTCTCAGTTCTTCATAATCTATTGTATCTCTATCTGTATTTGCATCCTTCTGTTCATCCAAATCTCATTGGAAAAATTGAAGATTTCTACTTTTAATAGATATTAAAATCTGAAATATTCTATTTTTTTCTATTTTTCCCCAGTTACAAATCTTATAGAGTTTCTGCCACTTTACCTATTATATAAGTTCACATCCTATTATAGTCATTAGCACAAACTGTATAATTCTAGTTCATTTTACGAAACCATTATTTTAGTAAATACACGAGTTAATGGAACATTGTCAAATATAAAACTTCTAAACATGATTATTATAAAAGTACTTGATCTGTTGCCCATTTTCTCAGTTTTCTCCATTGAATGTTTTCTTTCGGAATGAAATCAATCTGTTTAAAATTCTATGTTGGCCTATATTTTACAATTTTTTTTTCTTGTGCTAGTTATATTCTCTAGAGTGAGTTTTCATTTATTCTTGTTTTCTTTTATAGTTGGGTAATTCCTTTCAGAGAGCCACTTAAATTGGCCTACAAATGAAATGGTGGGCTAAACATGAAAGAATGATGCAATAAAGAATGCTACATGTACAAGTGATCACGGTTTATCTATTACATAGTATCCCTTGCATTTGTACTCCCTTTTTTTAAAACTATAGGGGCTAAGATGTCTGAGGAAATCATTGCTTATGTCCCTCACTTTGTTGTCTCTGTCAAAGCAGAAACCCAAATAATCACATCTCTAAATGATTTAATATGATCCTGCTTATGTATGTTTTTTTTTATTCTCTGAATATTTTATTCTCTAAATAATTTAATGCTAAATAATAATATTCATTCTTTCAGTATTAGCAAGTCCTGAATATCTTTTCTTACAGACTCACAGCACAATTGATCTGGCTAGGAGAAAGTTAATTTTAGATATTAGAAATTTTAGGGTCAAGCAGAGTATAGTGAAAAATATTTTGCAATCAAAGCAAGTCTAGTACTGTGGCTTTTTTTTTTTTTTAAGTTCTGCACTAGGTGTTAACATTCTGGCAGAAATTTTCACATTATTTTCCATTACTTAAAAGGAGTTTTTGCAATGGATAATTGCTAATCTTGACCAGAAATAGCCTTTATCACCAAAGGGAATGCTATCTAATGAAAAAATATTGTAATTTTTAAGTCACTGAAGACCATTAAAATTTTTTTTGTCTTAATTGTAATGCTGGATTGTTTTTCTCAGCATAATCATTAGTATCACCGAAAGCATTTTATTAATAAAGCACTGTGCTAATGACTATTATAACTAGTTCTTTAAAAATAATGGTATAACATTTACTTTATGTATTATTCATTTGACAATTTTTAAATTGAATGGTTTCATTTCTCATGAATTGTAATGTATACCTTGCAAACTCCGTGGATCAAAGAATGTTAACTTTCATTGATTCTCCCAAACTGCTATATATATAGTAAGTGATCAATAAATATTTAAAGATTGTTTTGAGAAATAATCCCATATCACAAATTTACTATTTAATGTAAGTGTTTTGTTTTGACTTATTTTCTTACAAAATTTATATGTATTTACACTGTACAACATGTTTTGATAAATGCACATGTTTTATAATGCTTACTACAATCAAACTTACTACCATGCCCACCACCTCACAGTTACCTTTTTTTTTTCTGAGAACAGTTGAGATTTACTTAATAAATTTCAGCTAAATAATACACTATTATTAGCTATATTTACCATGTTTTGTTAGATCTTCAAAATTTGTTCATCCTATATAACTGAAACTCAGTACCCTATGACCAAAAGTTTCCTATTTCCCACACTCCTCAGCCCCTACTAACAATCCTTCTGCTCTCTGCTTCTATGAGTTTGATTTCTTTTAGATTCCACATATAAGTGAAATCATGCAAAACTTGTTTTTCTGTGTCTGGCTTATTTCACTTAGCATAATGTCCTCCAGATTCATCCACATTCTCACAGAAGACTGAATATCCTTCTTTTTAAAATGTGAATAATATTCCATTGTATAGTTATATCCCATTTTTTTGTATTCATTTATCCACGAACAGACACTTAGGTTATTTCCATATCTTGGCTACTGTAAATAATGTGAAATGCAAGGCTTTCATGGCAAGCTGGAATACTTGGGTATATATACCTACCTAAGTATTCTAGCTTGCCAAAAAAAAAAAATTACACACACAATTAGCAGTATCTCAAAATCAGCCTCTATAAGGAACTCTTAGGCAAGATTAAAATATTCACAAGCAATTAACTAGCAATTGATGAAGAATTGTCTCAGTGCCAGGATTATATATTTAGCTTGTACATATATAAGGGGCAGGACACTAATGCCAACTTTAATTTCTTATTATATCAAACTTAATTTTTACCAACTTCTAAAATTATTGAAACTTAGCGTATGTTTGAAGATAATTAGTAGACATGCATTTGTCAACAAGAATTTTTTCCTTTTCTGAGTGGAAGCATATGTTAGAGTCAAAATAAGACAATTGGATTTTGCTTTGGTTTTTCACTTCTAAATCTCAGGGCATGGACATGTGTGTGCATGTGCATGTGTGTGTGTAGGGGCACCAGGAATAAAATGCAGAATTTAGTAGGTCACAACTGTGTTTTTTTACGTAGCATTCTTTTCCTGACAAAAGGAAGAAAAAAATATGCTTTTAAAATTTACTTCAGGGCCTCCCCGGTGGCGCAGCGGTTGAGCGCTGGGTTGCGAAGCTGCCCACAGCCTCTGCGGCACTGGTTCGATCCCCGGTTGCTCCCCGGCCACCGGAGGAGGGTCCCGCATGGCGTGCAGACCTCTCCTGCCGCCCGCTGCTCCCCTCAGCAGTGTACTTCGGTCCTTCTGCCTGCTCTGCTCCCCTCTCTGGCTCTGGTGAATTCTCTCACCCTCCCGCGCTTCTGACTGTACCCAGTGCATGTATAAACAAACAAACAAACAAACAAATAAATAAATAAACATGCCTCTATAAAAAAAATAAAATAAAATTTACTTCAAATTAAAGTAAGTAGGCAAGTTTTTGGCAAATTATTATAGACTATAAGACAGTTAAATGATTCTTTTTTTTTAGAGATTTATTTATTTATACAAGAACTGGGGTAAAGGCCAGAGGCACGGGAAGGTGAGAGAATTCACCAGAGACAGAGTAGGGAGCAGAACAGGCAGACAAACCAAAAACACTGCAGAGGGGAGCAGTGGACGAGACAGGAGAGATCTACTGCACCATGTGGGTATCTCCCTGGCCAGCCAGGAATCGAACCCACATTGCAGAGGCTGAGGACAGCTTCGCAGCGTTCTGCTCAACCCACTGCACCACCAGGGAGGCCCAGTTAAATGATTCTTTAAATAGCATCGATGCCCTTAAGAATTGAGGACAAAACCCAGGCAGGTTCAACGAATATTTAGTAGAAGACTTTTATAACCTCACAAAAGACTGAAGATGATACATAAGTATACATACGTGTTTACAAAGGAGCTGTGAAGTTCCTGGGTACTCTTTATATTTACTATTCTCCTTACTCATTGTTTTGCTTGTAATTAGTCTACTAGCATCTCTAGACATGGGGATAAGAAGGAAATAACAAATCCAAGGGTTCATGTTTGCTATTTTAACTTTTTTTTTTTTTTTACAGAATTTTGAGAGAAGGAAAATTAAAACTATAATTAAAGCCTGGGGGGATCTTCTTTATTTTTTTCAATTAGCCAAGTTTTGTGCTCTGTATTAGCTTCACATGGATTATTGGCATTCAGTTTTAAGTAGCAAGAAAGGTATTTGCAGTTAGATTAGAAAAGGAAACAAATGTTTTACATAAGTATAAGGTATGCTACTAACAATATTTCTTAATAACCCTTGCTTTAGGGATATTTCTTCCAAGTAGATATTACTAGTTGCTTGCTTGGTTAGCAATGCGGGTCTTGGTGATTTATTCAGAATCTTTTGAAGGTTTTTATTTTCTGCTATTCAATGACTTCTAGGCCTGAGGCTTTGTTCATTGTGTGGACTCTCTGTTGGTGCCCAGTTCTTCAGTCCATATTTTTCTGTAAATTATTTCTTTATCATGGCATAATTCAAATTATGTCTAGATCCAGTATATCAAATACTAACGAGGTCCCTGGGTCACTTTAAATATGTTTTTTTTTTATTTTGACATAAAAAGTAATACTTTAGTAATTAATCTTTAAAACACAGTAAGAGAAACCAAAATGAATTTAAAAGAAACATTTTTATTTCAAAATATTAATGTTAAAATGCTCAGTTTTTCTTGGGAAAATAATTTTTTTGACTTTGCTGCCACCTCATGGCTAAGGCAGTCATTCAAAATGGTACTTCAGAGGCTCATAAAAATGAACACCAGGGAAATGAAAGACCATAGAAAGATCATAGTAAATATGATATTTGTCTTGCTTGTGTAGTAACATTTTATTTTTTGTCCTTCAATCTGAGTTTGAGCCCTATCTTCAACTCCCAATTTTATTTCAGTAGTGATATATCAGTTTTCCTATTGCTTTTTTTTTTTTTTTTTTTTTTACCCTTTTCGGTTGCTCTTGACGGGGTAATTCAAAATCATGGTTCTTCTTTAATCTGTAGTAATATTGCCACCTTAAACACTGCGCTTAAGCACTGTGTCCCTTAGCAGTGGTGAGGCAATAGCAAATGCCCTAACCCTTCTACACCTCAGTTTCCTCAGATATGAAATAGAAAATTACCTATTTTATACGGTTGATCAGAAAATAAAGATGATATATCTAAATGCTTTGGCATTGTGCCTGACCAACCATTCATTCTCTTTAACTATCAGTAAGTCTGGTCTTACTCACCTAGGGGTTGAGTCTTGGTGCTATCATCTGGACAGCCTGAGTTCTGCGTTGGATCCCAGCCAGGGAGCTACCCACATGACACAGAAGAACTCTCCTGTCTCACCCACTGCTCCCCTTAGCAGGGTATTTCAGTAGATCTGCCTGTTCTGCTCCCCACTCTGTCTCTCGTGAATCCTCTCACCCCCTGCACTTCTGGCTTGTACCCCAGTTCTTCTAGGTAAAAATAAATATGTATAAAAAAGAACTTAATAAATATTAAGTTAAATACACAATGTATGGTAAAGCCAAATAGTATTAGAGATGTAAGTTTAATTTGAAAAAGGCAAAAATTTAAAAAGTGATTCATGTTCAAATTTAGTATAATATACATCTTTCATAGTGGCTATTCTATCCAAATAGAATTTGTGAAGCACACTGTGCTGTCAGGTCATTGTGAGAGCCACAGTGAAGTTTCATCATCTCTGTTCTTATTGATCTTAAGAAGTTAATTTACTGGAGGTGTTATGTACCTTTTCCCCATCATCACGCCATTTGTTTTATTTCCTCCTTCAGGAATGCAAGTCTCTGCATGGAGAGTACATCGGACGAGCCTGTGGCCACGAGCACCCGTATGTTCCAGATGTTCTCTTTTGGTCGGTGATTTTGTTCTTTTCCACAGTGACTATGTCGGCCACCCTGAAGCAGTTCAAGACTAGCCGCTATTTCCCAACCAAGGTACTGAATCTACCATTTTCCTGATCCAAACATAAACCAACATAAAGCAGTTATTGCCATAAGTGTTTTAGGACAAAAGAAAGAGCAATTGCAGTCAGAGGAGGAGCCACTAAAAAAAAAAAGCTTTTGTAAGAGAGAGCTGCCAGTGAGGAGATGGATGTGGCAACAGCGGTGGAGGTGGAGAGGAAGCACTTTGTGACTTAGGTGCTAGGAGTACATATGCCCTCAAGCTTGTCTCTCCTAACTTCCAATTCCAAAGATAAGCACCCACTTTCCCGCTTACGCTTTTGGAATCAAAAGCACACACTGCCTCGCTGATTGTCACTTTCTTGCCCAGTGAACAGTGGGAACTATTCCAGCCTGACAGATACCTCGTAAGAGCCACTGTTAGATTCTCTAATTGGGGAAGCCCCTACGAGACTCATTGGAACACTATTCTCTTTTTCGTTTTTAAAGTGTCAGTTCCTCCCCCTAACCCACCACGTTTTGCATCTGCATATTTGGAAAGGAAAGTAAACAGAGAAACAGCTTAGTTCAATATTTAACACTGCAAAGTAACACCTATAATGTCTGACTCAGCCAAAAAGAAAAAAAAGAAAAAAGAAAAGAAACAAGAAAACAAGCTTTTTAGGGATGAGCTGAGGATTATGATCAAAATTATACTCTGGGAATATGTTTCAAGAACTGTTTCTTCCAGAGAAAACTTCTGTTTTTGTCACCTCTTTCTTCCCTAAAGTGGAAAATTCATTTATTTCCCCAGGAAGTTTTATTTCATTAACTATGTTTGTATTGTTTTTTATTTTTATAAAAAATTATGTCTTTATAAATAAATCAATCTTGGGGGGGGGTTGTGTGTGTGTCATAAAGACATCCTACTAGAAACCAGATCTGGTGGATAATTATGTAAGTGTTTTTGCTCAAAGATAGCTTTCTGAATGAAAAATTACTTAAAAAATTGACACATAGAATTACTTACCAATTTGTACACTCCATTGTGCACATTTCCATACTCCACAGTTATATCCCAGATTGAAAAACTAAAATGTTATCCTTCTTCAGTAAAACATATAATTTTATTTTTGGTGCTTCAGGGTTAGCATATTAAATTACTACCTGTGTGAGAAACAAGTCTTAAAATTCAACCAAGAACTGGCTTGCGACCTTATTTTACTTTCTAAATATTTATACTTTTGGGTTCATGATAAACTTAAATTTTAAATAAATATTGAAAACAGCACAATCACCACTGCAGTTTTTCCATAATGCCTTTTTCTAGAAAGGTTGAATGTGTATCCATCATAATGACAAAGATCCATAAATATCTATTCAGGTCCTGACTGATCTAAGAGTTTCATTATAGTATGCATAAAATGTAATATTGTGATATTATGTCAGAAAGTATTTGTAAGTGTGACTCTGGATTATGTTCCTGAGTACTCCTTAGTGTTTACAGTTCCTTCAAATGACAAATGTTTTCATTACTTTTAGGTTCGATCCATAGTGAGTGACTTTGCTGTCTTTCTTACAATTCTGTGTATGGTATTAATTGACTATGCCATTGGGATCCCATCTCCGAAACTAAAAGTACCAAGTGTTTTCAAGGTGAAGTTATAACATTTGCTATCTATATCTCTAACTCTGGAGGTTTAATCATCATTTAAATGATGGCTATAACACTAGTGCTTGGGATGTTCAAGGAAATATAAAGAATATAGATTAATGGAGCAGTAAATGAAATGCCCACAGCATGATTACATATTGGCCTAATATTTATATCTGCATATAAAAGACAGGGAAGCCTCTTAAGATTTTGAAATGAAGGGAGATGCATTATATTGATGTAGGATCACACAGTGAATAGAGCCTGGAAAACAGATAAAATTAGGTCTGGAGTAGTTTCTGACCATGCTACTAAGTAAACATGTGACCTTGGACCACTTACTCAGCTTCTCCGAGTCTCCGTTTTCTCATCAGTTACATAGGGCTTGGGACTTCCTCATGGGATTGTTGTCAAAACGAAATTCTTTGGGACTCAACTAAGGCCTTAGTCAGGTTTAGAATCTTTCTCTGAGCCCCTGATGTAATCCAGGATCTTTTATTTTCAAGTAATGACCAATGCACACATCTAACAAGAGTTATATACAGTTGTCAGCATGCTGTTTGTAATATAAACACATTTGTAAACCACAAACAGTAAATATCAATATTATTTTATTTAATAAAAATATTAAGTACACAGATATTTGAATCTGGATGTCAGAGTTCAAATCTTACCTCCAGTTCTTGGATCTTCCACAATTTACTGGATCTCTTTATGCCTTCATTCTCTTTGTCTACATTTTCTTTAGAGTATTGTGAAAAAAAAAAAAAAAAGATGGATTAAAATATTTAAAGCATTTAAAATGGTACCTGGTAACTTACAAGTGCTTTGTGGATATTAGTAGTAGTAGCATAGCTCACTTGGCATATCAATTTATAATTAGGGCTTTCCTGGTAGCCTCTAGAAGACTTAATTAGATTAGGTGTTCATTTACCCGATTAATAACTGTATACCTTCTTTTATTTTTTACAGCCCACCAGAGATGATCGTGGCTGGTTTGTTACACCTTTAGGTCCAAATCCATGGTGGACAGTATTAGCAGCTATTATTCCAGCTTTGCTTTGTACTATTCTAATTTTTATGGACCAACAAATTACAGCTGTTATCATCAACAGAAAAGAACATAAGCTAAAGGTATATTTTAAGATTCATAGTGATGGAAATCATGGTGACTTAACTGATATCACTTGATACTTTTTATTGTGTATCATTTGTACAGTGAAATACTGAAATAATATTTTCAGGTGCATAATTTTATTTTCTGTATTCATCATACTTTGCCTTATAATGACCTTAAAATTATTTATTTGTTTGTTTATGGTCTTGGCTGAGCTCTAAACTCTGAAGTCTTACCTCCAGGACATAAAGTAAAAAACATTGCTGAAGTTCTAACTTTCTTTACCATGTTTGAAATATTTTAGTGAAACAACAGTCTATTCTGGAAAAGTGTAACTTTACCACTTTACCTTACATATGAGATTCCTCTATTTATCTGACCCTAAGTATGTTTGATTGTATTCATTATTGGAATCAGTTACATCTTCAGATATTTCTCATTTTCTTTAGTTATTCCTTTGTTTATAAATACTTATAACAAAACCCGATCATAAATGTGATACTTTGCAAGTGACATCTTTGCTGATTTTTATTGCAGATTTCAATTATATTTTAACAGAAAGTATGAGTATGGATCTATCTTATTTATATTCTTACCCTGCCATTTTGCAAGTGTGAATAATCATAAAGTTGTTCACTGGTTTGCAATTTGTTTGAGATATGTAATGTGTTAGATAAAATACATAAAGATCATTAAATAGTTAAAAATAACCTGATTCCAACCTATAAAAACAAAGCATGCACAATCTTGTTTTGTTCTTATATTGTGGTGTAATTGCCAGCTATCTTCACATACTTTTAAAATTCTACAAAAAGATTGAGTGTCAGAGCAACAGAAATCATGCTATATACAATTTCACAGGTATGGTTGTTAGAAATATTTCAAAATCTCTGATTGGACTATTTGATAGAAGTAGTAATGACATAAATGTAAGAAGGCAGGATTATATGTAATAAATCTCACTAAAAAAGGAATTTCAGGTACATATTGGAGAGGTTATATGACTATCTTAAAACAAAGAACATTCTTCATTGTCTTTGTAGAAAGTAATATAAGAGTGCCAGACTATTTTAAAGGAGTTCATTCAATTCACTTGTTATTTTTTGCCAAATAAAATTTTTGATTATTAAAGATATATTCTTATAAAGCCCTAGAAATTATGTCTATGTTGTGCTGGTAAATGTTTAACTGCCAGTTCTTGGTGTCAAAATAATGAGATACCCTGATTTATAATGTTTGCTAACTTTCATGGTGTGATTACTACTACCATGGCCCATTTCAATCTACCTATGTGACATCAATTGACAGGAAAAGTTCTTTTTTTTTTTTTTTTTCAATTAAGCAGTTGGCTCTTGTAAGTTTATATTAGCTGATTCCAAAATGCCTCTGAATGATGCCATTTCATCTTAGGAACTTTAAATCATTGACAACTCTCAGAACAAGGAATTCCATTTTTTAACTTTACCTACTTATTCAGTATCAATAGCTTAAAATATTATTTGTTTTCAAAATATCAGCTTTCTGCAAAAGCAGAAATCACAACCTAATTACTAGTTAAGTAGTTGAATAAATGGATCTGTAAAATGTCTGAGGACCTTATGTGGGATGTCGTTTGTCTATTACAAAGAAGTAGGAAAACAGTTTTCCTAGACATCAGTTTACTTTGTAAACCTGAAAACCTCTCTGTTTTTATTATAAAATATGTGTTTTTGGTTTTTAAAAAATTAGACAATATAAAAAGTTAAAAGACAAAGTGGAAAACACTTTAATTTCATTTCCTAGAGATAACATTGTTAACACTTTGTTATGTATCCAAATATATATTTTCATACTCCATATGTTACTTATATTATTTTTAATATAAGAACAAAATCAAGGTAATAGTTCATAGTGACAATATAAATCTGCATTATCAATTTTAATGGCTGTATATGTATTTCATTGTATGATATATGTTTTAGAAAAAGTGAGCTAAAAAGTATCTCCCTTTCAAAGGATTTTTTTTTAGTCTTTATAATTGGGTAGAAATCTCACTAATTTTACTGAAAGGTTAATTAAGGTTATCAGCTAAACTGATATAGATAGTACTTGTTTCTAGTTATTAATGGAATCATATTAAAACAAAATGTGGAACTAACTGTGGATTTGCTGAGGGCAGTGGTGCTTTCTGGTCATTCTGTGTCTTCACTCTTTTGAGGTCCCTCCACCATATAACCCTAGTAGCTCTTTCTTTGTGTTCTTCATGGGACTGTGGTAGGTCATTGACATTCCCATTTCTCAAGTTCCAGATCCACACATAAATATATTTCCCCCCTCGTATGTCATGTAAATCGCTAAAATATAATAAAGCATTTCTTAAGTGATCCTTTTAAGTGCCTGCCATATAATTAAATGTTGATTTAAAGCATTTACTATATTGGGTCAGTAAAATAAGCTTGAGGCTATTTTACTGAACCATATTACATTATTTGTGTATTACTTTTATTGCAAAAATAAATGACTGTCATCAAAAGATTCACATATTGCCCCTTAGCTGCCTGGAAACAATGAACAATAGAGAAAATCTGGCTCTCTGTGGCCACTAGTAGAAGAGTCAGTCTGTTCTTGTCACTATGAATCTGAACACTTCATCCTCATCCTTGATTATGGATATTTGCAAAGCAAATTCCTTCCTGTGAAGACATACTGTCTACACTACACACTTCTTTTTTTGGCCTATAACCCTCATGTTCTATAAGCTCCAGTATAGTGTGGTCTGCTGCTACTGATTTTCCTGATAACAGCAACAAAAAATATCAGCTTCTCAGAACATTCTTTATTCAGAGTAACGGTTTGTTCCATAGCTGTTCCCCCTTACCCCCACCCCCCACCTGTTGCTTCAATGAAATGTTTGCACAATGTCCTGGCTTTGACTACAAAAAGGCACGTTTCTTCAGTATATCCCCAGACCACAAGTTAACCACAGTTTCAGCTTTTACTAGTGAGCTTGTTCTCACTTGAAAACCCATTTTTGCCTTGATTACATTCCCTGAATTCATTTAATGAATCTTTTTTTTTTTTCCTGGCTCCTGCATCAAATACCTGGTAGATTCACATCATGCATCTAAGTATATGCCATATAGCCAAGTAACCTCAGAATTCATCATTTTATTTCTCTCTCCCAAATTTATATTTTAGATCCTTTTCACTTTTTCTTCACTTCCATTACCAAAACTAGTTGATGGTCTTTGAGAGGATATTTTGCATGCCATTGAAAGTGTTTTATCACTTTGTGAGCATTGCTACATACACAGTAAAGCGGTGTTGACTACAGAGGCAAGTCTGCACTGGATAAAGCAACTTACTTCTGTCTAAGAAGGAAGAAATTCAAAATTAGCAAAACTCCAGCTCAGGCATTTATGATTTTGGAGGGTTTCTCAAGAGTGAGAGAACGTACAAATGTAAAAAATTTGAGAATGCAAATTATCATACATATTAGAGATAGATATAGTTATAAATTCATACTTTCTCTGGCATTTTTGTTTGTTTTTCTCTAAAGAAGACAGATAGGTATAGATTAACTGAATACCTTTGAAAAACATTCAAAATATCTGCATGTTTTTTTAATTGCATTCCCTGAAAGTGGAAAGAGATATTATCTTACATAAAAGAAAGTTTCTATTAAGATATAACTGTGGGCTTTTCTACATGTTTCTGTAGACAGTTCAGGCTTCTTTTGACATCATTTTTAATAAACAGCAATACAATCTCAGATCACTTGAGTAAATGAATGCATTTGCAACATTCATTTGGCACCACATTCTCTTGATGATTATGGCATTTGATATGTTCTTTTTTGCCCTCTTTGTCAGCCTGGTTCTTCATGTCAATCTATAGTCTTTTATGTGGTTAACTTGACAGATGCAGGAAATTGCTGCCAAGCTTTGAAATGAATTTTTTCAGCAGTGGCATCTGGGTATCAGATGGTCCTCTTGGCTGGCCTCTTGTCTTGCTGCATATTGGTTTTAGTGGGGTCTGGTGTAGTATCACCTGTTGCTATGCTCCCTTTTCCTCCCATATGTCCATTTCCCGTGATTCATGGATGAATGTGAGAATAAAAGCTCTGGTTCTGTCTTTATTTCAGAAAAAAAAATATACAGAAATATGTTAGAAGGTTCAGAGTTCTCTCTCTGACAAAGGGATACTTCCCTTTGGCTGGCATGCCTATCAGCCAATAATTTGGTTACAAAGACCAAGTTTTTAAAAGACATTTTAAATGAAAGGTAAGAAGAAGGATGATGATTAATTAGTGGAAGTGCCAGAAATTCTTTATTTCCTTTGATTCACATTAAATTAAGATGCTCTCATTATTGTACAACATAATCAGGGGGAAATTATTTTTGTTTTCATTATGCACTTTTACTGTACAAAGCTAGCTTTCTAAATTTAAAAAGGAAATTATTTCCTTGGAAAGTAGTATTTTTTTGCTTCCTGCAATCCAGAACCCCACTATTTGCATTTCTATCATATTTTTGAAACACTAAATGAGACCTCTAAAAAATCACTCTCATAAAGAAGGCCTTTGTATTATTGTTAAGCCACAGTGAGCATGCACCCTGGGAAATCCAGAGTATGCTGAAATCATAAGCCTACTCTCAAGGTCCCCTCTCCTCTGCCATCCTGTGATGAAAGTCTTATGCCCACCGACACCTCTTTCACCTTCTTTTCTCTTCTGGCAGGACCACAGTGTAACAAAACAGCCTAGAGGGCGCCATTCACGTTGTCCTCCCTCAGTAGTAGGGGCTAGAGTAGTTAGGTCCTTCACTACACTATATTCTTCTTATTGGCGAGTTCCTAACAAAACATGCCTCTAACTGATTAAAACATTGTTATTCACAAAGACCAGCATTTGAGTTCTATTCTAAAAAACATTGTTATTTACAGACACCATCATTTGAGTTCTATTCTATGTAATTACATCTTTCAAAATTCCCTGTGAAAAGACCACGGGGTTATATTATGGCCCTGGGGAAGCTACTTCCTAAGCCTTTTGGTTGTGCAGGATGTTTCTCTTCCCACTCTCCAAGCTCTAGGTAATGATCATCTTTCTGGAGTTATTGGGAGAGAAAAGCCATATTCATGAGGGAAATTCTGTAGCATTGGTCCAGCTGCACCGACCTAGGGAAGAGGACCAAGGTATTGAGGACAGTGCAGCAAGAAAAGGTCCTGGTCTATAATGTCCATTTTTTACTCACTGCCATCTCCTGCACTTTTATAATTTGGCAGGAATAAGCAGAAAGGGAAGGAAGTACAACTGACTTTAAGAATAGCTTTGTAATAAAACAATGAACAAAACAAAATAGTAAAAAGAAAATACTATGATGACAAATAGGCAACAGATACTCTGCCTCACACTCCAGCCCACATGAGCTTTCAGATGAACTCAAAATTGCTTACAGTTTGGTAAAACTGCCTGTAAAAAAAGCCAAAATTATTCGTCTAGAAGAATTGGTAATTTCTGCTCATGTTCATAATAACAAATTTAACAGCTATATTTATTTTTAAATTATACTTATTGAATTTGATCCTGAAAGATGTTTCCTTGCTGCACATTTCTCTTTTAAAAAGTCAATCTGTAGCCTACTGATTGCTTATTGTGTGCCAATGTTTGTGCTGAGACTGTGGGAAATACAAAATAATTATATGTTACCTGCTCCTCAGAAACATATACTTTTATCGAGGAGCTCTAAAGCAAATAAATACAAAAGAAAAAATTATTGTTCAACTGCTAGAATATAATTGTCACTAACAATTACTGGGCACTTACTATGTACCAAGCATTGTTCTAAATAGCTGCAAAGTTAAATAATTTAATTCTCATAGCAACCCAGTGAGGTACCTCCTGTTACCATTGTCCCTTTTCTCAGATAGGAAAACAGAGACACAACAGGTTAAATGATTTTCCCCAAAAGCATCAGTGGAGTCAGCATTTGATCCCAGGCCAGCCCTCTTCAGAACCTAAACCCTTAACTATCTTGCTATAACTACCTTACAAGAAGTAGTCAGGAAAGTTGGAATACAAAATAGGCCAAACCATATAAGACCTCTGAGGTGTTACATGGACCATTACCTGCTGGGGGTGGAGGGAGAGCGTGGCACTGTGCTTTCCCATCTTCGGTTTGTCTCAGAGAGAACTTACCTGGTGGACCTCTCAAAGACAACAGTCTCCAGGCCCCCACATTTCTATCTGCTCCCTGCACCTGTGTTTTCCTCACTCACATTTCCTATCTGCTCCTAGAAAGTACTTAAATTGGCAACACCTAGAGATCAATGATACCAGGCAGCACGGAACAAACACTATCATTTCTGAAAGAGGCTAAACTTATCTAGTGTTGAATCTGAAATGAATGAACACAAGGTAGTATTATATTAATATTAGGATAAAAATGAAAGTGTACAGGAAACTTAAATCTCATGGCATTACTTTTCCCAGTAAAAATCATCTTTGAGGCAAAACAGAGCAGTTGGACAGTGGGTGTATTTGACAAGTTTTTCTCTTGAACATGTGATATGAAGGGCTTCTGAGGTATTGTCAGGAAGTGATTTTTTTATTCACAACCAGGTCATTCTTAGGTCTCTCATTGGTGCAGTTCTTACTTTACTTTCTCAATTTGATAACTGGTATATGGCTGCTGCTCAATAATATTTTGTATGAAATAATAATGAATGAACAGACACATGAATTGTGAATTAACTTGCCCATTTAAGGAAATTGTGGGAAGTAGCTATACTTGATATTAACGTTATTAACCCAATAGAAATAGAATGGAAACATGTAACATGAACTCAGAAATACACCTATTAAAGTACATAGAAACCACTGTAATTGTAACCATAATAGAAACAGCTGCAACTTTAAGTGAATTACATATTACCTTTTTATCTTTAATTTTGCATTTTAGAATCAGTTGTGGAAGACAGTTTCTCTTTTCTTACTGTTCTATGGTTGTAATATCGTTTGTTTTTATACTAAACCCAGATCTATGAGAATTCCTTTTTCTTTCTTTCAACAGAAAGGTTGTGGGTACCATCTGGATCTATTAATGGTGGCTGTCATGCTTGGTGTGTGCTCCATCATGGGTCTGCCATGGTTCGTGGCTGCCACTGTGCTCTCCATCACTCACGTCAACAGCCTAAAACTGGAATCAGAGTGTTCAGCTCCAGGAGAACAACCAAAATTTCTTGGCATTCGGGAGCAAAGGGTTACTGGGCTTATGATTTTTATTCTTATGGGCTCTTCAGTCTTTATGACCAGTATTCTGAAGGTAATGAAATTTGTTTTTGTGAATTTAAGATAAGGTAGAATGTATTATTGCTTAAGCAATTTCATTTGAAATTCATTTGAATCTAATCCCCAAATTTGCAAATATTGTATGGCATGTGATGAAAGTAAAATTTTTTTGTTTATATAACTTCTTAACAGGGAAAATTATGTGGTATATTTTAGAATCCTAAAACACATATTTTCCCTGGTAAAGTAAAATTTGATATATAAATTGTTATCCTAAGTTTGAAATGTGATCAAGTTATAGGGAAAAGTCACTCATTAATTCTGACAGATTTGTGTCCTGAATGACTTTGTGAAATAAATTTTCTATGTTCTTCTCAGTTGAAAAATATATTTGCTGTTAACATCACCTAATATAAGATAGAGGGGCAAAGATGCATACTGTCTGGTCTTGGTCACATATGCAGTTTTATATTTTAAAGGTTTCATAAAACTATAACATGGATATTTTCACCTTTAAAAAAATTTGAATCCATTTTGAAGAATTTTTTAAAAGATTTTATTTATTTATTCATATAAGAACAGGGGTATAGGCCAAAGGTGTGGGGAGTAAGATGATTCACCAGAGACAGAATGGAGAGCAGAACAGGAGATTCTACTGAAATACATTGCTGAGGGGAGCAGCCGGCGAATAGGAGAGGTCTGATTTGCCATGTGGGTTAGCTCCCTGGCTGGGGATCGAACTCATGCTGCAATGGCTGCCTATAACTTCATAGTGCTGAGACTTAACCCCTTGTGCCACCAGGGAGGCCCTCCATTTTGAAGATTATTAAAGAGTAATTATTTTGATCAAATACTTGGGAATAAACCTAACAAAAGAGATAAAGGACCTATACAAAGAAAACTATAAAACACTGTTAAAAGAAATAGAAGAAGACACAAAAAAATGGAAAGACATCCCCTGCTCATGGATTGGAAGAATTAACATTATCAAAATGGCCATCCTACCAAAAGCAATTTATAGATTCAGTGCTATTCTAATAAAAATTTCAATGAAATTCTTCAAAGAAATAGAACAAATATTGATGAAATTCATATGGAGCCACCAAAAACCCCAAATAGCCAAAGCTCTCCTGAAAAAAAAGAAGGGAATAGAGGTATCAGACTCCCAAACTTCAAACTAAACTACAAACCCATAATAATCAAAGCTGCATGGTATTGGAACAAGTACAGACACACGGACCAATGGAACTGAATAGAGAATCCAGAAACAAACCCACAGATTTACAGTCAACTAATCTTTGACAAAGGAGCAAAGAAAGTTTGTTTAATAAATGGTGCTGGGAAAACTGGGTCGCTACATGCAAAAGAATGAAGCTTGATTACTACCTCACGCCATGCACAAAAACCAACTCAAAATGGATTAAAGAACTAGACATAAGACCTGAAACCATAAAATATATAGAAGGAAATATAGGCAAAACACTACAAAACATACACCTTAGTAACATCTTTAAAGACACATCACCCAAAGCAGTGATAGTGAAGGAAATGATAAACAGCTGGGACTATATCAAATTAAAGTGCTTCTGTACAGTAAAAAAGATAGTAACCAATACAAAGAGAAACCCCACTAACTGGGAGAAATTTTTTCCACACAACACTAATGATAAAGGGCTGATCACAAAAATCTACAAAGAGCTGATGAGACTCAACAAAAACAAAGTAAATAACCCAGTCAAAATGGGCAGAACTAAAAAGAAACTTCTCCAAAGAGGAAATGCAAATGGTGAACAGGCACATGAAAAAACGTTCAACATACTTGTAATCAGGGAAATGCAAATCAAAACTACAATGAGATACCATCTTACACCAGTGAGAATGGCACATATTAAAAAAACTAGCAACAACAAATGTTGGCGAGGATGTGGAGAAAAAGGAACTCTCCTGCACTGCTGGTGGGAGTGCAAAATGGTGCAACCACTATGGAAAGCTGTGTGGAGATTCCTCAATCTGCTAAAGATGGAGCTTCCATATGATCTAGCAATTCCACTCCTAGGTACTCACCCAGAGGACACAAAATCATTAATTCCAAAGGGTACCTGCACCTCTATGTTTATAGCAGCACTATTTACAATAGCTAAGCTATGGAAACAACACAAATGCGCAAAAATAGATGACCTGATCAAGAAGATGTGGTGCATATACACAATGGAATATTATTCAGCATTCAAAAAAGATAATTCATGCAATTTGCAGCACCATGGATGGAGCTGGAAGGGATCATGCTCAGTGAAATAAGCCAGAAAGAAAAAGAAAAATACCAGATGGTCTCACTCATAGCAGGAATTTAGAAAACCTAAATAAGGGACCAGGAAAAAGACTAATTATAATAAAGTAAAAGTCAAAATCAACAAGCAACTATAAACCAGAGACACACTATGGGGTGGGGGAGGAGGGGGGAGGATCAAAACAAGGAGGGATAGGAATTGTATGGGGACTATAACCAAGATGAAAATGCATACATTGTGCAAAAATAAAAAATGATGTAAAAATATATAAAATTTTAAAAAGGCAAAAGATATAAAGAAAAAAAGTAATTAGTTTGTCATATAATTTTGGGCAGCTATTTCCAAGGGTGTCTTAGTTGCATTTTAAGTTTTAACTCATTTTAGTCATCTACAATTCGAAAATTCCACTTGAATTACATAATCATTTATACAAGATTTTTTGTATTTAATCAATTATACAAGTACATTTGCAAGAATTAATTTCTAAGCTCTGAAAGTATTTATAGAGATAAAATAATGCTGAACTATTCCAATAAAAGGAGAAAAGTGAAGCAATCTCTAAGTTTACAAATATCTGGTGTAAGTAGAAAATTCTAAATGTTAGTTCTATTCCTTAACTTTAATCCAAATATCTTACCATTGAGAAACAAAGTTCAAATTTACCCACAAAGTATCATAATAGTAATTGCTAGTATTAGGATGTACCATGTATATTTTTATAGGTCTTATTAAGTGGCTTATGACAACCCTATTACTGTCATTCCCTTTTAGATATTGGGAAATCAAGGCACCGAAAGCTAATATAACTTACCTATGTTTACACAGGTAAAAAGTACTAGAGCAGGGATTCAAACCCATGACTCCTGCCTTCTCCTGCTTCTAAAATATTTGTGATATTTTTGCGCAAAAAATGTGATATTTTGGTAAGTGCAAAATAGCATGAGTGCATTATATTTGAAAATAACGTGCCTTTTCTCCAATTTTTCTTTATAGTTTATTCCCATGCCAGTGCTATATGGTGTGTTTCTTTATATGGGTGCTTCATCTCTAAAGGGAATTCAGGTAAGCTACTTACAGTAATAGAGCTGTTATCTATAACTTTTCTGAAGGTCTGTTTATCCAAATCATGTGATAGCTAAGAAAATGACATCATTGGAGGAGCAGTTTTCAGACCACAATTAAATTTCTTCAAAATGATCAGATTTACAAGTTAAAGAGACTCTTCAGCATCTAAGGTTCATTTTCTTAGAATATTTTTGTTTACCATAGATATATAAGAATTATAAAAAGTTCTAGACTTTATAACCCTTTTAGAAAACTAATATTAGTGCATTTCAAAATATATCCTAACGCTTGTAGTCTTTGATGTTATAATTGTATATAGGGACATACATCCATGAGAAGAGGAAAAAAAATAAAATTTCATGCACAAAGATATTCATTGCAACACATACTACAAAAATATTGGAAGCCCAATAATCTAACAGAAGTAAAATAAGTAAGCAATAACATTCATTTTAAATTGATAATTATGGTAGCCATAAAAGTAAATTGGCAAAAATGCTAATGGAATAATTCAAAGTAAACATATAGAAAAATAAGTTGTACCTATCATAGTTTATAAAGCTACTAGAATGGCTGGAAGAAAAAGAAAGGTAGAGAAATAAAAACAATTTGTTAAGTTAGTGAGATTCTGCATTTTTTCCTTTTATGCTACTTTTCTGCTGTTAATACAATTGCATTTATAGAATATTTTAAATATAAAGGTATAGGATAAGGCAGTTCCAAAATACTGGGAAATCTTATCAATTATTTAAAATAATTAGTTTAAATAAAAGTAGTTTTATTAATTATTACTCCATAAGAAATTACTATAAAACTAATGGCTTTAGAGAGCAAACATTTATAATCTCACATTTTCTGTGGGTCATGCATTTTGGAACAAATGAACCAGTTGGTTCTTTCTCAAGATGTCACATGTGGTTGCTGTCAGGGTGTGGGACAAGGACTACAGTCCTCTGAAGGTTGACTCAGGCTAGAAGATAAATAGCCTGAGGGTTTATTGCACAAGTGGGCAAGAGCCAACAGAACCTTTCTGGTTATTAGTAAGATGCCTCAGTTTTTTGCTAACACAGGCCTCTGCATAAGGACACTTAAGTGTCATTGTGACATTAAAGCTAACTGCCATCAGAGTGAGAAAAATAAGCGTAAAATGAAGTCACCGTGTTTTAGTCTCCAAAGTCACGCATGGGCTCTTGTATTTTTTTCTATTTGTTAGAGATCAGTCACTCTGTCCAGCTTGCACACTAGGAGAGGGAAATTAGACTCATCTCTTGAAGAAAAAAGTATCCAAAAATTTGTATAACAAATTTTGAAGCCATCACAGGTGGATTCTAAAATTTACAGAGGATGTTGGCAAATTATTCCTGCTAATGATACTGTAGTGGGTTAAGTAGTGTTCCCCCCAAATACATGTCCACCTGGCATCTCAGAATGTGCCCTTGTTTGGGAAATAGAATCCTGGCAGATGTAATTATGGATCTCAAGATGAATTCATCTTGGAGTTAGGCTCAACCCTAAATCCAGTGACTAGGGTCCTTGTGAGAAGAGAAGACACTGAGAAAACAAAGGAAGAAAACCATACCAAGGTGGAGGCAGACTGGAGTTTTGCTGCCACCGGTCAAGAAATATCAAGCACTCTGTGGAGTTGAAAAAGGCAGCACTTTCTTCCCTAGGATCTTCAGAGGGAGTCGGCATGGCCCAGCCGGTTATCTTGATATCAGATTTCTGGTCTGCCCAACTGTTTTAAGTCATCAAATTGTGATAGTTGTTAGGGCAGTGCTAGGAAACAAATAGAAATTTCTACTTCAGTTTACTTTAAATGTTCTTGCCTTATAACTTCAAACTATTTATCTAAAACTTAAATATTCTTGAAAAAGAAATTTTGAGGGTTATTTATTATAGTTTCTTTCTGCTAACGAAAAGAAATATATAAATTACTACTTTTCTATGATACAGCTAGAGTCATTGCTCTTCTAAGACATAAATGAAAAGTCACCTGAGTGTTATAAATTTGTCAAATTAACACGTTGCGTGGAACATAGGGTGCTGGGTGGTGAGCTGGAGTTCAACAGTGGACTATAAGAGAAATTGAAATAGATCACAGATCTTGGAGGAAGTATCTGGCACACCTCAGGGAACCAGATAGGGAGGTCAAGGCAGAGTGTAAACAGAGATGGGGGGCAGGACCTGGGGAACATGTTCCCTGAGCTGTGCCAGTGTTTGCGGGTAGAATGCTATAGGATTTCTAAGCTAAGGCTAGGTTGGTTAAAAGAGGGTTCTTATGTAAGGGGCACATGGGAGGTAGAGAAAAGTTGATCACAGGGGCTGTTAAGGATGTCCTATCAGAAATTCACACTTACCTGCAACTCCGCAGGCTGCTATCCAGGGCATCCACCTATGTGAAGGGCTAATGTCAAGTCAGTATCCCTATGGGCAGCGTGGTTGATCAAAGTGGATGCCAAGGCAGCAATAATGTGGAGTAGCTTCAACTCCCACCTGGAAGGACAGAATGCATAGGAGCTCTTTCCCTGAATGAACAACTAACCAACTTCGAACTTTCAGAGAAAGACAAGCACCTAGGCCTTAGTAATGAATGCTAGCCACCAAAACTAGGCAAAACTTCAGGATGAAATCCTTGTAAGATCTCTGAACACCCACGGTAGCTAGGATGACTCTTGTTCATCCTGACACTGGGTAAAATTAACTTGGAAGGGGGAGATGGTTGAGAAGTGTTATGTATTTACATTTTACTCAAATTAGATTTAATATGCTTATTTATAATTTCATGCAAAATATGTATTTTGAAAGAATTGGTTTGGTAAGGCAGATAGGGAAGAGTACTAAAGAGGTTTTGTTTATTTGTTTTGCCATTTTTTTTTTTTTGCCTTTGGCAAAAGTTCCACAAGTACTAATTTCATCTGTAAGTGAAAAGTATTTATTATTAGGCCCCAGGCTCACATAAATACAGCAGCATAAGTTTAAGAAACAAAGTAAAATCATTTTGATAGGTTTCAACAGATTTTTTCCCCTAATTCCACTCACAGGATTTTATATCCATGAGGTTTAGAATTAAACAAAAATGTCAGATTTTGGAGTCATTTGCAGTATGAATCCTTCAAATGAAAATTGAAGAAAGCATTATTAATGGCCTGTGAGAAAAGTATATTGAATTTTAATGGGGCCTCCCCTGTGGCGCAGTGGGTTGAGCGCTGCGCTGTGAAGCTGTCCGCAGCCTCTGTCCATGCTGTGAAGCTGTCTCGCCCGCTGCTCCCCTCAGCAGTGTTTTCGGTCCCTCTGCCTGTTCTACTCCCCATTCTGTCTCTGGTGAATATTCTCGCCCTCCCATACCTCTGACCTGTACCCCAGTTCTGTATAAATAAATAAATCTTTAGAAAAAAGAAAGAAAAGTATATTGAGTTTTAAATAACAGCCAGGGTCACATGGAGAAACAAGGTGGAGACTCAGAATATAAGTCATAGGACAAGATGAAAAACAAATGAAAAATTCAGAATACATTCATCATGATTATCATTATTTGAGTAGTAATAGTTAAACTTGTGCTGAATAGGACAATTCAAGAAGTATGTTGCTACTTTATATGCTAGAAGAACCTGTATGTTACCTGATTATTTGGCAATATTAAGAAACACATTATCCCGGCTTCTCACTGTGCAACATGGCAGAGAAAACAGACCACAATGTTCTCATGAATGCTGTTTCTGTACTCAGATATATAACCACATCTATATTCATTCCAACACTCCAAGAATTCAAAGTAAAGCAAATGTGCCATTTAAACAATAACAATTGAAGCACCCACACACTAAAGTGCACTTATGCAATAACATAGCTTCGCAAATGGAGAAACAGTAGCTGGGAAAAATCAGTTCTATAGAAACTGAAACATTCAGTTATAAACCAGAGGATGTACTTTATTTCTTCCTATTCCCAATTAATGATGTGTAATTTTAAGAGATATTTATGGGATAGAAATAAAAATACCTAGTAAAATATTTGTGAAGTATATTGGGAGAGATAAACCAGGAAAGAATTTAGCACTTAATGCTAGGTACAGAGGTTTTTAATAAATGTTTTTGGAAAGTATGAATGATTATGAAGAAATAAATCAACAGCGGATGAACTAACCTACTAACCTATATGATTCTGATTTAGATGATTGAGAGAAGAAAGGCAGGACAATGGGGAACAGAGAAGGAAAGATGGGTTTTTGTTGCATTTGGAATTCTCATCATGTTGAGAAAACATGATGTTTTGACACTAACAATTTGTAACCCTGTGACACGGGGTACCCAGGAGCCCTAAACTGTTAAGGGGAAAAATCCATTTTGCACATCCTAAAAAAAACACCCAGCCATTCATTTGTACAAAGGCAAAGAAAAAAGATCTCAGTATGCTCAAAGATACCTTTAATTGGCATGGATGTTTAGAGGAGAGGAAGGGAAGAAAGGACTTTATATTATAGATTGCCAATCAAACTCTGAAAATTACCCACCTGCTCTTGGGCAAATGCCCAGCCAAACAGGCTAGCCCAAAGCAGGGCAGGTGAGATGAAAGCACCAGAACAAGTCCAAGGTTCATACTGGCAGGGACCACAAGAGAGGGGGTTCAAGAGTCCCAGGAAGCTGGGACAGAAAGAAAGACCCAAAATTCAAAATGTAGCATACACTGCAACCAGAAGGCCAAGATCAGGGCTGACAAAATGCTCAAGTCTCTGGACCATCCTCTCCGTGCATCTGCCACGTGTCTCTCCTTCCTCCTTTGTTCTACCTCCAATATATATCCATTTTGGTCCTTTCTCCTCCCCAGCTGCCCCCAGTTCAGGTCATGACATGCTGAGAATTGTAACCCCAGACAGCTGCGGGTAAGTGGGGGCAGGAAAAAATGGCACCATTTTCCCAGAACCCGCTGTGTTCTGATGCACTTCCCCCTTCTGTGGAGATATATTCTGTAACAATTTGACTCCATGGACTTCCATCCCTCTGCATATTAGAGTAATTTTGGAATATTTGCTGAGTATTGCTTATAGTTTTCTTATAAATTAGCTAAGAATTAATATCTAGTATCACTGTTTTGAAAATGAGTAATAGACCTTACTATAGAAATGGTGTGAAATAGAACTGACAATGACTGAAGTCATTTTCAAAATAATGACTTCTTGTTGGAAACATTAAAAACTATAGAAATTGGCCTGAGAAAAACTAAACAAAATGATCCACATAAAATGAAACTAACATGCAATGTAATTTCTTAGGAAGTAAAATGTGATTGACGATTTAAGCTTCTTATGAAAATTCACAGAAATCTAGAGTTAGATTAAACTATAGATATATTAAACTATAAAAATTAGAATTGGGAAAATTTGCTTTAGTTGATAAAAATGAACACAAAGTCAGAGATGTAACAATAATATATAGTCCAAAATAATTGTGCTCTCATAATGGTAAAACCTAAGCAGAAATAGCAATTATCCAGATGAAAATAATTTTGATAAAATACAATGAAAATATGTCTAAGTGGCTTAATGGTGCAGTATAGAGAACTGATCAAGAAATTAAATTGTTGACAAAGTTTGCTCTCTGCATAACATGTTATTATCAATAGTTCAGCTAAGTTAAATTGTTATGGTAAAGATTTTTTTTTTTGTAAAGACAACATCAAAATCTTTTGGGTAACAACTGACAAGACCAAAAGAGCACAATCAAAATAGTTTCAAAACATCCTACTCAGCATCCTACTTGGCTATGGGTCAAGATAGAGAACTTAAGAGGAAGAGAGCTGAAGTAAAGATCTATGCCTGAGAGTCGTTAGCAAATATGTGAAAGGTGAAGCTTTGAATATAGAAGATCTATGCCAGGAGAGAAGAGGACAGAGAATAGGAGTCTGGGAACCCCTAGTGCTTAAGGGACAAATAAGGAAGACATTGTAATGTGACACTAAAAAAGATGGTTATGTTTTGTCTCTCAAGGTTACACGCTTTCAGGTAGCAACATTTGGCATTGACTTAAATATTTTTAAACTCCTCTAAATTATAACCTATTTATTCAAGAAAATGAGATTTTGTGAAATAGATTCCATAGTGTTCTGGAGTACATAACAATCCCATTGTGATGATGTCCAGATGTCAGACTCACTGTGATCCAAGTGCACTGTATTTGAGGCTATATTAAATATTTACTTTTCCTACTTTTATTGTTGTCTGTAAAAAGCAATTTAGTCTGTTTGTCTTTTAGTTATTTGATAGAATAAAGCTCTTCTGGATGCCTGCAAAACATCAACCAGATTTTATATACCTAAGGCATGTACCACTGCGAAAAGTCCATCTCTTCACAGTTATTCAGATGAGCTGCCTTGCCCTTTTGTGGATAATAAAAGTTTCAAGAGCTGCTATTGTGTTTCCCATGATGGTATGACACTTCTAAATTAACTTTTCCTGTCCTCCTGTTTTTCTGCTTTATTTGGAAACAGATGAATTAAAGCTGGAACAATAGAGTCATTTTGAGTAATGGAATATGAATACCCTGGTAGAATTTTTAGCCACTAAAACCAGTGGTTATGATAGGAGTTGATATTATTTATGGATTTCAGTAATTCATATTAGTTTTGATTTTATCATTCTGAATATAGATAGTAGTTTGAACTAATTGAAGTTGAGTAGAAAAATGTAAGCTTTTAAAATTATGAAATATATTCTAGCAAATCCAAAAAGTTACAGGGATTTTTAAATTAAATTTCATTAAATATTTGAAAGCAATTTCACACATTTCTAAATATATAGTGAATCTGAGTGGCTAGAAATAATTTGTATCTATTATCAATGATAAAAATAGCTCGATGTTCATTCAAAGTAATACATATTATTAGCTACATCTATTTAAAGAAAAAGTCAAATACATTTTCCTACAATGCATAAACTAATACTATGTTAGGGATACGGTAAGAAAAAGAAATGAAGAAAACAAAAGTACATTACCTTTTATATATGTATATCTTCAAATAGTTCTTTAAATTCACTTCTAATTGAAATTGACTTGTTTCTATTAGCAAACAAATCAATCTACATTTTCCATTTCTTTTTTCCCCCTGTTTTAAACCATTTTATTATTTACTACAGGTGTTAGCTCTGGTATTTGTAAGAAAGTTGATGGATTTTTTGTTTACCAAACGAGAACTCAGCTGGTTGGATGACTTAATGCCTGAGAGTAAGAAAAAGAAACTAGAAGATGCTGAAAAAGAAGTAAGTTGGAGCAAAATCAATATTTACAAAGAAAAGGGAAAAGGAACATTTGCACAGTAATAGTTTCTTACAAAACTAAATTATTGTATTCATCTTTGGATAACTAATAATTGCTAGTAACTACAGGTAGTTTAGTTTGAGTAATGAATGTTTAAAATCATAAAGTTGGGTATTCAACAGAGAGAGGAAACCAAATTCTAATGGAATACACAAATATTTTATATTTTGTTGTCCTCCTAACTGTAAGATTTATTTTTCTGATTTCTCTCCCGGTATGGTAGAACCTTACTGATGCTTAAACACTTTCAAATATGGTCGTGCTATGATTACTCTTTGGTTGACTATGTGAGAAGACAAAAGGGGATAGTGTTGTTCGTGTTTTCTAGGGAATAAGTTTCAATTAAAAAATTAATTCCAATCAAAAGATAAAATTATTTTTATTTGCTATAAGTGAAATGCTTAAGAGGAAAACATCATTGACTTGATTTGCTTCAGAGTGATTTAAGATTGAATAAATGTTAAGAAACTTTTGGGATTTAATTACTTTCAAAGACTACTGATTTATCCTCTTCTGTTTCATATGTTAAAACAATTTGTTTTAACTTTTATGGCATATTTAAAGTTCATGTGTAAGTCTGAATCTATTTTGAAGGCTAGTAACCATAGTATTTTTTAAAGTGTATAAAAACTACAAAGAGTATATGTGAAAAAAAAATGACCAGTGCATCGCTTAGCAGAATGATGGAGCCCATAGATTGTAAAACGAAGAACAAAATTTCCATGCCAATAGAAATGAAGATGATAGCAAATATTTGGTGAAAAGTATACATTTTTCTTTTCACTTTTCTTTTCCTACAAGGTAGTCAGTAAATACGTAGTTTCTTATCTACAGCATATTTTCTCAAACCATCGATGTATTTTCTCAAACCATTGTAGTCATTAGGTGAAGTCAGATTAAGCTGTAAAGACCTATGAGATTTCTGCCCAGATGTTTCTATAAATATAGCTACACATTGTACGACTGTCTGGCATAACTTCACCTTTCCATAGTGTCCCATCACTAACAAATCCCCATATTTAAGGATTGATCACAATGATGTATGTTAATTCTTTATGAATATTTCCTCTTTCCCAAATATTGAACTAGTCATACTTAGAATCATACCTCTTGTAATATTAACATAACATTAAATGTTCTTAAGTATGAGATAGTTTTTTAAAATAATTCTTTTACTATGATATTTTGGGAGTCTCCATGTTTTTTTAGGGCTTTAGTAGGAATTGCTCTCATCCTCAGACATTTTTAAGAAAAGTATGACAGAATTTGGTATAAATTAAATGTAAATAAAGTGACGCCAGAATATAGATATCCCAAAGCCTCAAATTATCCCTTTTTAAAGAAATTAAAATTATTCAAGTTGATAAACTTCCAAGAAGATTTGAATTTCAAAGACAGTTGTAAATACAAAACTCATTGACCAGGAGCTTCTTTTCAGTCTTTCTGATAGAGAATACTGTTAATTATATCAAAGCAGTAATTTATATATGTAATTTTGCTTTATTTTGCTTTATTTTTCCTGCTTTTATTGCCTGTCAAATGTTTTCAATCTGATGTAGCACAGAGTACCCCCAGCCATAGTCATCCTTTCCATAGATTCACCTTAGGTCCTGTCCATTACATGCAGCATTCTTGGCCTTCTAGAACTTTGTAAAGTTAACACACACACATACACACACACAGCATTGCGCTTAATATGTTTCCATTTTATCATTCAAGAAATTTTCATGTATGTCTCTGAAGCAGAAGAGAACCAGTTTGCATGGCTGCATAGATTATCGTACCTACATGTATGTTTGTTTTGTGTCCATTTTGAAATTTATTCATCTCAGATTATGTTTTAGATCCATTAAGATGGGTGTTTACTGTTTCTGATTATGAAGATAAAGATTTAATAAGTAAATATTACTAATTTCATAGAACTTAAGTTTTCTGAAAGAAGTCAAAAACAAAGATTTGTTGAGGCAAATTTACATCTGTATCCCTCAGATCTCAGTATGGAAAAATTGGGAGTCAATGCTTTGTAGTACATTAATGGGGCAGGTTTACAAACCCTAAAAATCTCAAATAGATTAATATGATGAGACTTTCATGTGATCCTCAGTACATGGAATGAAACAAGAGACCTAATAATATAGTGAGCAAATGATCCATAATTGAACATTAAAATAAAGTTCTGAAGAGTATGAAGAAAGATATTTCTTGTGACAACTGAAGAGAGAAAAGGAAGTTTAAAGATGTTCACTTTCTAACTTGTATTAGTATTGAAAGTGTGTGATTAGCACAGAGTCAGGAAGGTTTAAGAGGGATTTCACTAAAACTTAAATCCTGGTTAAGTTTTTGCATGCTAACCCAGATCTTGGTGTTTCATTTTTTTGAGGCTTATAGGCCCTACCGAAGGATGTGATCTTCTTACTGTGGCATCTTGTACCAAGGCCCAGCCTTCCAAGAGATTATACTTTGAGGTAGTATATGGGCAAGTTCTCCAGAAATGTTGCATTTCTGCAATTGCTCGAATTAATTGAGTAACTTTGATTGTGATCTGGAAAGATGGTAAATAGCAGAAATGTCTTAGCTCCCTGAGACTTGAATTTAAAGTAGGCTCACCTCTTGTCCTTTTGATGATAGTTACAAGCTTGTACCTTTATCCTCCAGGGTTTTCCTATCAGTAGCCCACTTCTGGTCTTATGGCATTGAGAAAACATTAGTTTGACCTTAAAATTCAATAATGAGTTAAGCAGAATAAATAGCTACACAGGCCAGTCCAAGGTCGCAGAGCTTCTGTTCCAAATTTTCATGTACTTCATGCATATGCATATGCATATGCTTCAGTTTTTAGAAAGAAAGGATTATAATCAGGATAGAAATGAATATTGGAACCCTGACATTTTGCACATTGCTCTGTGTAAAGGGAAGATTGCAGAATCAAATTCTGGATGTCCAAATGTGCTCAGAGTACCAACATGCCTTCCTACTTAAATATTCTCTAGGGCATTGTGCGCATTTGACAAAAGGGCTGCTATTAAAAGCAGAAACCCCAGCAGAATGTTTGCTGCTGGCTGCAGGAGAAGGCAGCTAATGTTAGATAAATCCTGGAAATTCAACTGTGAGCAGTGATCATGATATTGCCACCACTTGGTTTGCTGTCATGCACTCTAACATATATGCTATAGAGAGAAAGCCAGAGAGGGAGCAAATAGGACTTGTGATAGTATAATGCAGGATCATGAGAAAGTCCAGGAAGATGCAAAAGCCGTTTCAAAATAAGTGCAGTTAACAACTTACAGAGGATGTCTTACTGGTAAGAAAGATCAAATTGACTGTGGATTCAGAAAGCATGACCTAGTTATTACACAAGAAATTGTTATTTCTAATTGAACCTTGGGGTGAGGAAAGTGTGCTCTCCTTCCTCAAGCAGAGGTTTCCAGAATGTCATCCCAGGACCTCTGTGTATTAGTCACACCTGGCAACTAGTTAAAAATATGAATTCATGGACCTCACTCCAGACCTCTTGAATCGAAACTCTGGGGATTAGGCCAGGTACCTGAGTTCACAAGACCTCCAGGTGATTCTGAAGCATGCTAAAATTTAAGTTGAAATTTTCCCTAATCCTACAGAATCTGTATCTCCAGAATGTAATCTTCTAAATCCAAAGTTACTTCATCAGAATTTTATATTTTGTAATAATTTAGCTATGTCATTTAGTGACTCCGAATCAAATGTTTGATGAAAAACATACCTAGCATCATCTATATGAATTCTATAGTGACTATTCCTCAGTTTTTCTTTTCAGTTTTATTGTTGAGTGGTTTTACATATTGGCTCTTATATCATTGGAAAATTTTAAGAAATACCCCTAGTAAATATAACATATATATGTATACTGATATATATGAATGTATGTGTGTATGTAATGTTTGCATTACAAATGTTTGTAACTGAGGACAGAAATGATCAGCTGTCTTCAGTGCTGTAGACTTTGTTTTCCTCTTGGATGAAAGGCTAAAACCTATTTTCTGAAATCTCATTTCTTAAAATCTGTGAATTCTAAAATAAATGAATATTTTCTCTCTCTAATATTCTAAAAATCCATGTAAACATTAGCTCTCTGCTGTTGTTATTTACGCTCTGAGCTGTAGTACAGCCTTTACCTGAGAAATGAACATGGTAACAGATGCGACCTGTTTCACTAAAGGTAGAGCATTTGCTAGGTGTCATGATATGTGAATCATATTTTTTATGCTACCACAAAGTCCAATTCAGATTCATGACATAATTTTATACATAAGATCTTATTCATCAAACACAAAACAATTTGTTTTTATTATTTTTTATTTTAACATTTATCAATATTTTTACATTTTTTAGACAATATTTGCTTCCCCCCACCCCCTCAGATTGAGTCCCCATAGAATTTCCTTCCCCAAGGTACCCGTGCACCATCACCACAGTCCCTTGTGCTCCTCACTCCCTCTCTGTCACCCCTCTCCCTTCTCCCCCGAAATATATCTCTGGTTTACAATTTTCTGTTTTTGCTTTGTTGAAACACAACACAATTTGAATCCAACTTTGTTTTCCACTTCTAGCCTGTTCAAGCCTTGACTCCAGCCAGGCTAGTTATTTTGTTGTTAACCTTTCTACCCTTTATATTGAGCTATAAATGGACTATTTATTTTGTTGTTAACCTTTCTACCTTTTATATTGAGCTATAAATGCATTTTATTGGTATATTACTCAGCTGTATCTCCAGATAAAGTGTATGGGTCAGTTTAGTATATTTACTAAAGGAGCAACTATTATTACTCTTTAATTCCACAATATTTTCATTATCCCTAAAAGGTCACTTATGCCCACTAGTCATAATTTTCCATTTCCTTCTTTCCCTAAGCTTCTGGAAACCACTGATCAGCTTTCTGTCTCTCTGGATTTCCTATTTTGGTTTGTTCATATAAATGGAATTATAACTGGCTTCCTTCACTTTTGCAAAATGTTTTCAAGTTTTATCCCTCTTGTAATTGTAGTATATATCAGTACTTCTTTTTGTGGAAGAATAATATTCCATTACATGAATATATTCAAGTATGTATCATCACATTTTGTTCTTCCATCATTTCTTGATGGACAGTTGTTTCCACTTTTGGAGTATTATGACTAATGCTGCTGTAATAGTACATGTTTTTGTGTGGCTATAGGTTTTCTTCTGAGCATATATATAGGAGTCAAGTGGTGGGGTCATATGATAAATCTGTGTTTAACGTTTTGAGGAACTGTCAAACTTTTCCACAATGATTGCACTATTTTACATTCCCATGAGCAAAAAAAAAAAAAAATCAATCTCTTCACATCCTAATGAGTATGAAGAGGTATCTCCTTGTGATTGTGATTTTAATTTGCGTTTTCTTGATAACTAATGATGTTGAGCATCTTTTCATATGCTTACTGGCATTTGTATATCTTCTTTGCAGGAATATCTATCCAAATTTTTTTTGCTCATTTTTATTTTTGATTAACCTCCCTTCTTTCTTTTTTTTTTAAATTCTCTAATTTGGAAGCTATATCATTGTTTGAACAGGTTAATTACTCTGCTGTTTGTTGAGTTGCATGAGCTTTATATATATATATATAGTTTGGATATTACCCTCTTGTTGGATTCATGATGTACAAATATTTCTCCCACTCAGTAGGATTTCATTTTGATGATTGTTTCTTTATTTTGCAGAAGTTTTTTAGTTTGATGTAGCCCCATTTGTTTATTTTTTGCTTTTGTTTTCACTGCCTTGGGTCAGCTCCTCCCAAACAACTGTAAGGCCAATGTTATGAAGTGTATATCTCTGTTTTCTTTATGTATTCTCTGGTTTCAGGTCTTAGATTCAAGTCTTTAAGTACATTTGAATTAATTTTTGTGTATGGTATGAGAGAGTTTTGGTTTTGTTCTGTCCAGTTTGTTTCCAGCACCATTTGTTTGAGAGACTTTCCTTTCTACACTGTATACTCTCGATTTATTTGTTTAAATTAACTATTAATATGTGTGTACATTTATTTCTGAGCTCTCAATAATGTTCTATTGAATTATGTGTTTATTTTTATCTTAATACTGTCCTGTTTTGATTAATATTTCTTTATAATTTAGTTTGAAGTCAGAGAATGTGGTACCTTAATTCTTTATTTCTCAAATAACTGTTTATTTGGGGTCTTTTGTGATTCCATACAAATTTAAGTAGTTTGTTCTATTTTGTCAAATAATGTCATTGAAATTTTGATAGGGATTGTATTGAATCTGTATATAGCTTTGGAAAAGATGGACATTTCAACAATGCTAATTCTTCTAGCACATAAGCACAGAATATCTCCCCAAGTCTAACTAGATACCACTTCTGCTGTTCTTGGACTTTTTTGGTGATCTTTTTCATCCTCTGAGAGTAGAGTTTACATCTTTCTTTTCATTGTATTCCCGGCACCTAGCAGACTACATGTTATATAGATCATTCTTTATATTTGTTGAATGGATTCATGAATAACTCCTGGATTATTCTTATTCACTCTGTGCCTAGCACATAATACATGTTCAGTAAATGCTTGAGTGCTGTTGAATAGATTAGTTTTTTATGCCTGCCTTTTACTGAATATAGCATTAACTGTCCTTCACTTATTTAGAAAAACGCTTTGACTATCTAAATTAAAAGATGGCATTTGAGGATATGAATATGAATATTCCTCTAGTCAAATCGGCAACACTTCTTAAATGTTCTTGGGTAAACTCTGATCATCATCCTTTTAACACCTTTACCATGTTGTAGAACTCACTCAGCATATTTTTGATGTACACTGTGTAAATGAAGTGCTAGATGGAACTCATTTTAAGGTACTTCTGATTTATAAAGTTAGGATACACAGTTAGCTTTATGCTTTCTCTGTTTCTCTTTTCCTTATGATTGAGATAAACTAGGTTGTGATTGTCGTGACGGTTAGTGCCTGATTTGACTGCTCCTCCCCAGAAAGTCTCACTTTTTGGCTTCCTCACAGTGCTGCCTGGGATGCAGCCGGCCCTCCATTCCCAAGCTTCGGGGCCCACCCAGCTTCCTTCTGGCACTGAAGGCAGCGGCTGCTCTGCCACCCTTCTCTTCAGATAAGCATGGCTTGGATATGCTATCTTTAGAGGTGATGAGTTTTTGTTTGGATAGAATTATGACTAGTATAAAGCCCACACATGCTAACAAGCCACAGAGTGCAAAATAATTATTGAAAGCAATTTGAGAGAAAAGTGGAAAATCATCTGAGGGAAAAACAAAATTGTTCCCAAAGAGTTGGTCCAATTTTTTGCTGTTAAATTCAATCTTGAGCCTTCATTACAACCAGGTAACCTTAGCTCTGATGCCACAGTTCTTCAGCATTTTTGAATAGTACTCTTTAGTAAACCTATCTATCTAATTCCTTGACATTTTATTCCCAGTTGACTGGAAAGACACTGTATATAACAAGGTTACCTTTCAGTGGAAAACTAAGGAAAAAATTGCATTTTGCTTGTGTTTTGGTTTTAGTTAAATAACATTTGGGATCACTGAATGTCTTCTTTTTATGTCTCTCCATGTGACTTAAACTATTTTATATAAAAAGTAACCTTTTCTACCTGGAAACATACATGTGTTCTGCCTATGGCCTTAATGATATTTATCTAAATTAATATGATATAATGTGTTGTGTTCCATATGTAGTAACTAACTTACTTGCAAGGTATGACGCATTCTAGGCTGCAGATTAGCTGTGCTCAAATGTTTAAATGTGTAACTTTAAATCAATGGGACTGTCTACTTGCCTTGAATTAGTTTCAATAGTACTTCCAAATGACAAGGTGAATAGACATAACACCCAAATAATAGAGTAAATCTCATAGGTCTGTAAATCCCATAGGTCTCAGCTTTTCCATTATTCCCATGCATAGACTGGATATAGATATTCTGTATGTAGCACGGCCAAGGTCCCAGCAGAAGGAACCTGGCTGGAAGGTTAGATGTATGTGGAAAGCACCCCAAGAGACCGACAATGCATTATATATCTATCAGTTAGCTGAACAGACTTAAGAAAACAGTTTCTTTAAGTAAACACATTTGGCAAAGGTTCTTCAGCATGCTAGCTGAAGACCAAAGTCTGTGTACTGATGACCCTACAAATAGCCTTGCATCCAGGAATAATGACATCAGTCAAAGGTCATGTCTTTCTGGAAGCTGATTCAGACCAGTCAAATTAACTCTCTGCTGAGCTACTGAAATAGGGAAGCCAGTGAATCTCCCGGGGCATCTCTGTTTCCTCTTTCCAGGCCCTATTTGTTCAAGGAGTCATCTGTCCATCTCTATGCAACTTAAAATTCCATTTCTGTAGTTAGAGCCAATAGTACTGACACTTTTAAATGGCCCCAAATAGTTCTGTGAACTTGAGCAATGCGTACTGACCCATTAAAAAAATAAATTCATTAAATAGGAGCTGTAATCTGTAGATAATTAAATTTCTTTTTTTGGTATGTGGGAAAAGGTGCACAGTATTATTGAAAACTGAGCCAGGACTTTTCAGTAGGATAGCATAAGATGATCTTCATTCCAAACATATCATTTTAAAATGTTATATATGAAGACTTTGAATATATGAAACATATCCACTCTTTGGGAAAGGGTGGGATATTGTCATTGTAAGAAGAACTCTGAGGCATGAAACAAAGCCTAAGATACAACTAACTGAAAAGCACGTGTGGTTTTGGTCTAAATAGAAAGATATCTTCGCTCTCTTACCAAACCTCTAGAGTAATGGTTCTCAAACTGTGGTTCTCAGACCAGGATAATCAGAATCACATGGGAACTTGTTAAAAGTGTAAATCCTTGGCCCCTACGCCAGACCAACTATATCAGATATTCTGGAGGTGGGGCCCAGCAATCTGTTTGCAACAAATCCTCCAGGTGATTCTGATGTAAACTACTTTGAGAATCACTGTTCTGAATACATTTGCAAACCCCTCCTGAAAAATTTAATTTCAACTTTCTAACAATGAAACCAATTATATTACCCAGATTGTTGTACTTGCAAAATTTAATTTTTTAAAAAAATCTGCTTGGAAATTTATCATGTTTTATATTGAGTGACATGAAGGAGATTGTTGTTAGCATTTAAATTACTTTGTGGTATGAGACTCTCATTAATTACTTATGTTCTTGGTAGCTGATGCTTTATTGAAAGGACCTGTGCTAGCATTAATAAATGCAAACAAAGTGGGAGGTCCTGAGGTTAATGAGATAGTGAAACATTAATCTGTGTTTCTCCTTTAATGTAAAATGGAGAGTCATCAGGTTCACTTTATATATTTTACATTTGTCTTTCCAGGAAGAACAAAGTATGCTAGCTATGGAAGATGAGGGCACAGTACAGCTCCCATTGGAAGGGCACTATAGGTAAGATGTAAATGTAAAAACACACCCATTTGAGTAATGGAAAGTATTATTGTATACTTATGAATGTTGTCCTCTGTAGATTCCTATAGAGGTTTGTTAAGATTATCTTTTTTTTTTTTTTTAAAGATTTATTTATTTATTTATACAAGCACTGGGTACAGTCAGAAGCGCGGGAGGGCGAGAGAATTCACCAGAGCCAGAGCCGAGAGCAGAACAGGCAGACTGACGAAGTACACTGCTGAGGGGAGCAGCAGGCGGCAGGAGAGGTCTGCCCACCATGTGGGACCCTCGCCCGGTGGCCGGGGATCGAACCGACGCTGCAGAAGCTGTGGGCAGCTTCGCAACCCAGTGCTCAACCACTGCGCCACCGGGGAGGCCCTGTTAAGATTATCTTATTGTAGAAAGAACTGAGATTAAGATTCAGATCACCCTGTCTCAGTACTAAGTTCTGCCACTAATCGCTGTGTGACTATGGCCATATCTTAAAATGGATGGGGCCTGGGGGTTGTCTGAACTCTGAGAATTTACCTCTAAAAAAATATACTTCCAAGGAGATATTCTATTTCCTGAGTTACAGCATTCGAATAAACTAGTCATTTTAGGAAATATTTATATAACTCTCCAAAATGTGGCTAATCTTCATGCACAAAGATTCAGCAAATTTTTATAAATTATAATAACAACTTCTGAAAGCATGTGCCCTAAAATTTTATATATATATATATATATATATATATATATATATATATATCATCTCAAAGTGCGTATGTATAATTTAAGGCCTTTCCAGTAAAAAAAAAAAAATAAGGCAACGAGGACTTTTTCTCTGAGGAGGGAATTGATTATATAGGAAAGAATCTTCCAGGTCTGACTATAAATCATATTCTCTAGATTCTAAAATATAATTATCTGTTACTTAAGGGTGAACACAAGTATAAAAGGGGCTTTATATTTCTTTTTTAATAATTATGTTTTTCAAATTCTGTTGATTTAGCTGAATCAGTATATCCCCATGTGTTTTCCATAGAAACCTAGTTTTATGTGGTACCCTTCTAAAAGAAATTTGTGGATAAACAAGTTTGGAGTGTTCCTTATTGCATTTCAGTTTGGAGACTTACTGTGCACATTGGCATGTTGAAGAATCTAAGCAGTGCTGCATTTTTTTTTTTTTTAAAAAGACTTATTTATTTATTTTGCAAGCACTGGGTATAGTCAGAAGCGCAGGAGGGTGAGAGAATTCATCAGAGCCAGAGTGGGGAACAGAACAGGCAGACTGACGAAGTACACTGCTGAGGGGAGCAGCAGGCATGGCAGGAGAGTTCTGCGTACCATGTGGGACCCTCACTGGCGGCCGGTGATCGAACCGGCGCTGCAGAGGCTGCGGGCAGCTTCACAGCCCAGCGCTCAACCGCTGCACCACTGGGGAAGCCCAGTGCTGCATTTTTTTTTTAAAAAAGAAAAAGTTTGACTTAGTTTAACCAGAATTTCCTAAATTCTTTTCCTTAGAAGAATCTTTGTCACACAACTCATGAAACCTACATAACATTCTTTTGGAAACTAGTTGATCTCATGCTTTGAGACCAAGGGCTGGAAAGATTAGACAAAATAAGGAACGCATGTCCAGGCTGGGGCTGGGCAAGGGAGCCTGTGAGAACTATGGTTTTGCTCCAGACCCTTAGTATTTCTCATAAAGGTTGAATTTGTTGCCCCCTTAAGAACAACCACCAATGAAGGTGAAGTGAGGTCAGCCTAGGAGTTCTGTAGAACATGATATTTTTTGCAAAAGAGTATCTTTTCAATGTGTAGTAGGAAGAATACTGTTTTCTGACTCAATGAAATTTTCCCTGACTGAACTTGTGATTATCTCTGCTGCCATTCCGGTGTTTTTCTAGTCTGGGAATATTTTGGAGCATTCATTTTGAAAATCACCTACAGTTGATGTCATTTTAAAATATAAGAGCCCAGGGCCTCCCCTGGTGGCGCAGCAGTTGAGCACTGGGTTGCGAAGCTGCCCGCAGTCTCTACAGTGCCGGTTCGATCCCCAGCTGCTCCCCGGCCACAGGAGGAGGGTCCCACATGGCGCGCAGACCTCTCCTGCCACCCACTGCTTCCCTCAGCAGTGTACTTTGATCCTTCTGCCTGCTATGCTCCCTGCTCTGGCTCTGGTGAATTCTCTCACCCTCCCGTACTTCTGACTGTACCCAGTGCTTGAATGAATGAATGAATGAATGAATAAATAATCTTTTAAAAAAAAAATATATATATATATAAGAGCCCAGCATAGTACAGGCCCTGATATCATAGGCTCCCAGTGATTTGGGAAGACCTCTGCCAAATACCCAATTTACATTCATTCATCCAGCAAATATTTGTTGAGTGCATATGAAATACCAGACTATCTAGAACTTGGGGAAGCAGGAGTGGACAAATGTCAAGAATCTTTGTCCTGTTAAAAGTTATATTTAAGTAGAAAGGAGATAAGGGAGACAGAAAGTAAAAGATGATAAAGTAATATAGTATAGTAACTCAAAAAGTGCAATGAAAGAAGTGAAAGCTGTGAGGGAGGATATGGAAATAGAAATTTTAAGTCAAGTAGTCAGCGAAGACCTGTCTGAGAAGGTGATGTTTGAATAGAGGAGGGAAAATGTGGTACCATGTGAAGGAATATTACAGGGAGGGGGCGGAGCAAAGATGAAGCCCTGAGACAGCAGCAAGCCTATACTGTTCCAGAAAAGTTGGGAGGCCATTGCATGTGGCTGGAGAGGAAGGAACAGGGCTGTAATAGCAGGAGATGACTTTGGAAAGTGAGTGTGATGACTGAGCTACACTGGCTGTCTACTGGGCTTTCATTCTGACCCATGGGAGCCACTGTAGAGTCAAAGCAGAGAGAGATCTACTGTGCTATTAACTTTGGGAGCAAAAGACTAAGTCATGAATATGCAGAGCCTGGTCTCTATAGTTTGAAATGAACTAAGAATACTATAGCCCAAACCAGTTTCTATAACTAGAATTTTTTTGTTTAGATTTTTATTTTTCATGGATTTTTTTAAATAAGAGCACTAGTCAATACTTTTTGACGTTTCATTATCAAATATACTATACAAGGGCATCAGACTGTTTCATTTCTATCACTAGATAACTGCTGTTACTTATTTAATGGTTATTATTTATTTTTGGTTGAACTCCTATGTAGAGATGATCCATCTGTGATCAATATTTCTGATGAAATGTCAAAGACTGCCTTGTGGAAGAACCTTCTGATTGCTGCTGATAGCTCAAAAGATAAGGAGTCAAGCTTTCCTTCTAAAAGGTTTGAATTCTAAAATAATGTGAAATTATACTAATCCCAGTCATTTTATGACATTTTATTAGCAAAAGAATCATATTGTTTTCCAAAACTGTTTTTGAAAGTGGGTAGAATTTGTAATTATGTTTACAAATGCATTTTTCAGTATCTCCCTTTCAAATGAAAAGCTCATCCCAAAACTATAATGGGAGGTTGGGGAGAATTGGTGCCATAAATGAGTCCCAGTGCACATTTTTGGGCATTCATTTTGGCCTACTTTAATAGTGGGATTTTATTCTATCCCAGTATCACCCACTTCCCAGGACTCTCTTAGATGTCTGACCACATTTTACACTCCCTCATTGTCCTTTATAAAAACCATATGGTATGTGCAATGGTGATTTTGCATTTAGTATATTTCCATTCCCCTATTCTAAATCCCTGAAAATCTTCACTAACTTCCTTATCCCAAACTTTCAGCTCCACAAGTTCTATTCATTCTTACTTCTCTATATGAAAACATTACAACTAGTTGTGGATGACAATTTTAAATGCATGTTGGGGAAAGATTGTGTTCTTAAATATCAAGTTTCATCACAGGATTTCCTGGTTTTTTGAAAATTCAGGATCCACTGAATTTTCCTGAACTTACATGTAAAACTTCAAACCATCCAGTCTTCTTAGATGATGATCTGAAGAAAAATCTGTTATGCTAATATCTCGTCTCACTAAAGAGAGATTGAGGGATTTGGGACAGTGTTTAATTATTAAGTTCTTTTATTTCATGACCTTAAATTAACTTTTTCTACTTAATTTTTATATCACATTTTTGTCATAAGCTCCCCTTCCTAATCACTCTAGAAGCTGATTCCCCAAAGGTAAGACCCTCTCCCTGAAACCTATTCCTTGGTTGTATTTCCTTATGTTAAATGGTGTCTTCTAGAAATCTGGTCAGCCTATGTTCTCTGTGTAAGTTTTGGGGAGGCAAAAGGCATGGAGAGTCATGGGCTCAGATCCAGTAGCAGACTGAGCATTTATGATGTTTCTACAACTACTCAGCTCTTTAAGAGGGTTTGAGTAAACTTTTTCCCCCACTTAGCTTACACAAATGCATCATACTTCAATTTAAAAAATCTCCAGAACTGTTTTTTAGTAATGGCATCAAATTTCAATATTGGAATAGAAGAAAATTATCCCTTTAATTAAGACTTTGCAGAGCTGGGAGCTTCCATTAACATACTACAGTGCTTCCAAACCCACAAGTGCTATCTGGCTTCATGAGAAATATTTGGAAATATGCACTAGAGGCTACTTTAGATTTAGAGAACTATCTCTCTTGTTGCTGGTTTTTGTCACCCCAAAATGGCATGCTGCTTCAGTGTCATCTCTATCCCCAACTAATAGTGGATGTGTACAGTCTTCACCCCAGAAGTACTAGGGGAGTCATTCATATTCTCTCTCTCTTTTGCGCACCCCCCCAACTTCTGACACTCCAAGAGAGTGTGAACTTACTCAGTAGGCTCTTTCAAACACTTTGGTTGATGCTTCTGTCTTGTAACAGGACTTAAATATCTTCATGTATTTCTTTGTTTGCCTCAAGCAAAAAAGCAAAAAGTATTGTTTTCTTTTTTATAAAACATGCTTTTATCTTCCTTTCCCAAAGATCCCTGCTACAGTCTGATAGAATCATCCTCATAGTAATTCTGTTTTGCTAGAAGTCTTGGAAGAAAATCAGTTATCAAAAGGGTAATTTCTCAAAATGATTGAAATATGGACACTTTCAATTATGGACACTTTCACATTAAAAATATGACATTTCTCTGATTTCTTAAAAAATGTGAACTCCAGGTTTATGGATTTAAAATAAAGTGCCTATCATGGGAAATATGTGAAAAATTGGAGATACTCAAACTAATAGATTGCTTTTTTCCTGTAATATTTGGATCCATGTTTCAAACTCTTACTCTGTTTTCCTTTGGTTCAACAAAAGTTTTTATGTCATAATATCTTAGTTACTCCTTAAAGTAAATAGTAAAGTCAGGTGATATTTTTTACTAGAAAAACCTAGATTAAAAAAATATGTCTAGATTACTTCAGATAGTAGTTTGACTCTAGTGGACAATGCGGTGTGCTTTAATCTGATCAATTTAAATATACCATCCTGTACATTTTGACACAACTTATTTCTTATTCTTTGAACATATGTTCCCACTAACATGAGGTTCAAACTGTTGTGGAGTGAAAGTTTACCCAACTTTATCTTTTGATGTAATAAAATCTGTGCCTTTCCGTATGAAGAATATCTCTTAACAGGTGGATAGTATCTTTCATCTTCCTGACAGTACAAAGTAGCAGAAAGGCTATGGCTTCTCGAAGTCCTAAACCCACCAATTCTAATAACAGCAATACCTTCCCAAACCATTGCTTTCTCTTGGTATCTGTTGGAGGCTTTGAAATAAGATGACCAGGAACTGCGAAAGTTTTGTACCTGCTATAGTATCCCTTGTCCAAAAAGGCTAAAGACTAGGTTACCAGGATCTGAATCTCTTGGGATCTAACTGGCTTCTGTACAATCTTTGACCTCACCCCCTCTCCAGTTTTTTTCCATCCTACCCCTTGCTGTGGACCCTGTGTGCCTGTCAGAGCAACCTAGATATATTTCCTTAGCGGAGTTTGGAATATCGGTTATATTTTATCAATTATTTCATCCACTTTTTGTTGTCAAAACATTTTATTCAGATCCTAACTGAAAATAGGATCTAAGAACTAACTGCAAATTCTACCATATCTATAAGATACCTAATTTGGATCCTAGTCCAACAGTTCTATACATACACATAACAAGCCTCTTTCTAGCTTATTGACTGGATTGGGGAAAATAGATCTCATTGAAACCACTTTGCATCAGAGTAGGTGAGCAACTGCTCTGCTTTATCAAATTGACACCATTGTGGGTGTGGTGTGATGACATGAATCCAGGGAGGTGTGACACTGTGCCTCTGAATCACATACAGTGTTGTAAACCAATGTTAACATCAATTAAAAAAAAAAATGTTTCTTGAGAAGGTATCTGGCAATGCTAGCAAAAGAGACAATTGGTTTTCTTGGTTTTTCACTGATGACAGGATGAGGCTCTGGGACCACCCTCCTTGTTCCTCTCTACCCCACTACCAACACCTTCTTCCACCCTGGGTTCTCCTTCTTTGATCTTGTAGACCTAGGTCCTCTCATGGCTGCTTAGTAGATGGTGTTCATAACCACTATTTTGTGTCGTTGAAAAATAACAGTGTCAAGGTTGCTTAACAGCTGGAAAGGTGGCAGTTCATTTGTCCTCTTTTGAAATATTACTTCCTTATAGTATAAATTATAACTCCTTAAGGCCAGAGATACTCATTTTACCCATCTCATAGCCCTGTGTCTTTGCAGAGTACCTGGCTCACAATAGATATGCAATATATGTGTATTACAATAGTATATAATAGACATTATATGTATATTTAATAAATATTTCTAGTATATTTATTACAATTAAAGTTTAGAATTGATTAGCATCTTAAGGAATGAATGTAATGGGGAATAAAGAGAGCAATAGTTATGCAATAATAACATTCAAGTCGATCATATTTTTCATAGATGTCTTGAGCTCTTTATAAAATTTCTGCTTTATCGTTTGATGCAATCTAAACTTATACCAAACCCCTGGATTTAAAGAAGGGGAAAGAACACTGATTTTAAAGAGGTGGAGGAGCTCAATCATATAATCACTAATTGCTTTGTAACCAAACAAGCAGTATGACCAAAGTAGTATCTCAGGAGGAAGCATATTTATGAATGGAGTTGGCATTCTGAATTTCTTTTTTCACTGCTTGGTTACCTGTACTGCCACTGAGAATTTGCCCGCTTATCAAAAGGTTGTGTAGCAGACTATCATGTACATTGGAATTGTGTAGAGACCGGTATGTCTTTGTTCCCATGATTTCCTACATATAAGGTCTGTTACAAGTATAATCTGCATAAAAATGTTTCATTCAGTGAGGGCCCACACATACAGCAGTGCCCATACATAGCCTATGTGTGTAATAGGCTGTATATCCCAGATTTAAGTAATTAATCTCTATGATGATTAAACAATGACAAAATCATAGAGGACACATTTCTCAGAACATATCCCCATCATTAAGCAACACATGACTGTATTGTATCTTTCAGAAGATAGAGTTCATTGAAATGGAGAATACCAATCTCAGAATTCTGGCATTTGAACTACAAGTTTAAAGGCCATATAATCCAAAACTAATTTACAGATGAGAAAACCACATCCAACAGAGATTAAATAGCTGGTCCAAGGTCATGTAGCTCTTCCTTATCTTCCAGGACTGATCTTCAGATGCCAGCCCCCAGACTTCCTCCACTGCCAGATGTGGCCCTTTTTTATTGCCTTTGGCAGAAGAGACAGGCAGCCAGGTAGATCCCAAGGAAAAGTTAATTTGGAAAGTAGGGTAGCAGACACTTGTCATATGAAAGGAGCTTAAAAGTAGAAGAAAGTGAGTCATGCAGATAGAGGAGTTAAAAATACAGAGTTAAGGCTCTCAACACATCATGTGCACACTGTCATCTCTTCTCATGGAAGGAGAAAAGAAAAGGGAAAAAAGTTGCTTTACTCTGACCTGTAAGTAGTGTGTGCTGAGAAGTGTGGCAGGCACAAACCCGGGTGCCACAGACACTCGCTCACACCAGCTCTCAAAGCTGGCAGCGTGCCACAGATGGCAGAAGCTCCAGCACTTCTTACCTGATGGTGCCGGGTGGTGGTGACAACTGAGAAGGGCTGTTTCTAGCTTGAATTGGAGGAAAAACAATTTAAAAAACACAGTCTTAGAATGTGTCTAAGTTATTGACCATTAATAAAGCTGCACAGGAGGCCTCAGGGAATAAAGGGTTTTTAACTGTCACATTAGTACTTGGAGAAGAGTTAGAAAGCCAAGGGTTTCCCCTCTATCAGCTATTTCATAAATTGATATTAAGGATTAAAGTTAAGAGTAGAAGTGGGCGGATTCTTCCAGCCCAGGACCTCAGAGACTGGCTATGGATCGCCCTTTGCGTCAGCGCAGGACCCACAAGGAGAGGCCTCAGAGGTGGAGAATTCTGCCCTGTGCTGGAACTGTTTGGGGAGTGAGCAGTACTGGCCTTCCGGAAGCAATGTTTTTGTGGTGTGAACTTCAGGCATGTGAGAAGATTATTTGAATTTTCCATGAAAACTACGTGAGAGTAGGATAAGTACACATGGGAAAAATATTGAAAAAAAATGCATGAACCAAGATGGTAGAGTACATTACCAACTTGCCCGTAAATCAAGTTAACTGGGGAAAGAGATAAAACAGAAGCCACTTGGAAAGGAATTTGTTCTGGAAAGAGTAAGGTGACAGTGAGGGTTTATCTAGGAAAAGACAGGACAGGTAGGACTAGAGAGCAGTGTGTGGGATGAAACCTGCTCCAGAGCAGTGGGGATGCTTCTGTCCACTCACCAAGATGCACTTCTCACCTCAAGTCAGGGTCTAGTCCATGCACAAAGGACTGGCCACTCGCAGCAGCGCCCAAAAATATCGACTGCAACATTTTGTTTGTGTCATTTATAATGTCAGTGCTATCTTGTGATGGGGGCATGACTGGCATTTTCAACAATCATCAATGATTCATTGCCCAAATGAGAACCATGGTATTAATCTTGCATGCTTTGGAAACTGTTTTCAAAATGTCTGGTTTTCGTTTTTTGGTTTCTGTTTTTTGAATTTCCCCCTTTCTGCAGTTCTTGATTCCTATCTCACTGAGTGCAAAGGATTTAAATGGTTGCTATCTATGCTTCTAGCATGAAAGAGCAATGCCTAAAGGCCCTTGTGGTGCATTGGGGTTGATGGGTTTTGTGTCTGAACAGACAGCTCTTTCAGTTGCCATGCTGGATTGTGCTAATACATTTCTCCTTTTTTCCTTTAGCATCGAAATCCGAAAAGAGAAGAAAGCTGACTCAGGGAAAGGTGTTGACAGGGAGACTTGTCTATGACTTGATCGTCAATTTATTTTTTACATATATATAAGAAGAGTGCCACAATTATTAATAAAACTGCTTTGATCATGTATTGTAAATTCTGTCTCTCCTCCCAAATCCACCTTCATACTGTAAGTAGTGCAATATTTGTTTCATTTCTGTGTTTAAACTTCTGAGCAGTAAGACACCCTTGTGAGCATATACAACAGCTAATGCAAGAATCTGTGAGTTCCTTGCTGTGTGTTAGACATTTATAAACACTGGATTCTTGTCAGTTTTATGAGAGCAATAGCTTTCTTAAAGAGATAAGTCATATCTACCTAGTTTATATTTTCCTATATTAGTTATCTGAAGATACCTGATAATTTCATTCAGAAGAACTTTGAAAGGCAATCTTAACTTCTTTTAATAGCTCAGCATAAGTGACTTGTTTCAAAAGACCCAAATCAAAAGTTAGTTTGAAAGCATTTTTAATAATTGTATTTATGCATTTCCTTGATTTAATATGATACATTTAATACTTAAGAATTTATATGTAACGAAACTCAGTCATTTCAAAAATATATAGAAAGCTGTTCACAACTTGTGTAAGAAAAAGAATCAGACACTAATGCAAAGAGTCAAATGGTATTTGCTTAAAATTTAAGTTATGATTATTTGATCAAATACTAGGCTTGTATGAAATGCTTTAGGAAAACTTTCTAAGTTTTGTGAGATTTTCAATATAAACCTTTATCAGAAATGTGCTGTTAAATTTCTCTCCCATTGACAGCAGATGTTTTCCAAATGAACCTATTATATACATACTCGTGGAACACCACATGGTGAATCATTGTACGTGCAATTCCACTTCTGTATAGTTACTCTGCTGCTAAAGGTCATACACTGCTTAAGGCTGCTTCTGAATCATGTTCTCATGTTAGACCGACAGGTCTCCAATTGGACTTTTTTTCTGCAAAGCTCTTTTCCACTTTTTGACTAAATGCATGTTATAGAAAAATAATGTTTTCAATAAAAATTTCAGATTCTGTTTGAGAAAGTTCTGTAGATATTTCAATCCATATAAAATAATCCATCTTTACGCAGTTTATACAAGAAAAAAGGAAAGCTATGAATTTTTGAGAATTATTAAAAATACAGTATTTCATTTCATTTTAGATGAATGTAAAGTTAACAAAGAATAAATCTCATAGTGCTCTTGTTTCCTAATAATGACCAGTGATCATCAGTTGTACAATACTTCAGTGTCCAAATTTATAATAACTCAGAGCCCTGTCACTTTTCCAAACAATTACAGAATCTATGTATAAATTTACCCCAAAAGTTAAAAAAAAGCCTCTTGTGATTAATCTCATGAGGGGAAAAATCAACATTAGGTTCAAACTTTTGCTATCTTCTGAAAAATTCCTCTCACGATGTTTTAAGGAACAATCTCTTTGATGAAACATAAATGTAAAAAGAAAAAAAATGAGAAGAATTTGCAGTTAATAAAGTTTGTGTTTAAAATAAATGCCAAGGAAAAGTACAGAAACTTTCTGTCCCAATAGTGTTGACTTTGTGTATTTTATAATACAGATACTACATTGTAAACATTTCCATTGTTTTACGATTTAGACTAGCTGCACATGCCAGTCAATCCCCAAAGCAGCCTCCTCGTGTTTTAATATGCTAACAACTGTTCTGTTAAAAGTGATCATCGTGAATTGAAACCTTCACATGATCATCTATTTGAATAAGCAATCATATTCTATGAAATTCTGTATTTCTCAGTATTTTTATAGTCACTTTGTTCTTGTGTGAATTTTAATGCTCTCCCTATGTTAATCCTAATATTTTGAAATCATATAAAAATAAGAAAAAAATGTAGTGTTATATATTTCTTCCTAATTTCAGATTCCTGGTCAAAATTACTGAATATCTTGAATGTAATTTATTGCAAAGTTTAAGTAATGTGTAAATGTGACTAGGATATTGTGTTTTTCACAACTGAGAAATGTTATGTGGAAATAAATATTTATCCTCACTAATTTCCTTGCACATTTTAAATTGTGATGCAAAGAGTTGTGTCTTTTTTGTCCTTAATTTTAACCAGTAAGTCAATATAGAACACTTTGGTTGTTTGAAGCATATTTAAATTTAGATACTAGTCGTCTTAAGAAAAGTTGGTGATGGAGACATTTCAAGAATTTGAACTATATGGACAGAAAATTCTTCTCTATCAGGAAGTGTCTCTTTATCTTCATAGAAAGGATTTGGAGGTGAGTGGCATTATCACCATGACCAGTCAAAGTTTCCAAATTCTTAAGATTCTCCTTGTTAGAATTCTTTAGACCTCTTTTTGTAACTCCCATAGGAAGAACATTTCCTAACATTTATCTCCTGCCTTTTGTTGCAATCGGTCTGATGGCACATGATCCTTTTGTTGCCATCTGGCTGTAGGTTGTGGCCATAACTGTGCTAGGAACTCTATTGTACTAGGTAGTATTTTCTCTTAAACTTTGAGTTTATTTTGTAATTGCTACCATTTAACAGCCCTTGATCATGAGAATGTTTCCCCTAAATATAATGTGAATATCTGCTTGGTGTATGTGGCCTGATGGAAAGAAAGGCTCTGCTGATGATTCACAGGTACTTTGTATTTCAACACAATCCCTGGATCTTTCAGGATTTTTCTTAGCTGCTCAAAGTGTAGCTTATTCTTTTCCTATTTGCACCGACCTACTTCTGTTTCTTTTTAACTTATAGCCTATCTGCTCCAGGGCATTTGAAGATCTTATTATCATTGCAAGATTGCTCTACAAATTTTTCAGTACATCTATTTCTTATTTTCATATAATGAAATTAAGTTAGATTATAACTATTTGAAAATTTTAGGAGAGCATTTTGGATAATGTGGTGGTTCTCTAAATAGCTACTCTGAGTGGTTACTTGTAATTAGGTCACTTGAAGAGACCCATTATTCAAGGATTACTGCAGTACTTTATTTCAGAAATCTTTTGGGATGTTCTTCTCACCTACAGTGAATGATACAACTAATAGTTCATAACAAATGAAAAATGACACTGCTGTTTATACTGCAACATTTGAAATCAATGTTATAAAAAGAAATAGCGTATAAGTTAGGATGAAAATGGGAAAGGAAACCTCTCCTCTGAACTGCAAAGATTCTCAAAACATGTCAGTATTAAAGTAAAATGTCAAGATATGGAGTCTTACTGGAGCCTGCCATATTTGATGTCTGCTAGTGTATTTGGTACCCAACAAGCAGCCCAGTATGGTGAAGATAGTGAAGTGTTAGAAGGGTAGTGGAAACCAAGGAGAAATAATCGAACAACTCAACTTCTGAATTGTGGGACTTCTTGAGAATTTTCAAAGTTGGGACTATAAGAAAGTAAAAATCTGCTATCTGAAAACATGCTTGACAAGAGGTTTATTTTATGAAAATGACTCTAAAAGCTGAATAGAAGTCACTTTGACTATTTATCTGTAAACTCTCTATGAGCTTCTAGGAAGACCTAATCTCCTTATCTATTTTCCTGGAGAAAGCAGCCCTTTGTTTTCCCCAGTAAGTGGCCCTAACTGAATTGCTGCTTTCTTGCCCAGTCTCTCCTGTGCTAAGCTGTTTAAGATAGCATCTAAACCCATGTGGGCTGCTCAGTCACTCTGGGTCTCTCCCATGTATACAGAAGGTATGCATGTTGTTATTAGATCTCTATATGACTTTTTCTTTTAAATAAAAAAGAAAGAAAAAGTGCAAACATGAGTTGGAGACATTAAACATGTTAAAATCTATATTAGCATATTCAAATATTTCCATTAAGAATTCTGAGTAATGGGGCCTCCCCGGTGGCGCAGCAGATTGAGCACAGCTCTGTGAAGCTGTCTGCAGCCTCTGCAGCGCCGGTTCGATTCCCGGTTGGCCAGGGAGAATCCCACATGGTGCAGTAGACCTCTCCTGTCTTGCCCGCTGCTCCGCTCAGCAGTGCTTTCAGTCTGTCTGCTTGTTCTGTTCCCTGCTCTGTCTCTGGTGAATCCTCTCACCCTCCCGCACTCTGGCCTGTACCCCAGCTCTTGTATAAATAAAAATAAATCCAAAAAAAAAAAAAAAAGAATTCTGAGTAGTGGAGAGGTAAGAATATTTGGCAAGATTAATCTGACAGCATAATAGAGAATATAGTGGGGGAAAAGTGGAATCATTTCCTTAGGGATCCCATTTTCAGGATGACTCTCAGAAGCTCAAACCAAAATCACTGTGAGTAGTCTGTAAGTTTCTATAATGATTGAAATTAGACAGGCTCAAACATATTCCTTGGATATTTAAGAAGTAACTCCAGATACAATAGCTTTATTATAAACTGTTGTATGTAGAGCTTTCTTTTATATACTATGTTTAGAATTCTATTTGAAAAAAAAAAAAAGTCCTCTAAAGAACATGATATCTACAGTGAGCCTGAGACTATTAAGGAAATCTAGATGATTCAGCTAATGACTAACTCACCCAAGTCCAGAAACTACCTTCTCCCTGTCCACTTTTTCATCTTACCCAGCTCATTCATTTTCACCAGGGACTTAGCTTTGTATCTAGGTGCCCTTGCCTTCTGATATGTGCAGTGTCATGGATTTCAGCCATGTGACTTATTTCGTCCAGTTTTCTAAGTTCTTAAATGTAGGGATAGTGTTTTACCCATCCAGAGTAGCTCTACAGAGCCTGGTTCTGTTCTCTGCTCTTTATCCAGCCAGCAAGGCTGTGGACTGAATCATAAATAAAATATATTGGAAAATGTTGCTTCTCAGTTTATTAAGAATGATTAAAGATCCAAAAAGGTTTTTCACTGACATGTCAATATTGGAACAAAGACAAATGCTTGTTGAGCATCTTGATGATGCCCAGTACCTGGAGACACAGATGTCTGAGGTGAGAACCTGTGCAATGGATAGAGTCATCAAGCCAGAAAAAGAGCTAAATAGTTGTGAATAGGAGGTGCCAGGCATAGTATATATAAATCTTCACAGCAATGCAACAATTCTGTGAAGTAGATATTTTTGCACTTCTTTCAAGTTAAGAAACTGGGTTTCAAAGAGACTAAGTAACACTCTTTAAAGTGTTTCTCACTGAGTGGAGGGGTTGAGACTCTAACCCATGTCCACCTGACCTCCCTGTAGGTACTACGTCTCCATCAGGAGGTCAGGGGTGACTCCTGTTTCCTTAAGGGTAATTATCTGCAAACAGAGTCAACCAAAATCAGCCAGAATCAGAATCAGAATGCAATCATAATCAGGTAAAGATAAGTAATAATTTGTCTAAATATGTTATATTTTCTTTGTCACTTATCTTTCTGTGATTAACATTGAAAAGCAGACCTACCCAATAAAATACATTTTTTTGCTCATGAGTCACAAATATCATGACTTTAATAGGAGAAACTTCATGGAATCATTTGAGCTTTGATTATTTGATGGCTCATACTTCTCACCACACATGTGTTTTAAATAGGATGACAATTTTGGAATGATAGTTCTGAAGAAAGATGACATAGAATAAAGAACTTTGAGTTTGTTGAGGATTCAAATGTAAGCACCAGAAAAGGGTACTTTCTTAATTAGCAATAAAAAAATAATGCTTATTATCAATAGTTCAAATTCTTGAGTCTAAGTGTTAACATTATCACAGAAAGGTGACATGCATGACATGCTGGGTATGACATTGGTACACTCTGAACTTTTTCTATTGGGTAGTGATATTGTTCTTTATTAGTCACATTTCATCTCTTATTATTAACTATCTTTAACCCTCAGACATCCTCAATACATACTACAGATCATTCAGGGTGTTTGCGAAAAAGGCTCTCGGACATTGCTTCAAGAATGGTGACAAAATTAACAGAACAGAATTCTCTAACTTTATGAAAAAAGTGATGCTTGAGTTTGGAATGTTTTTCATTTGGAACTTCTTGAATCTTAAATGTTGAACAAACCTAGCAGTTTTTATAAATTGGAATTCTCATATCTTAGAGCAAAAGCAGCAAATGCAGAGAGGTGGAGTTGGCAACCTCAGTGACCACCTGTGACTAAGAAAGGAAACACCCAGAATGACAAACAACCTGAGGTGACTGTTGATCTTTCTGGTGGTGGCCTTGATTCATCAAGGATGCCCTGAATTGTGTTCTTTGCCTGGGAGTATGTGATAATTTTTAGCAGGGTTCTCAACAAAAATGTTCAAAAATAAAACTTTGAGTGTGTGATTTTGTAAAAATCTTGGTCAAAACTTAAAAAGCAAGCAATCCAAGTGACAGGAATTTCTCTTGCTCCCTTGCTGTATGCACTCCTGGTCGCTGGTGCACTCTGTTTTATAAAGGAATCTCTGCTTCCATGTGTATGCTGAGCCTATAACTGTCAATGGCAGGGAGGTTCTTACATCTCAGCAGTATGATAAGTTCCTGGGTGTTTCAAACTACCGCTCAGATTAAGTTTGTCTCTAGCTTATTCATCAATTTCTTTATCTTCTTTTCCAATAAACTAATTTTGAATCCTTGTTGGAGAGTACAGTTTGTCCTATAAAGGTCAAATGAAATCTACTTTAACTTCAATCATGTCTTTACCATTTGCAACCCTCAGTATGCAAAAAATAAATGCTAGGAGAGAGAGAACATTTAGCATGTCAGAAACTAAAGGAACAATGAATTGATATAATTTTGATACTATTTAATATCAAGTCAGATTATTCAATATAAGGTATTATACAATTGGTCCTAATATCTACTATTGTATAAGAATGGCCTTGTTATCTATTCAGTATTTGATATTGTGTGATATCTGGTTTCAATGAAGACAAAAGGAGGACTTCTATATAATTTGCTTTTTGACTATTAATTCAGCCCAGGATGTGAACATTTGATCTATGGCTATTGTTTCTGGATATAGAACTCTGCAAAGTTTGCTCCAGCTACTGATGATGATTGTGCTCAATATATTAAAATAGAATTGTGACAAGAGCCTTATAGGTTTTAACATTGGTGTATAGTTCCAATGGGTGAATAGGATTTGACATACTCTGAAAATAGTTAAAACTGAATTTCATAATCCTCTGTCCATTCCTATGTGTGACTCACACTCTCATGTTGAATGGTAGATATTCTCCATTTCGTCCATTTTTAGATTTCTATGCTGTGGCTCACCCTGGGATAACTTTCTAGCAAATTATCTAAAGCAAAGTTTAAGTTCATAAAATCAGTTGTTTTAAATAAGGTTAATTTGCAAATGATGTTATAAAAAGATCATGTTTCTTCAGTTATCTAGTCATTACACTGCTGGGGTAAATTCTACATCTGAAATCTAGGCATTGACTATAGCATGTTAACCAAAATAGGCAAATACTTATGAAGTGACTGATTTAAATTTTTTGTTTACTTCTGCTGAGCCATCAGAGCTAGCAATGATACTGTTGATAATATCTGTTCTTACAATATGAGCTTCATCATAATTCCCTGTAATAAAATTATAAATTATGTATTATTTAAATAACCAAAATTATTTTAAGTTGATTTTTCAAAAGGTGGATGTATAATAACAACATTTGTATATGGATTAGACAAAACCCCTAAGAACTGCTTAATTTAACACATTTCTAAGTATCTAATTTCTTTCAAAAACTGAACTCTTTCCATGTTTACAAGGCAGTCTGGGATAAAAACAAAATAAACAAGAGACTTTCTGGATAAATGCGTCCATATGCCAGTGTGGTTTAGGTCTGATTTAAGACACAAAACACATTATCTCTGAAAAAAAATGAAGGCATATTTAATAAATGACCAGAAGAAATTGCACAGTACGTAAAATGGAAAAAAAATACATAAAAATCTAACTTATTTTTAAATTTTAAAAACAATTCCAAGGAAGTTAAAACATCCTTGTAATTAAGATACTCAAAGGAATGAAATAAGAAAAACGGATGCAAGGAATCCTTCAAGTTAGGATTTGTGATACAAATATTTTCATCTTTGAACAGGGCAAGCTGATGTGTTCGCATCTCAGTTCCAAGCTGCCTCTTTCACCAGGAAACATCAGTATTTTTTAAAGCACATTTACAAGGCTTTCCCATCACCCTTGCTGTGTTTTTGTAGCACCTATGGCCATAACTGGCACCTGGAGGCCTTGCATTGTTGACAGTTTCCCTCTCGTTTCTTTGGAGTCTATTCAACTGCTGTGGTTTTACTCAGAAGTCAGTGCTTTGCATATATGATTTCCTGAGACTGTTTGAATAGTCTTTCTTAGAAAACTGTGCAAGTCTGGCTGTGAGCAGCTCTTTTCTGAGAGGAGCTGACAACAACCTGGTCGGGTCGGCGTGCGTGGACGTGGGTTATCAGTCATGCCCTACAGCTTCTCTCCCTACCCCTCGTTTCACATCCTTTCTTTGGTCACTGACATCGCTGCCCATATCTTGCCATCCCTTTAAAGAAAAGAACAAGATTTGGACTAGTCCCGTTAGGAAACAAATGCTGTCCAGGGAACTTATGCAAAGCCCCCATAAACACATTTCTTATTTCCTATGGCAGCAATTAATGTAGAAGTGATTTTAAATAATAAAATCAATCTGAATAATCAAGCTTCTGTAAGGTAATAATCTGTTATTAAGACAGAAATACCTACTTAGGATGATAGGTATGAAATTTGGAAATGAGGATTGCCTTAAATTTCTTGATTTGAGTGTGTTTTAAAAATTTTTTATAGCAGTTTGTGATGTTGAGAACAAAATTTGCTCTTAATAAGCTTTAAATGGCATGTTGTTTTCAGGTGCTATGGTAAGGAGAAACACTGCTTTATGAAGTGGCTCATGTGGGTGTATATATGTTGGTGAGCTGTGCTGCTGGCGATTCCATGGTCTTCGTCAGTATACCACTGCAGAGAGGAAGAAAAAGGTCAGAATTAGGAAGTCAGTTGTCTTTTTTGTTTCAATTAATTAATTCATGTGAACTCTCAGCAACATATGTGTTATAAGCCAGGATATTTTAATTCCCTAATCAATTAACAAATGGAAACCTGATCAAAGAAGACATTTAATTTCCCCCTCAGATTTCTTCCAGGGCATGCTGTTCTGTCCTACAGACATCCCTGTCTTGTGCAGGTGCTGAGAGCTCACTGTGAATTTGACCTGACTGGGTAGTGCTTTAGGAATGTATATTCTAATTAAAATATTCAAATCCACTTTCAAATTTGACTCAAAACACACCGAGAACCACATCATGCATAGCAGGGAATGTTTATCCCATTAAGCCCACTACTTTTAATTAAGTGTTATCAAGTGTCAAATTTCTCCTACACTACATTAAGATAAATTATATTAAAATAAATGAGCTTTTTTTAAAAGCATTTTTTCCTAATATATATCATTAAGAAAGCAGAAAAATCTATTTCAATATTCTATATATATATATGGTTAACATAAGTGAAGTCAAAAGTCAAATGTATTATTAGCACTTAGATTTCTCACTGGCATTTAAAAAAAAATCTGTATGTCTGATATTTATGTAGATAGAGCTGATGACCTGAGGCAAAAATTTACCAACTCATATCACATTAAACTAGTGGGAAGTCATCACCAGACCAACATTATTATGAAGACATACATTAACTTTTAAAAACTGCTTAATTAAAGTATCATCTCATTTCTTTAAATAGTGGGAAAAAAACCATTTCATCCTCTTCTTACAAGAATCTGACCTACAGGATGTATGCCAGGGTTTTTTGTTTTTTGTTTCTTTTTGTGTGTGTGTGTGTGGGGGGGTGGTAATCAAATGACTCACCCACTCCTATACAGTATACAGAGGGCACCATTTGAACTGAGCACAGAGCAAAGCATGTATGCTAGAATAGAGAGAGAAGCCTGTCTATTAGCAGGCTTTTCTAGCTAATAGACAAAAACAGTTACATTTTACGCAAAAGTATATAGTGCAATACACATGTATAAATATACATATGTGCATGAAAACATGTGTATATATGTGTGTGCAATCTTCTTAATCTGAAAAGGTGTAATGCAGAAAAGGAATGTGACTTAATAGCTATAATCATCCTGTATAGGCAATAACAGCTCTAGCCATTTCTGACTTTATAAAACAAGCCTAATTGTTTATTGCCTGTGTGTTCAACAAAAGGTATCATGGCAATTGCAAAACCTGAAGCTTGCTGATTATTAATATCCCACTGGCGTAAGAACAGCTAGTAATACATACAAGACAAAAATGGATTTTCATATTTGAGCTGAGCTATTATCATGCTGGTTTCACTTTGGAATTACTCTGCCACACATTCACTGAGTAAAGTGATTACTTTTGAATCAAAATAGGGAAAGACTGAACAATCACATGAAAAGAGAACAGTGTTTTGACACTCCAGGATATGCAGTACTGTGCTTCTCAACCCCAAATTCTCTAATATTATTGAACATTATTCTGTGTATGGCTCAAGGATATCACTTCTCCAGTCACACACTGGAAAAATAAAAACTCTTCATTCTATCCCTGACTCCTGGGCTGACTGTAAGAAGTAGCCCGAAGAGGGGAAACCAGCCCCCACCAGCAAGTGCCCTCCCGGGTGTAGTTTTGCTATATACCATTGCCTGGAAATCCACTCCAGCATCCACCAGGGCTTTGGAGATCTGAGCTGACTGCTGAAAGTGAACGTTATCTGCAGGAGAGAAAGGAAACATAAAGTAACTAATAGCCATTCCAGCTTTCTGATACCAAAGGGTAGGAAAGGCAGGAGAAGAAAGGGACTGTTTGAAGTTCTAGGACTCAGCATCCCATTTAGCCTAAGACAAGTGAGTTGTGGAAAGCAACACTGTTTTATTGAAGTAAATGTAACAGTCTTGCCCCTCATGCTTTTGTTTTGTCAGTAGTGAAATTGCAAACCTGTCTGTGATACTAAAAAGTCTAATTAACTGAAACTCACCATCTGCTGTTCCATGAATAAGGAGGTACTCAACTTGTTTAAAATTTTCAGCTCTGCTCATGACTGTTGAATTCTGGAATTGGGAAAAAGAATGTCATTATTCAAAAAAAGATCTGCCATAAACTGATTTTTCACTTCAGTTTACAAAATAAAATGTTTTCAGCTGGGGCCCCCTTTGATACAAAATATAGCAAACCGATATTCAAGCAAATGCTGTCTCCATGCATGGCAGAATGCACAGCATGCCCTGTGCCTGGGAGACAGGACTGCAAAGGGAGGATGCCACATCTTCCCTGCACATGCAGGAAGAGGGCACCTGCCACCCAGGCTGCACGCAAAACCCCGTGAGTCCCAGATCCTAGATTGGCTGTGTCCTATGCATTAGCTCAGGGCAGAGTCTCATATTAGCAATGTATGTTCCATGGGCTTATGCTGTAGTTCAGCCAAAAAGTGTATTGCCATGGCAACCATGTGTCACATGGTGCCATACATGCTACATTTCAAAGAGCCTGTACATAGCATTTGCAACTAAACATACTCTGCAATATGTCGTATGAACTTTGGTCCACATTGCTAGGCGCTAAATGAGAAGCCGATATTACCTCCTTTGGAACAGATGTTTTAAACCCAGGCAAATGTGACATATGTGAGGGGGAAAGGGTGAAAAAGATCAAGAGTGGCCTTAGAAAATCAGTGGGTGGTGGTTGTCTGCCTCATTCTGTAGTGGAGAAAATGCTATTAGATCAAGTCACTTCCAATAGGTCGGGGAAACAGGATAAATAAAAAACTGTGAGGTCAGCTTTTTGAAGACTGCATGTTGGCCTCAGTGGGATAAGACTTCTAGAATGAGGCTGGGGTCTTGACTGAAGAGGCCTTTGAAAGCATAGAACAGGTCATCTGACTTAATTGGAGGTAATGACACAGTGGGAATAAAGGTAAACATGTCAACAGAGAGGTGGTAGTGCCACCTGGAGTCGAGTGCAATCTGGAGTCGGCCCCTATTACCTGGTTATGGGGTTGGGAGGAAACACCAGCAATCTCCCTGTGGGTTTCAAATCAGCAAACTAGTCCTGCAGCATTTTGGTGAATCAAAATCAACTTAATGGGAGCTAAATTTTCTATTTACATATATCTATATTGTTGCTAATCCAGGTCAATACTTTAATGGGAGCCTTAACTGATTCCCATTGGAAAGGGGTTGGGGCTAAGGTAAGAATATTTGTTTTCTAGTCCCAGGTTCAATATCAATGAGCTGTGCACCTGTGGACCAGCTCTCTGAACCTTGTTTTCTATAAAATTGGAATAAGAATAACTCCTCTTACTCTCTCACAGATACAGGAATTGAGAGTCATAGCTTTTTCTTTCTATGGCTAAACTGCTGATGGCATCATAACAATGCTCTAACACTGTATTTCGGGGGAAATAAAAAGATACCTGTCTACAAATTTCAGGACAGGTTACCCAACAAGTTTCAGATGACTGAGGCGCCCATGGTCACCTTGTCCTACAAAGCTTAGCACCAATACCCTCCTACCCATGTTCAGACTGGTTCTCACTCCTCCTGACCATAACTCATTTCTGGCCTAAATTGAAAATTTACCTATGAACTTTCAGAATTAAACCTAGGACTCATTAAAAGTCATACTTTCATTTTACTTTATTTTTAAGAAACATTTCATCCGGTATAGTGTCCTAGATAAATCCCTCAATGTATGGATTCCCCCCCCCCGCAAGCTATTCATCCATCCATCCCAACATTACCCCACTTTTTCTTCCATCCATTCATTTTCTTCAGCAAGTCAATATTTATTTGCTATGTATCCCACTAAACAATTAGATTCATGAAAAAAGAAATTTGTCTGCATTGTTCATTATTTTTAGCATCTAATACATCTAAATATCAATTAAGAGACAAAAGAAAAGCACTAGTATTGGACCCTATTTTCAATTCACTCCTAGTTTTTCAGAGGCAAGTGGGAACTGCTAACAAAATACTCTCATTCTGAAATTTACTGAAATTTTGCTTTTGTCCATTTCAACCTTTATGCCATGCCATTAATAATACCAACCTTTCCTCTGTGGACTGTGTCAAGCATCTTAAAGGAATTATTACAGACATGGCTCTATTTAATCATCATAACACTACTGTTAGTCGATCTACATATAGAATTTTCTACATGGAAACATCAGATACAGAAGTGAGTAATGTGCACCTGCTTACGTCTGTAGGTAACGTGAAGTCAAAGGGGACAAAGTCTGACAGCAGAACCCCCTTCTGCATCCTATGTTGCTCACGATGCGGGTTTCCAGTAAAAAGCAGGAGAAAACAGTTGCTACACAAATGCACTTTGGCTCCTGCATCTCCAAGCCCTCTTAGACCTGCACAGCCGGTGAGAACAGGGAGGCAGGTGAGGGAGAGCCTCGTGCAGCAACAGATCCCTGAGCATTTTTCTGCCCTTCAGGGGGAAGTGTCAAAAGAAATTTTCTTACAGAACAGTGTCAGTTCTATGCTGGAGCCAGAACAGGCTGGGGCTTGAACACTGCCAGTGAAGTTTCATAACCTGGGTCCAAGGCCCGGATGCCCTGCCCGAGTGCTCCTACTGGTCCTTTCTACTGGCCCTACTCACAGCTTGCTGACCACACTGCTGTTCCCCCAGCTCCTTTTTCCGCATGTTAAATCTAGATCATTGCTCCAGGAAGACAGTCAACTTTAATACCGAAACCTGACCCAAATATACAGCTGTGTCACCTCAGCTCACCTCCAAAAGTCTCATGGGCCTTCCCTGCTTGGCAACTGGAAGAGCAAAAGCTGCTCCCAGAACCTCCCTGAGCCATAAAACTGAGAAATGTCATTGAAACATAGAGTAATAGTTAGGAGGCATATAAATACGCAGGACAGTTAGCAAGGAATGTGATAACTACTGGAGTTTGGACCAAAACAGTTTCTGGCTGCCTTTTTTTTTTCTTAAATGGAGTGAATACAGGCTGAAAGAAGACAATTTTTATAAACAAGTAAAACCCTGAGCCTAAGATAAATGTTGTGATGTACACACTGTAGCTGTGATGAACTAGACATGGTGAGAAATGCAACATACTGAGAAAAAGACGAAAACTGTGATAAAAGTGTCATGATGCAAATTGTTTTACATTAACAATATTACACTACAAAGAAAGAAAGACAAATACTTTAATGCAGCAAGAGAAAAATAAAACAAAAGCTTCCCCTGCAACTGCAAGATGTGTGTGCTGTTTCCCATGCACAGTTCCCCCTGCTCACTGGGAGAAGCCTCCAGAGGGACCTCTCTATGCAGGGAGGCAGCAGCCGGGAGGCACACCCGCTGCAGGCTCTCAGGCTGCACAGAAATTTTTCCCCCAGAAAGATACAGCTGTGACACCTTGGTTCTGGAACCACCGACCATTCACTACAGCGGCCCTGAGGCTCAGGCGAGACTATACAGTGCACGCCCAACTGTGGAAGACAGCACTCCAAACCAGTGAGGAAAACGTGCGTGTTAATATAAGGTATGATTAATCATCAGAAGTAAATTAACTAGGATGTTTCAACCTACCAAAATAAGATAATCCCCTTTTGCCTATCGATGGAAACAGAAATAAAAAAGGAAATGGATGACTAAGTTAGAAGCCAAATAGTCTATCACCAACTACTAAAAAGGAAGCTCAGAGTGATAAATGGGCAAAGATGCAATGGTGGTGCAGTTGGCACTCTCCTGAGGCTAGAAACTTCCGGAGAGCCCTGCTGCCAGCAACAGTCTGGCAAGGAGAAGTGGGAAGGATTGGTCCAGTGGCAGTGCCGATTCCACAGCATCTCTGTGAGGAGCTTTTCCTTCAAGCCCCAAGGAGAACCATCTGTAGCTGCTCGTTGGATCATGCTGATTCCTCAGTTACCTTCCAACAAATAAATCTTTGTATTTTTGAAATAAAAGAGAGGGCTGATAAGAGTAGGAAAGTACTGTGAGAAACAGAAGGTCTAACAATTTTTAGGCTACCCATTGTGCCATCTACAAGGCAGAAGGACAATTGGCTCCACCAGGATAATGGTGGCAGCTGCCATGTTCTGAAAGCTTACTTACAGGTCTCTCATTGAACCTTTTCAATAATTCTGTGGGGTAGGTCTGATTACCCCCATTATCCAGATGAGGAAACTAAAATTCAGAGAGGTTAAGTAACCTCCCCAAGTGAGTGGTGGCAACAGAATTTGAAGGTGTATCTGTTGAATCGCAAGCCCATTCCCCTTCCATCATATTCCAGGACCCCTCCGCTTCGTCACCAGACAACTCGTCATCTTGTGCTGGTTCTTGTAGAAAGAGCACACAGCCACCGTGGAATGGTCCCCGTGCTTCAGTGAGATGTTACCTCAGTGTATTGATTTGCTCCATGCCACCAAAGCCTCGTTGGTGATACTGGGTGATGTTATTTGGGGAAGCACCATTAATGCCACCACAAAGGCCACAGAAAGTATTTAAGAAAAATGAATGAGTATTTAAGAAAAAAAGGAATTCAATCCACTTTATCAGATGTTTTACTTGTTTACATCTATCAAACAACTGTACCCATGAGATGCCAAGGAAAGAGCGCCCATCAACCCGACAGGGGGCTCTACCTCAGGCCTCACCAAGCAACACTGGCTTCTTTAAAGATCACACAGCAGTCAACATTTTATCAGCACTCAACAAACAAGTTAAGGTTTGGCTTAAATCTGAAGGTCTCTCTCCCTTTGGCATATTCTGGGATAATAGAACAAATGTCAAATCAGTACAAGATGGCATATTTACAAAATTGCACCCTGTTTTGCATAACCTAACGATGCAGCAGTTCTTAAGGATTGAACATTTCAAATCTGCTAGCAGAAGACTGCCAAATCTATGACTGTTTCATACACTTGCCAAAAGCCTATCAAATTTTGAGCAAAATGCAAAATAAATCTCCTCTACAAGTTAAATCAGTCCCTTCTGTGTGTTCCAGGCTGCCCTCTTCTCTTGGCAACAAGGCTCGGGACTTGGGTCCCATTTCTCTTGCCCTTGATCTTATACTCTTCTGTGTGTACTCCTAAACCCACTCCCTCCCCAGGCTGATGTCCTGCCTTATTGGCCACCATTTAGCCTGTCCTTCTCACAGCCATTCTTCATGTTATCTCTGGGTTCATCCAACCTGCTTCACAAATGCCCAAAAAGCCAGCCCTACCTGCTACTCATTTGTCTATTTGGTGCTACTTTGCCTTCTCCCTCTCTGCTGCCTCTAGAAACATCCACTCTTCCTCCCCATCATCCTCAGTCCTTTACCTTGACTTCAGATAAGTGCCTTTCCTACTGCTCCGTAGCTGGATGTTACATAACATTATGGGCCTCAGTTTCTGTGCCAGGAAAATGCAGTTAATTAGAGCACGTATCTCAGAGACTTTGAGGGAGAACTGAACCTAATAATCCATGTAAGGAGCTTGGAAGCTTGTCTGACCAGAGTAGCAAGCACTTGATAAATGAATGGAAAAAAATGAAATGATCCCCATTCCAGTTGAGAAGAGTAGGAATAAGGTGAACCCTTGGCTACCCCCTCTCCCCTCTCCAGGAATGCTCAAAAGGATAAACGCCTAGGGCTTTATAGTCCCAGTTTGGAAACCATTTGTCTTTTCCATACACATGTGAGTCCATCATAGCTATGCTCATGCTTTATTATCTATGCTCTTATTTCATTCCAGAAATTTCCTGGGCATGTTTTGCCTCACCAATATGCTAATCAAGCTTTAAACAATTAAAACACCAGGCACTTCTAATGAGTGTGTGAAAGTTTGCCACACATTAATATTTCCTATACGTTTGGCCAAAAGACCTATGAATGACCACGTGAGAAACTCTTGGTCAATGTCAGTCAGTAACCCACTCCTTAGGGGTGTGGAAGCCCTATTTGCTTATTGCTAATGGGCCATCTGACTCCTTTGCTCCAATCTGTCTCATGTAGACTGAGACTCACTGCAGAAAAGATGTTTGCCCAGAGCAATACCACCTATGAGCTCTGACTTGACATCCTACCACTTTGCCTTCCTATCTAGAGCTTCTAGGATCAGCTCATTGGTTTTGGGTGATGATCATCTTCCATTCTCTTTGAGTTCCCGATGTCTTTTGAAAGTGTTCCTGCCACGCCATTTGGCAGTAGATGGGTGATTATCCACAAAAAGATATGGAGTCACTTCTTGTGCATCACTGCACTGGGTCTAAGCCTCAGTCTAGGGTCCTCTAATCTACAGCTTGGTAAGGGTGCTGGTCTCTGTGGTCGGAGACAGCCACAGATGTGCAAGGCTTAGGGAACGGAGTGGAGACTAACTTTCAGCAGGGCGCAAGCTGAACAACTATTCATGGCATCCCTGCCTGGTCCGTTAATGTAAACAAATAGTGCTTTTATTTCCCTTTCCCTTAATGGTAAGTATGAGCTTTATTTCACAAAATGTGCTTCTGTTGGTGACATGGGCTTCTCTTAATTTTTCCAAATCTGCATCATCCATGACCTAATAACGAAGCCTTTTCTCATTTGAGTTTTATGAAAAATAATGTTCTTTTCTGAAGGCTATAATTCTGACTGCTGTATCAATGATTCTTTAGCTGAAAACAATGACAAAGCTCAGGGTCTTGCTTCTTACATACACACCGGAGATCTCTGTCCTGGATGTCCTGAAAAGGGCCATTCGTACGGACTAAATGTGAGTCATTTTCAAAATATTTTCTTTTGACCCATGAACGCGCACAGGAAGGTGAACCCCTCTAAGAAAGTGTCTCCTTTGTCTTTTCAAAGAGGGTAAGTGGAGGAGAATAGAGAGAGGTGGGGGAGAAAGAGGGGGTGTAGAGAGAATATGAATATGAGAGAATGAGTAACACAACCAACCTGGGAAAGAAAAGTGAAAGAAGATGGGGTCCAGAGGGGCAGCTGGGGCCTTGGAGGAAAATAGAATCTTTGAATGTATTCTTGCCAGAGACAAAAGCGCAGGCTCATTTAAAAAACAAAGGAGGGCAGCTTTATTCTAAAGCCTGCTGTGCACCAAATATAGGCGCTTAGATTCAGTTCTCCACATTGGGAGGATGCAACTTACCAGGGTGGAAACAATTCAGATAATGCATTTGCCTCCCTGTCTCCTGCCCACCTTAACTATCGCCCGCCCAAATAATTCCACTGAGTAACACATTGGGAACCTTTAGCTCTCTGGTACTGGCAGTTTTAATGTGTCCATTGCCAGCAATGAATTTTGTGCCAAGAAAACCCGACTCCTGGCGTGGAAGGATTAAACAGTCCTCGGGAGCCATCTGTGCAGTGAAGTGAAAGAGTGACTTTGTGCACCCAGTGTATGTGTGTTGCCATTGGCAGTAGGAAGTGACTTCTATTTACATGACTACCTCAGGCAGCGAACACCTAAGGGGAGAGAAGACAATGGCCACTGAGTGGGGGGTAGATGGGGACCAGTGTAGGAAAGAGGCGCCTATGGGAAAGTCTGGAAAAAGATGCGGGTTGAAATGGCAGATTAAAACCAATTCTCCTATAGGAGGAGGGCTGGTTGAAAAGGAAATGCCCTGAGGCCGGTGTTGACCTAGGGAAACAGGGTAGGGGCCAGGGCCTTCCTTAGATACCAGGTCTGGACTTGACCCTGTGCTTCTAGGTTCAAAAACTTTTCAAAATGGGATTTTTTTTTTAAATAAATGTTTGACTCATCATCTACCAGATTCTAAAGTCAGGAGAAGGGTCCAGCACTGAAGGGTTCTAAAATACCACTGATGTCTTGGAAGGTTTTCGTACTTTGGGATATGAGAAAACTCTTTGGCAACTAAGCAAATATGGCATAACATAGGAAGGATTGCTTTCAAATGTAAACATCCTGGTCAAGTGATTGCCAAGGAAATTCAAGTTGTGAAATGAGGGAAGTGATGGAGACCTACAATTTTTATAGAAATGTTTCCCTTCAAAAAGTTTTGATGTCAAACAGGAAAGGTTTTAACTAGTTCATACTGTGTAGCCAAAGAATACAGTGTTGAATAGTCTTGAGCAGTTAATACTACTCCAGAGGGGGATGGGGTTTACTCTAGGGGTCCAAGATGGAGAAATTGAGGATTGAGAGATACACAGTGGGTGGGAATTGTCATGGAAGTCAAAAGGGAGAGCTACTTCACTGGGAGAGCAGTACCTGTTTTCCAAGAGAGGAAGGTGGATGATGGGAAAATAAGATGGAAATGATATCCCAGGCAGAAGAAACATAAGACAAAGGCACAAAAGGGAAAGGCCCAGAAATATTTAGAGAATAGAGAACACCGAAGGTAACCTGGGCCACTGTAAGAAGCCTGTTGAACACCTGGTCGAAGAGTGAAGGTTGGACTTAGTTAAGCACACAGGAGAGACCCATGAAGGGTGGCAGGTATGCGACTCATCTCGCAGCTCTGAGGTCTAACCAACAAGCTAAGGGGAGACAAATTGGATTTTACGAAGAAAGGAGCTAGTTATGCAGTGATGTGGCTATGAAGAAAGGAAATGATGTCTGAAGGAGCTATTTGAGGTAAAGGAGAAAGAGTGGGAAAAATTGAGTCCAGACTATCGTGTGAGCCATAGCAGAGCTGAGGACACCCTATGGGGCCACTTTGTAGTGGAAGATGATTTGTGTGTCTCACTTTACAGATTATTGCTTTTCTATCTTGACTGAAAAACAGAGATGAAAACACAGAAGCAGGCACAAACAGACACATACTCCATTCCTCCCACAACCTTCTAAATAAAACTGAGAGATAAAACTAAAGTGACTATACTTATATTGCAAAACTAAATATTTCAATGGAGTTTCATTGTGTTTTGATGAAATGGCTTCAGAATTCACAGTAATCTTAGAAAAACATACAGATATTGCTTAGAACAATGTGTTAATATGAAGCTCGTGCATGGGAAGCCGGGGTACCGTTTTGGAAAGATTTTTAATTTCCTTTGGGAAATGTAAACAGTGGTTGATTTGCCTTATTATTTGTAAGTTTCGGGTATTTTAATTTGTATGACAGAATCAGGAACATTTTAGATGGTCTAAAGTGCTAGAAAGTTCCTTAGAACCTAGGCTAGCACTTCTAGCTACAACAGTCTGGCACCAAAGAACGTGCTCTGCCTTTGGGGTGGCATCCACCATAGCACATGGGGCTTCCACACCCAGACCATATTTCAAATGCTGTGACCCATCTGCAGAGCAATCCACCCACTAGTCCCATTAGATCAACCAGTCTGTTGGATGCTACTCAGCAATTTGGGTTCAAGGATTTTTCAGGGTACTTTCCAAGTGTATCTGCTCCTCACCTGATTTACTCAAATCTTATTTGTAACAACTGCCCATATTTGACGATGAATAAGAAAATGATAAGGCTTGTTCATCCATCTTACTTATGATAATACCATAAGAAATTTTAATGTGTAGCTAAACGTTTAGTCTTTTGGACTCTAAAGGAATATGTTGAATTTGACATGTTTTCTAAACGGAAATTTTTATAATTAAAGTAATTATCTGGTGTTGCTTTGTATTTCCAAATGAATGCATATTGTGACCTATATAGCATACGATAAAAACTGTAATTATGCAGAATATAGTAGGGGAAGCTATTGGAGTATCTCTAAACCACCTGTGTTATTTCTTTTTAACAAGAATTTTGTTGGAAATAAAAAATATATAATTTCTAGAATAGATGCTCTTTAAAATGTGCTTAAGCCACTTATAAATAGGTTATAAAATGTATCTAGCTCTTTTTCTCTTACCTTGTAATGGTCAAGGTTGTCTTCTGGCAAACTCATATAACGTTCTGTGTACACTGAGTCTGTGATGGAAAAAAAGAAAAACTTAATTCACGCAGTAAAAATGCTTCTTCCTTTCACTGGGCTACTTTCTGTGCTGTGGTGTGTCTTAGTGTGACCCTCCAAAATACCTCCTCAAGATCATTTTATTTAGCTTGCTAGAATACCCAGATAGAGCTCAGAGGCCTTCTCCTATTCAGCCCTAACCATTCTCACTGAGCTCACACAACGAAGGCAAAGGAAGATCAAATACAATGCTCTAAACACCACTCAATAATCCCCAAGCAGAAAAGTGAAATTCGAAGTGCTAAGAGGTTTGGACACTTTACACTATCATCTGACTCTCTCAAAGAATCTTAATCAGGAAGTCACTTAATACTTCAGTTGTCTTGAATATTTTGGTCCTGAACAAGCATACGCCCTAACCTATGATTTCATTTTGGAATCTACTCATAATGTTCAATTACTAATTGTTCAGTTAAATCACATTTTATTTTTTCTGGCAGGTTGAAATTGATTATAATGAGAAAAAAATTCAGTTATCATTTACTTGTGTCTATCCCCACATCAGCTCAGCTACTCCATCCTAATGCAGGTTAAACATTTGTTTTGTCTCATTTTAGAGAAGCCTCAATTTTGGAGTTATAGTAGTTGAGTATTTTGAAACAGATTACATTAATATCTGTCTGCTGAAATGACATAAGCTCTTTTATCTATAAATATGGTAGAAAAACAGTTTGCATAATTGATTTGGTTATTTTGGATAATTAAACATATTTTTGCCCTATTTTGAAAAGACTAAATCATACATTACACACACACACACACACACCTAAAATATCAAGTGAGAAAAATTTGCTGTGACAAATTCCACTATCACTTTAAAAATCTGAAGTAACTGTTTTGAAAGATGCCCCGGTATGTGACCAGATTACAGTAAATAAGTAAGTGTAAGAATAGGTTGCTATTGTGATATATAAGCTAATGGCCTAAAATTCACTGTAATTGTACAGATAACTCAATACCGATCTCATTAATTCTTTAAACGAATATATAAGCTAAACAACTACCTTAAGCAACGCTCTAACCTTTTCTGAATGACTGGCATTATGGAATAGAAACTACATTGGTAATGAGTGCTACTTGTTTCACAGGTAGTCTCCATGCCATTTGCCTAGATATCAACATATTTTTCTACAAAATGAGCTGTAGCAATTATTTTACTATTTTTATTAAAATGAATATAACCTATATGTTATTATACATATTTAGAGGACACTGATATGGAAAAGACAATACTTTAAGGGACACTTTAAAATATAAGATCTTTGCAAAATACTCAAATAGTTTAACCTTTAAATATGTGTGAATAACAGGTTGTATATTTGATTGGGGGAAAAATTTGAAGGAACAGAATTCAAATCTTGTCTTTTATTATGATAACAAACTGTATATGTGTAAGAAGATCTGAAAATTTTAAAATAGCATTTTAAAAATGCATAATGCAATTACTGTAAATGTTTAGAAAGATGCCTTAAAATACCACTTACATATTTCTCCTATCCTCATATATAATGTCCTTACATATAAGAATTCTATAAGATTCTAATTTGTTAGGTTGGTCCATATACATTTAATGAAGTTCTCTTATTATTACAGGTTTCTAAACCCAGGAAGAGTGTTTCTAGTATTTTATTGACCACCAGAGGTCTCCAAAAACAAGTTATCCAACAGAATAAATAATATCAAATAGAAAAGTTATTACATGAAAACAAATCGGTTGTGTACAGATCAAATCATAATTATGCTCTGATTTTTTTTTTCAACAGGAAGGTAGCAATGTATTTTTCATTAGCTTCTCTTGACCTGGAGAAATAAGGGTTTCCACAGGACTGATACTACCACATGTTAGGGCATAAATATTTAACGAGCACATTTATTGTCAATGATTCCATCTTCTTACTGCATAAAGGACTTGAGAGACAGTTAAAAGAAGTATAGGAGAACCAAATCAACACCTCTGACTCTTCCCTCCTACCTAGTGATCTATACTCCCGTACCCTCCGGAATTATATAGTTTTATTATACTTACTCTGAGAATGACGTGTTCTCAAAGATGAACAGGATAGTCTAGAGTGGTTTTCACCTACTTAGAAACAGTAGGAAAAAAAACTTCCCCAGCACCTAATCTCTACTTTACACCCAAAGTCCTGAAAGGAAGGAAATCCAGGCTTCTTTTATTCTGCTAATATGTGAAGTCCCAAACTTAAATTAGAACAAAGTAAGGAAGCAGAGAGATAGCACTGGGGGTGCTTTGAAATTTGGAAACTAGAACTTGATGATAACGAAATGTGCAGATGACATATAATACCACCCATTCTTTCACAATGGCAGAATAAATGAAATCTTTTTATTATAAATATCCATAAAGTACCTCTAAGATGAATCAGCTTATTTGTTCTAGAAACACTGAAACTTAAAAAACAAGAATGGTTCTGTCACTGGAATTTTCAGGTCAACACTCAGCAACTCTCTACCTGGCTCAGTTACATACCATAGTACTCCCACCGAGCCACGGGCGCCACGGCGATTCCACACTTGAACACGCCACTTCCTGCTCCCAGGACCATTGAGGTTACGTACCCGCCATATGACTAAGAAATGGAAACAGTTATTTTTATGGAGGTAAAGGAATTAAGGACATATGGTAAGCGAGTCGCATTTCTCACATCTTTATATACTGTGCCTCTTTAGAGAAAGCATGATAGAGGAGGCTTAAATTGGCCTTAATTGGACAGTATCTAAAGACTACGCTTTCAGAGTCCTCGTCCCTTTTCTTGGTAGTTGTAGGGGGAAAAGCATCGAAAATTTTCTGGGTAGTATCAATTAAAGAAAAAATAACAATAAACATTAAATTTTAACTGACTCCCTTCTGAAAAGAAAAGTACCCCTCCTTGTCTCCTTCTTTATCTCTATTTCAACTTTCTACTTTATCTCCCTTCCTCACCTCCCTCCCTTATCCTAATAAAAGTGTAAGCCCGCCTAGTAGGGACTTCTTGACCCAAGACCTACAATATTTGATGTAGGTCTTCTCAGCTTATTTTTACACAAAAGAGAAATCAACCTGCTCTGGGTCACATGCACTAAAGAATGTATGTCGATGCAAAAGTCAGGTGACTACTCACCCAGCCCCAAATTGCCATCCGTTTACTGTCCACAAATCCCATCTTTGAAAATTGTCTAAAACAAACAGACAAGATCCAAAAATTAGTATACACTGTGTACTGAAAATTAGGATTACTGCCCAAACGTGAAGCCCCATTATTTGTTCTCTATTGCACTCTATTAGAAATGAAGATTGCTGCCAACAATCAAATAACCCCCTGAGTAATGTCTATCATCTTTAACTTAAGAGCCAGATGAACAAGGTTTACTTTTGTTGAAGTCCGTAAAGTGTGTGTTTGTGTGTGTGTTTGTGTATGTTTGTGTGTGTGTATGTGTGTGTGTGTGTGTGTGTGTATGATTCACAGCAAACAAATCCTGGCAGTTTTTTTCACAGCTTTATATAAAAATTTGCAGCCCAGATGCACTTTTCCTTACATAATTGAATTTAAATCTCTCCAGATGTTTTCCAGTTTGAGAGAGACTGCCCCTACAATGGAGAATTATAGGGACATACAGAACATCTGGGTAGGCTTAAAAATGTCTCTGGCCCCCCCTATCTGAGAACTTAAACACCATTCTCCACATAAATCCCTTCTTATGCAAGATGTTGACTGTTTAGCTCAGCACCATTCAATAGGAAGCAACTTTTCCTTGATGGATTAAGAAGTCTTTTTGCCACTGAATTGAGCTCGGAACAGGAATCCAGATAAAGAAATCAGAAAAATGATGCACTCACTATTTCTTAAACTCAGGTTTATGTCAAAAGGCAATTTGCTTAGTTTTAAAAAAAATTAGCAAATGGGATTCAACTTTATAGCATCTAAGAGAATGGAGGACCCTTGCACTGACATATTTGTGACTGAGACTTTTTATATTTACAATTGATAACAAATGCCTTAGGCTGTGCCGAGTTAAGCAATATTTGAAAACATTCAAAATGTTTCAATTCAAAAGTAGTTTTTACCTTCATTAGGCTCTCCATGTAAGTTTTGTAAGCTTACAATAAAGTACAGAACATGCACTAAATCATGAGTGCACAAATTGATAAATCTTTACAAAGTAGGTACATTCTTGAACCCAGATGTAGCACATTACTGTCACTCAGAAGCATCTGGGTGATTTCTCCCTTGGAAAAAGGAAAAATATGATTTCTTTTGGTTTCATAAAAATTTTAACTTTGCCTGGTTTTGAACTTACATAAATTAGGTCATGTGGGATGTACTCTTATGTGCATGTCATCTTTAACTCAACAGGCTGCAAGCTTTATTTGTGTTACTGTGTATAGTTCTTTGTGTAGTTGCTGAAAGAGTATCCCATTGTATAAATACATTACACATCTCACTACTTTCTAAACTGGAGCTGTATATCACAATACTCAATTCCGGATACTCAATTCCGTAATTTTAGGGTTTGTGTCAGTCAATTTGAAAGACCCTGGAAACTATGTCGCCTCTCACAGCAGACCAATCTTGATAAATAAACCTTTATTTTAAAAATATCACAGACTTGAACAAATTTGTCCTCTCTTCTCTTATCATTAACATTGGTATACAAAAATCAGGGGTATACTTAGTATATTGTCATCTCTTAAGTTGTTCCTTTTCTTAAAGATATTTTCTTCTACCTATTAATTCACAGTTTTTCTGCTTTTCCTAGTTTATGATTTCACAACATTATTTTAAATCCCCTAGTACTGTGCTTCCCCAGACATCCACAGAGTTGGCCATAGAAACTCCAAGATTATACTTCCCATTTACCAATTGAATGTAAGTGAGACCTAAATTCAAGCGAGACCTAAATTTTACTTTGGAAAATTACCTTACTAGAGTCTCTATTTTTATACTTGAAATACAGGATACAAAGACCCACTTCCCAGGGTGGTTGTGCCCTTTCAAATACAATGCAGAGCAAACATTTCTCACATTACATATGCATTACTGAATAACCATCATTCATGACCAAAGGCTCTCTTAAACCAGATCACATCTCTTTTTACTCTCATAACTGGAGAGCACAAGAATGAGATATGATTCATACATGATGAAGCCCTTATAATTGTAAGCAGTGAGGGTCTGGGAGTCATATGCTATAATTTTCCCCAAATGGAGGAGTAATTCTCCTCCAGATCACTCCTAGGATTTCACAACCATCACCCTCCTACGATGTAAATGCACAGAGAACTCCTTTACTTATTCTTGAGACTGTTTAGTGAGATGTTTACTGAGGGGTGTATAGATCCTTCTTTGTCCATGAGCTTGATGAACTTCAAATCTCTGTTCCTCGAAGGTGGTAGCACATATGTCAACTCCCTTTCTAGAATCACATACAGACAGGAATCTAGGAAATATCTTTTTTCTAACTTTATATAAATCTATAATGGCATAGATTTTCATCTAAATATGACATCATCACTAAGAATCTACCTCAAGGATGAAAAATTAAAAGTTTAATTCTAGGACACTTTAAATTCTTTACACTTTACAACTTGAAGATATAAATTGAGGGGAAAAAATCGGATGACCTTTGAATTCATCTTTGAGTCACTCACCTGGCTGCTTCAATTTGATCTTCAACTTCAAATGTTCCCAGTCTTCTGTAGATTGCATGCATGATTTTGTCTCCTTGGTAACCACTTCCTCTGCCATCAAAGCTAGCTACTATAATGTTTTCTGTGCTTGCAAGGTAAGTAGCCCAGCTGAGTCTGTAGACAGCATCTACTTTTTGACTGCAGGGACCTGCATATCTGTGGAAAAAAACCAAATTTTTTAGCAGTTGTGGTTTTCCTGAATCAAATAGGGAATGCTGGCATGTCCATTTGCTGTGGACAAGAAGTGTACATTTTTCCTGATCAGTAGCCTGAAATTGTGCCAGGCACTAATGTGTCCACAGCAGTTCTCTAAAACTTGACAACAGGACTAAAATGGCAGTGTATTTCCTTCAAAGAAGCCCATCAATTTCATCTTTGAAGACAGTTATCAAACAAAAACTTCATAGGCTAACATAAGTAATATAGATCTTTGAAATCAAAGAAATAAATCCTCTAATAGTTGTGGTGGGGGTTGCATTATGAAAAAATAATGATGATAACAATAAATGCCTATCTGAATATTCTTTCCATCTCATCTTATAGACACACCTAGACCACAAGTTTATTTCCTACACTGAAACTTCCGTAAGGACTCTGCCTGCTATGTAAGATGTGTCACATTTCCCCCAGGACCCAGCACAGTGTTGTACACTAAGTCACACAAGTCATCATGGAAAGGGTCGAAGTATGAATGAAAGGTATTTTTTTTATTTCAAAGGTGAAAAATAGTTTGTATTAGAAAATGGATATGTTGTTTGCCTTCTATTTATTAACAATTTTAATTTTACATGTAACTGCTTTCAGCTCAGGCTACAACCTACCAGCAGCTCCCCAGCTGTGTGAACAACCTTGTAGAGAACATTTCCATTTGTTGATCAAGGAAGCTCCCTATAGCTCTTTGCATCTCATTTAAATATGTTATCTTTGCAAAAACTACCAGGTTCCTGGACCCATACCTTCTCCAAAAACACTTCTCCCCTCCCCAGTGGATCTTGCCTTCTCATCTGCTTGCTCTCCCCCTTTCCTAGGATTGGACAAGTCCTGTTTGCATGACTTGGCTAACATTTTCCTCCCTCTCCTTAGGAATGGCAGTCAAAAGAATTTTAAACAAAATATTGTATTACATTAATTAAGCTAAATATCATAACATTCTAACTGTAAAAAGAAGAACACATTCATGCATTTCTTGCATGTTAAACACTTTTTAACAGCATGTAAAATGCCTTGGCCCTTTCAATGATATTAAATTTGGGAGAGTAATAGCTTCCTTTAATATTAGTTATGTAACAACTTACCTAACACCTTAAGATTAAACATTATTTTTAAAAATAGAAGATACAGATTTAGATATCTAAGGACAGGAAGAGGAAAAAACTAAAATGAAATGGGCACTAAGTGTACCCTGTTTTTTAAACTTTCCTAATGAAGCGGAGGTCTAGTCATTACTTACTAGAAGTAAGGAAAATATAAAAATATCATTCTTTTCTAAAGGATAATTTTTTAGTATTGGGACTAAAGTCTATATAGTAAGCTATTGTCACTCAAGTCAAAATGAGGTTTAATGAAAATCAAACAACTCTTCTGAAGTTTAAAATAGGGCTTTCTCTTTTAGGTATATGGAATTTTAAGTACAATGGAACAAGGCTGTGTTTGATGTTAATATCTGTACCCCTCATTTTTGTTGTTGTTTTTAATTTCAGTTTTATATATAATGGACTCAACAAATCATGTTGGTTTGCTGTGTGAATGAATGAAATAAGACACATTACTGGCATGCAGAAGGCACCCAGTACATTTGCTGATTATTTTTCTTAATAGAGGAACTGAGGCAGGCTAGGACAGGGAGAGTGGTATGATGGCCTTATGCCTTAGAAGGATTAAAGTGAAATATATTCCTAATAATTATCAAAAATATTTTTCAAAGCTATCGTATTTAAAATCAGGAGTTCACATTACTGCCCAAAGACGTCTGATTTCTGAAAACACTAAGACATTCAGAAATTTAGATTATGGTGAATATCCTCCTCTGTTACATCTCCTCCTCCTCATAGAAGGAAATGGGAAATACCAGGCGTGATATTTCAGGAATCAAAGGAAAATATACCTGACATCTTCATGCACGAAAAGCAGCAAATGGGAGATATTTGGATGAGTTCGGGGTAAGGAAACTGTGAAGATTATTAATACCCATCCTTAACTTGTTAAAATGTCCAGGAGGGTGAGGTAAGGGTGACAATGGGGATATGAGAATTCCTTTGGAATTTCCTCAGAGAACAGGGAAACAAATCAAAACAAAATCCATATGACGGAAGAAGAGTATCTACCTTCTCCATTAGAAAGATTGTAGAAAATAAACATTTGGGGTTTGTGATTGAAAAATGGAAGTAAAAAATAGTAAAACTGCTTCACAACAATTCAGGAAGAGAGAAGGCATTTGGCTTTATTGTCCAGTAAAGTGCACTGCACAAAATTCATACCTGGTTAGCATCTAAACTCTTCCCTCCTCTTAAATACTTACACATCTATTAGTAGAGGATATTTCTTGGATTTATCAAAATGAGGAGGCAAGATCATCTGATACCAAAATTCTAAACAAACAGAAAGATTAATTAGAATTAAGAACAATTACTAATACACAATTTTGTTTGCTTTTCTCTGTTCAATGATAAATCATAGCTAGAGCTAAACACTGTTAAATGAGAAAGAAAAGGAACTACATGGATTCAGTGTTTTTACAATATAAAACCATTCTCTTACAGGTTAAAATACTCTTTAAGGTGATAACAATAAGTTGTTTTTCATATATCTACTAAATATACGGGTGCCTTGTAAAATACAGTGCATTTTAGAATTGCTAATGTTTGTTTCTATGGTTCTGTTCTTTGGCATCTGATTTACTCATCTAGTTTGTTTATGGCTTATGTTCTAAGTTTTCCTCCAAAATGTTTTCCTTTTCTTGAATTTCCTTGAAGATGTTTGAGACTTTTAGTTGACCCCAACTCTATTTTAAAATTCTCATTGAATAACATTTTTATTTTTATTGCCATCCCAGATCTCAAAGCTGAGTCCCCATTTTCACTCTGTTGCTTTAGAGAATGAAATCACGTTTAGATGAAGCAAAAGGTCGTGTACATTCTGTATGATCTTCGGCAGATCTGTTTAATTCTCTGTGTTTGATTTAATATCAGTTTTAAAAAAAATTTCCCTTAGATAATGAATCAGTTTTTTTGTTGCCAAAATCAGCATGATAATTTAGACTAATAAATCTTTTTTAAAAATTTCCGTATTTAATAAGAATATTTTTCCAGCTACAATAGATTTAACCTGTAGGGAACAAATCCTTATCTCTAGAACTACTTCTTCTATACATTTTCCTTTCATTTTCATTTTGTTTGTTACAGTTTTGACAGTTGAAGAAAAAAGAAAGGTTTAGGAGTAAAATTTTTTAATAGAAAGATACAATAGTATTTTGTTGATTATACTATGCCTTCTGATTAATTGTTAGTATAACAGTAATTTAAGTCTATTAAATAGAATGTCAAGCTATGATTATGACTTTTTAATAAATATGTAGACTATGACATTTACTTGATCTCTCTTCTGCTAGAATCAGCACTAAGTGATTAGAAGTTTCAGTTTCTGTTTCACCTGTTGAAGATGCAGTCTTTTCTTTGGGGAGGACTGGGTAGCTCTAATCCCATAGCCTCACCCACCTCTTTGATCTTTTTCCTCCTCCCCAGGCCTTTCTTTCCTGGAGTTTGAATGGAATAACCACCTCTCAGCTGGACACCCTTCTTTCCACCCCTGCAGCTCCATCCTGTATTGTCCATTCATGCATCCAATGGTGTGACTTCCTTGTCACTAAATCCTTCAGGAGCTCCCTACTGTTTACTAAGAGTGAGCAGTGAAACAGAATGTCACCTGTCGGTATTCAGTGCTCTCTGCACCAGGCAGTGCAGTTAGCACTTTAGACCTCTCCACTCTAGCCTGATTCAAGGGCCGCACATAATCCATACTTAACAACAGAATAGAGTTACTAATGGAATGAAACTGATCCAACACCAGTGCATTTTCTCCAACTACCTTTTCTCTTATCAGAATAAATTTTACAAAATTGGTATGTTTTTCAAGTAGTAGTTCTTAGAACACTTCAAGGAAAAGTAACCTTAATTTAAATTTAAATATAAAATGTATATTTTCAGATCAAATGATCATATTTATATTTGATTGGTTTTTTTCTTTTATGAAAATTTCTGTTGCAGGAGAAATTTTACTTACTCGTTTTATCCAAAGTAATATAGTCCAGTTTTTTGGAGGGCATCTGGACATCCTTCAGCATATTCTCCAAAGCCGAATTGTCTTCCAGGACTCTCAGTTCTAAAAAATTATTGAGATAGCAGTAACTGTTTACAATGTGAAGAATTTGGATTGTGTAAGGCAATAAGGAACACCTGGCTAATTCCCTGATCAGACCACATATACTTCAGGTTGTAAGCCTTGTGTTCAAGTCACTGTTGAAACACTCTAAAGCAAAGCAAACTGTACTATACAAAGTACTTGCTCCTATTCACACATACTTCCCAATAGCAATGAAAGGTGAAATATAAGAAAATACCTTTATCATCCGCGCTCCTATGCAGAGTATACAGGGGCAGCTTAGGGCCTGTTAACATAATCAGGAAAAAGACATGTTTTACATGAATTAAGAAAGAAAGAAAAAAAGAAGACAGCATGCTTTTCAAAAACAGCACTTGTTACCATTTAACTTTGATAGAATATAATGGATAAGAGGTTTAATAAGCTTTAGCTGTTTCCTTAAAATAAGTGCAATTTGTGCGTAAGACCTATTAACAGCAAGGCACAGAGCTCAACAGAATGAAGTAGCAGATGAACCTTTGGCTTTGCTACGTGACTTGGGCACCTTATTCCTGCGCCCAAGATCCTCATCTGTGAACCAAGCCGAAGGGACCCTGAGTCAGCTGCTATTCTCCCAATGCTCTGTCCACGTTTGGTTTCCGGATGACCACACCAGCTCTCGGGCCACGTGTCCTCAGGGCGGAGCTCTGGTGCAGGCTCCCAGGGCAGGGCAGAGTTCCCTCCCTTGGGCTGCCCCCCTTCCACCCAGTCCTGGAGCCTGGAGGCACATCTGCACAGTGCCTGACTTGGATAAGCCATTCCTTTCTGGCATGCGAAAGTGTTTTTCTCACAAGTACATGTCTTCAAATTTATCCCAAATGTGGTAGTTGCAGAGAGGAAGGTAATATATGGAAAAGTGATTTTGTGAGCAACTTTATTTTGATGTGTTCAGATAATAATATTAATTTTCGCATTGGATCAGAACCACAGCAAAGACATACAAATCTGGGTTTGAATCCTGGCATACCTGCCTGGTGACTTAGGACAGCTTATCTATGCTTCAGTCTCCCCACATACAAAATGAAGATGATAATGTCTACTTTATAGCATTTTCTTATGGGTAAAACAAGATCATGAATATAAAATTTCAGCACTGTGCCTAGTATAAAACACAGGCCCAAGAAATGGTGATTAAAAGCAGTCATAGTAAGAAATTATTGAAGAAAAATATAATAGCAAAGAAAACATGCTAGTAAAGAAAGATTCAGGTAACCAAATACCTCTTTTTTAACAATGGATAGTTTTTTTTTCCAGACTATTCATATTCTTCATCTCATTCTGAGACATGATCTAGCACAGAGCTAAGGAGGGCTGGAAGCAGTGGCCTATGTTTGAATCTTGCTGTGTCTGTTACTAGCTGTATGACCAGTGGAAGTCCCAGCTTTCTTAATTAATAATAACCAATTTTAACAAAATAGCAACAGAAGATGGAGCAGTGAGTGACTGGGTGACAAGCACAACCCACATAAGTCTTGTCATTTAAAAGGCCAAGTGCATAAAATATTAATTTTCAAAAACCATAATACATGTGTATAAAAGGATGAAGCACCTCTAGTAGACATAAGCTCTGGGGTGTGTGTGTGTGTGTGTGTGTGTGTGTGTTTGGTCTAAAGCAAGCTATGCAAGTCTCTTGGTCATTATGGGAAGTAAAGGTGGTTAACTCACCATTTATATGTGAGCAAAGAGAAGGTGACTTGCATGATTTCAAGAATTCTTCCGATTTTAACAGAAAGACGAGCAGGGCAGAGAGAATGTTGCCCAAACTGGACACAGAAAGGGAAACTTCAGGAATGAGGAGACTGAGCTTGTTCACAGAGGAGGCAGCAACAGCCTTGGTGGAAGGGGAAGGAAAGCAGCAAGCAGGGGGGAGAGGGAGCCGCCTCGGAGAAGCATGTGAGCACCACTGCTCTGCCTGCTTTTGTCAGTTCAGACTCACCGGAACATCTCAGTTGATAATACTTTGCATCTTTACTAAATGACACAGCATAGTACTGACACCTTTCTGGATACAGATCACAAGTAATGCATCTCACGTTTGTGGTGTCACTAAGTTGGATTCTGTAAAACCAATGGTGGAAATTAAGTGTTTGATGAAAGGTTAAATGATAAGAAAGAATGGAATAATACCATAATCTAATTTCAAAGATATCAGAGTGCCAAAGCAATCCTCAAAAACTTTTTTCAGTGTGAAATAAATACATGAAGGAATTCAAAATAACCTCAAGCCTCCCATCATTTGGAAATATCACAAAATGTCGACTAAAGTCATTCTCTTTTCTTGATATGCAAATTGACTTATAAAGGAATAAAAGCATTTAATAGCAGTTTAATGTATTAGTGAAGACAAGGAGGAAAAAACAAAAACGAAACAAAGAGCCCAGAAATTATTCATCAGCTAATAAAAAGATTCAAGTCAGCAGCTTGGTAAGAATTCTTACTTATAAAGATTCCTTCCTCCTGGCATTCCTTTGTGTTCATTACTAATATAGTATCTAGGAAGAAAACAGATGAAATATATATTAATTATGTTTATAAGAAAAGTCACGTACATGCCATTAAATCAAACACAAAGCGTTCATAGAGGCGCGTGTGCATTAGTGCTTGCCTTTTATCATTGCCTCCCTGCCCTTCCCTCTCAGTCACCATTTTTCCTATCATCTCTAAATAGGAGATTCTTTTTTTTTTTTTTAAACAGACTAAAGTATCTGAATGTGTGAGAATAAGGGTTAATTAAGGATTTCTCCCTTAGTTAAAGCGACAAGTAAAAACTCAAAAGAAGTCTTTGTAAGAAAAATATGACTGGACAACTTGTCCGAAGTTGAGAGCCATTTATCTTTATGGGTTTGCATATTTTCTGTCTTATAACACAGACTACACTACTAGATGGCAGGAGCCTGTCTTCCTGAGAGTGGCAGAGCCACTTCTAAAAAGGATCTTCAAACACTACTTAGAGCAGTGGCAAAATTTCTCTCTGTTGAGACCTTAAAAAATATATAAAAGTACCTAAGATTCTAATGAAAATAATTCTTTTTTCCAGCAGCTTATGTATGGGGGCTGACAGTCTCTACAAAGTTCCCTATTTTCCAAAGAATAAGACCCAGACGTGGACAGATAAAATAGCCTCTCCAAGACTTCCAAAAATTCAGTGCCAGCTGAAATTTAACAAAATGCCCAATTTAAAAAAAAAAATGTTCCAAGATGCAAAGAAAGAGAAGCTATAAGCTCTTCTCATGTAAAGCAGGTAAGAGCAAGAGGTAGCGCTGTTTGGTGGCATGGTATCAAATTTGCTGAGCATATGCGAAAATCATTAAGGCTTCCGTATGTTAAAAAGAAAAAAGTACTGAACCCATTCCAAATAGACTACTCTTTATTTGTAGGAAAATTTCCCCTATTTCTGGGCAAAGAGGGTGTGATTGCTACTAGTATGTTTATATCCTACCCATGATTAGACTACTCACAGGTAATCACTTGTAAGAGCTTCTATTCCGATGACTTCCCACTCTCCTTTTGTAATAAATGTGCAACTCTGATGGGATTTAAAGAAAGGGGAGGTTATGAAATTCTCTTTCTAATAAAAGTTGAGGATTAAATCATCTGTAATAGGAATTCAGATAATCTCGAGTGTTTTTGGCTCTCCCTAGACTGTCCCACCTTACTTTATTACACCACCAGGGAATGCGAATTAGTCTGATTATCTGTATACACTGAATGACTTTACCAAATTATTTCCATTTCAAGTTTGTTTCAAAAAAAAGAGAACCGACCTGAAATAAATTATGTAAGAATACTCACTTTCCCTTTTACTGGGGACCTACAAATGTGTTTATAGCCAAGTTCATTGCTGATGATCTTGTAGACATAGTTGCCATCAGAGGTAAAATGAGGCTCTGCAGGCCTGAACTAGAAAATAACAGAAAACAAAAAAAAAACACATTAGCGCACGTATATCTTGTCTTAGTTTCAGAAAGTCCTCCTGACACCTATGCTCAAAACCCAGGCTTCATTTACTTGCCAAATGAAACCAGAGTATCTCAAAAGAAAATTCTCCTTCTAAAAAATGCAGACAAAAAGCTCTAAATCCTCAGAGGGAATTTGTGTATGTGTGTGTGTGTGTGTGTGTGTGTGTAATAAGTGAAAGAACACACATAAAGAGGTTTACATAGAGCACTCAACTTAGAAGTGGTTACCATTATTTTGGGACACCTTTCTATGGAGAACTATGATATCCAACTTTAAGTGGGCACAAATTAGCATTAACCTTTTATTTTCAAGAAATAAATTTCCAAAAAATAAATTTCCTCCATGTTAAAATGTGCATTCTTGAAACAGATTATTTATTACTCTTTCAGGAGGGGTGTTGAGGAACTTTCCCCCCATCTCTTACACATACTTACACATATTTCATTTTGAAAGTCAGACTTACAATGTCTAGCTATTTCTGGAGTAGTTGCCACAAATAATGTTGGTTGTATATTTTATAAGGATAGATTTATGTTTTTTTACTGTAAGTCATAGCATTTTGCTAAATATGATCAAAACATTACATAAAAATAATTTTATGGACATATAGAACAAAATTTCCATTTTTTACAAATCGATAAAAGAGAGTTCACAGAACGTAGTATAATTTAGCAGGAGAGTATTTATCCCAACCTGTAAGGAGTATGTTGCTTTATGACTTTGCTTTCCTTACTATACTGAGAGCAGGTAGATGGCCTTTTAAAATTGTTGGTTCACTTCACCTCGATGTTTCCTCTCTCATCAGCTCCCATTTTGGGAAGGAAGAAAAATGCTTCCCTTTTCTATTTAGTGATTCAAAGTGAATTCATTTATGGAGCAAGCTGGGGCGTGCAGTACACTTGGTGTTCTCATTACAGAGCTTTGAAACACATTCCCCTCTCTAGACCTGTGTTCACAGCCTTATCTTTTTAATACATTTCCCTGTTTCCCCTGGATGGAGTTGTGCCTAGTAGAAATGTGTGAAAAGTGGCATCTGTCTGGTTAAATACAGAGAGGAAAAAACATATTTTTTTCAAAGAGTCGTGAGGAAGTGTAGCATGTCTCTTGCCATGGAGGAAACCACTTTTCATGTTGGCAAACCTCTCCCCTCTGCCCAATCAATGCCTGGAGAAAAAGGACATGTGAATGGGATCGGAGCCCAGTTGGAAGGGTCGTGTGCCTGGTCTAGGGGCCCTCATCTCTGTGCCCCAAGAGATGGGACACAATTTTGTGTGTGTCACTTTGTTTCTCTCTGAAAGGGGGCTTAATAGAAGTGGTCATAAAAATCAGGTGAGATTCATTCTTCATCTCTCACAAGACGTGCCACGATGGCCAGAGATCTTCAATCAACTCCCTTTATTCAATGGTCTTTCAGCAAAGGGGCTGGTGATTCTGCCCAATGCCCACGAAATGAGAAGCAGGAGATGTGCCGGAGAGTCACCACGCTTTCTTGAGTAAGCTTTGCATCGGAGGACCTCGCGAAGTGTGAATGCATATGAGCATGATTTGCTACAAAGAGGTGCATAGTGGGTATGATCTGTCTGCAGCTGTGCTCGCTGCGGGTGGAAACCACATTTGCTGCCCCCAAAGGACCCAACATCAAATACAAGGTCAAGATCACATTCAGCATCTTGCAGTCTGTCAGTAATGCTTGCTTTTTAAATTATTGGAAGCTACAATTTGTGTAGCATATGTATTTTGGTTAGTTTGTTTTTATTTGTTTATTATTTGTTATTGTTATTATTTTGTTTAGTTTCAATTGTCATCTTACTTTTTCCAAGTGAGTATGTTATAGATTTTCTAGGAAAAAAAATCTCTACAAGGAGCACTTAAATATTTTGAGAAATAGGTCAATTATCTCTATGAATAAAGAATAATACAGGGCCCTGGGTTTGTATACCTCAGTGTTAAGTAACTCTGAAGATCCGATACCTAATTACAGAAACACCAGTAATTCTTAAATACTTACTCTTCCAACCCAGCCAGTAGTACTCTCTTCAATGTGTTGCCGGTCCTGGGAGGGAAACATACAAAGACAGTGTTTTTTTTTGTTTGTTTGTTTGCTTTGTTTTGTTTTATTTTAAGTTTAAATTTATTTTAAACATGTTGAGGTAACTTTACTGAGGTAACATTGTTTATAATTTAGAGGTGCAGGATCTCCCCATGAAACTGATATCACACACCCACTCACCAATAAAAACCCATAGTTAAGGAGTTTCCACTTTATTTATTTTTAAATTAATATTTTAATTTATTTAATTCTTACATCATTTTTCATTTCTGCACAATGTATGCATTATCATTTTTTTATATTCCCCATACAATTGCACCCCCCCCCTTATTTTGACCCTAGTCTTTCCTCTCCCTGCCCCTCCCTGCCCTGTGGTGTAACAAAGACAGTGTTTTAAAGAGTGAGATGATGAATTCTATTCTTTAGCAGGAATTTGTAGTAATAGAAGCTAAAATGGACTTGTAATAACATAATTGAATACTATTCATATCATTTTATTCATGTTAGAATATTTTATGTAACTACATTAGATCATTTACCGCCCTTGCCTAGAGCTCTGGATCCACCCATATGCTGCCCTGGAAGTTCCATCAGCATTTTCTATTCAACAAGTACAGAACTGAAGATAGTATCGTTATTTTTCCTCCATTCTCACCAGCTTATTCTTCCTCCTTCATTCTTCTTCTGGTCAGTGGTACCACTTCACTCCAGTATTGAGACCTAGAATTATTCTAGACTTCTTCACTTCTCAGTCACACCCCCATGTCCAGTCCCTGCCATCTACTTCTCTGACTTCTCTTGTTCTTTATTATTATTGCCTTAGTTCATGGTCCAATGCCTTCATTTCCTGGCTATTTCTCCTCCCAGTCAGCTCTCTATCCTGTTCTGTCCCCAGCTGACTTCATTTGACATTGGCTAGTTCGATATCATTAGGAGCGCCTATTAAAAATGTTCACTGGGGCCTCCCCTGGTGGCGCAGGCGGTTGAGCGCCGCACTGTGAAGCTGTCCGTAGCCTCTACAGCACCTGTTCGATTCCGGCCAGCCGGCAAGGGTCCCACATGGCGTGGCAGACCTCTCCTGTCTCGCCCGCTGCTCCCCTCAGCAGTGTATTTCGTCAGTCTGCCTGTTCTGTTCCCCGCTCTGTCTCTGGTGAAACCTCTCACCCTCCCGCGCATCTGGCCTGTATCCTGGTTCTTGTATGTATGTATGTATAAATAAATAAATAAATAAATATTTTTTAAAAAATGCACTAGCTCCCCATCTCATACCAGAGAGGTCCCAACTCCTTAGTCCTTGAGCCACTATATCCAACCTTAGTTCTCACAATTGTGCCTCTACCATAACCCTGATGAGTTCCCTGGTCCCTGTATGCACCAAGATATTCACTCTGATGCCTTGGTACAACTGCTGTTCATATGGTCCTTGTGACATAATCTGCCCAGCACAGGCTACATCCTGCACTACTCCAGGTACCTTGCATATATCTCCCATGACACTGTGCCTGCCCCCAGTCAAGCTGATCATACAGATGAAGAAGTATGTTCCCTCTGTACCTTGCATATATCCTTTTAGGATAGTATACCCTCATTTAGTATAATTTCATTGGCAGGAAGCAGAAGAGCTTTGAGTATTGCTGTCATGTTACCTGAGCAAGCTCCCTTAATCTGACTGACCCTCACCCTTCAAGATCTGGCCACTGTGAGTGTTCAAGAAACATTATTATTATTGATTTTGATAATGGAATATACTAATACAACATGAACGTTTGGGGAACAGATATACTGTCTCATTCATTTAAAAAATATATCCAGCACATCCAGTGTTTGTTGCACAAATAAATAATGAGTGTATCAAGACATGGGGTGACCAAACTTTCTGAAGTGAGAGTCTGCCCTTTGTCAACCAAGATGGAAGAAGAGGTGGGGGGTTGGGCACAGGCCCCCCATTTCCAGAAAAGCAACTGGTAGAGATGTCATGGAAAATTGCCAGCAACTATCCAAGTGACTCTATCCCTCCACAGACCACTGTTCCCAAAATAGACTTTAATTCCCATCTGCCAGCTGGGCCAAACTCTGTGGTCTCTTAGCCTGGGACATCCCTGTACCTCAAGGATAGCATTAATACTTGCCCATGCCTCAATGTTGCCACCCCTTCAGCTTGGTAGGTATTCACCTGTGTTCTAACACTTTATTGCTTAAAGGTAGTCATGGTGCTGAAATAGATTTGTGGCCTCTAGATATTTGTTTTGTTTCACATCAAATTAGCCCATCATCCCCCATTCCTTGTACTTTCTCCATTGAAAACACACTGTATTGACATGGCAGGCCTGGACCCTGTATTTGAATTATGACTTTAAAGTCTATCTTCTGGGGTTTCCAGCCAGCACCACTGCCATCCCGCATGGTGGGAAACTAAAACTAAGAGTGACTAATGAGGGAAGGTGAACTAGAAGAACCAACAGAGGTCATGTCACCTGAAAGTCAATCCAGACTTACCCTCTTCCTCATGGTCAAACACAAAGCAGAAATAATAGAAACTCAAACTTCATTTCCTAATTCCCAACCACTCACTCTTTCTGTTTTCATAGAGTTCTCTGATCACATTCAGCCTTAAAAGCAGACTGTTCTCATCCATCCTTACCACTGCGCAGTCCCATCGTCCATCTACTTGAGAATAATCACAAATATCCATGACTGAATAGTTCTGAATCCTCCGGAGCCACTGCAAGGAAATCCTTTCTGGGTTCACCCATGTCACATCACACAAGTAGTGATCCCTGGAAGGAAAGAAGGAGGGATTGGTGGGGTGGGAGGGGTGGATGGGAGAAAGAGAGAGGAAGGGAGGGAGGGAGAAGGATAATTATTTTCAGATCTTGGTACAAATTTTACTCAGTGAAATCAATCCTTAGTGGGAAATTTCAAACAATTGTTGAAACCACTTAATATCATAACATTTTACCTTTTCTTAATGTTCAAAGTGCAATTTAGTTTTGAATGGAAATTATAATATAATCCGACAGAAAAAGAGCAGCTAATATTCATGGAGTGGTTTAACATCCACGATTCATGCCATGACTCACGATTTCTCAAAGTCTTAACTTGGCCTCTGGTGGTTCTAGGCAATGGAGGGTGACATTGCCCCATCTTTTCTGCTGTCTTGAGGGTACATTTCAGTAGGAAAACAGACTGAGATTTGAGTATTTTCTGCTTATTTGATGTGCCTCCCTAGAAAATTCTACCTCTTTGGGTAAAACTAGAGCTTGCCCTTTTCCCAACTTCAGAGAGGGAAAAAATTGACTCACATCCCTATAAACTTTGGAAATCAAATAGTTTTATTCTAAAAAACTTTCTCAGGAGTCCAAATATGAAATATGTAAAGAAACTAAGGATCCCCTTGGCATTTTAACATACATTTATACAAACAGAGACATCTCTAGCAGGGCATTCTACTCAACACATCCCTTTAAAATGTTTTGGGATGGGCCTCCCCGGTGGCGCAGCGGTTGAGCACTGGGTTGCGAAGCTGCCTGCGGCCTCTGTGGCACCGGTTCAATCCCCGGCTGCTCCTGGGCCACCGGAGGAAGGTCCCACATGGCGCTCAGACCTCTCCTGCCGCCCGCTGCTCCCCTCAGCAGTGTACTTCGGTCCTTCTGCCTGCTCTGCTCCCCGCTCTGGCTCTGGTGAATTCTCTCACCCTCCCGTGCTTCTGACTATACCCAGTGCATGTATAAACAAAACAAGCAAACAAATAAATAAATAAAAATCATAAATAAATAAAAATACATGCCTAATAAAAAAATAAAATGTTTTGGGACTATATTTTGATTTATAGTGAGATGCATGGAATTCATAATTTACTTTTCTGCTGGCCTTCTTAACATACTTGTTCTGGATGTTTTATTTGCTCCCTCACACCTAGTGAGTTTATTTTAAAATCACTCCTCTGCAGTGTCTGATCAAAGCCTTGCTTTCTTTTTTCCAGAGGAATCTTTTCTCCCCTCCCTCCAACCTGGCCCTATGATCATATCCTTTTCCTCACCCCAAAGGCCCCTTTTCCTTCACAGATGTGCCCTTCCCCTCCTCTTGTCAATTTTCTCTCCTTGCTTGACTGTCAGCTCTCAGAGGCAGGGCCCCCACTATCTTGTTCCCAGGGTATCCCTGGGGCCTAGCAGAATACCTGACATAAAACAGGCACTCAGTACAATTTCGTGATGCAGCACTGAAGAAAGGGAAGAATCCTATTCTGTCTTTCATGGCCTACATAGTTCTGTCTTTCCTCAGAATTCACAGGTCACTCCCTGTCTCCACTTGCTATTCACAGACTCTAAATCATACAATGTGTATTTATTGAGCACTTAGGGTGTATCAGGTGGTGGATAAAGCACTTTATATCCCTCATCACTTCACTATCCTCTTTGTATGTGGGGATATTTCGAGTTTTAATGCAATGAAGGCTTCCTGGAGAGGCTGACTTTGATGCAGTTAGCAGGTACTGAAAGAAGACCAACACTTATCCCCCAGCAGCAAAGCACCACCTTCCCATTAAAAATTCTCATAAATAAACTCTCCATTCCAGCCCTTCCTCTGATATAGTATCTGGTCTTCATGGGTGGTGTTTCATGAACATCCATTGAGAGTGCCCCTTTGTTCAATCTTCAAACTGTCCTTCAGTTTGACACGACTGCTATGTTGTTGCTTTGGATCTTACTAAATAGCCCCTGTCCAGGATGCTTTCTTGGGAACCCCTTCCTTCTATACCTAATCACCGGTGCTCTGATAAAACCACCAGGTTGCAGTGTCTTTGTTTCCTCTGCAGGCCTGAGAACAGGGGTGTCACATCTATCTATGTCTTCTCATTATGTCCAGTGCAGTGGAGTTAAATGAGAAAATGACAAGGCAAATCTTACTAAAACTAGGGAATAAATACTTGCAAAGGGAATAGAAGAATGAAACCCAAGATAGAAAATGAAAACTTCTGAAATTAATTTTCTAGAACAGGGATATGAAAACTTTTCAGTAAAAGGCAGTGAGTAAATCTTCTAAGTTCAAATATATATATAACAATAAATATATATATATATAATTTAATACATATATATTACATCATTGTTCATTTTTGTACAATGTTTGATTCCTCCTCTCAGGTGTAGTCCCCATAAAATTCCCACCCCCAGGTCACCTATGAACCATCACCTTAGTTCCTTGTGCTCTTCCCTCCCCTGTTTTGATCCCAGTCATCTAAGTTTTGCACACCACATGTTCTTTGTCACTACTCAACTTCACCCTTGAAGCACAAAAGTAGCCAAAGAGAATACATGAACAAATGATGTGGCTGAGATTTGAAGTTCAAATAATCTTAGCATGTCATGAAGAATGATTCTCCTTTTTGACTTTTCTTCCCAACCATTCAAAAGTGTAAATACCATTGTAATTCTAAGTACTTTAAGCCCTTGTGAACAATACAAAGATGGGTGGTAGGGGGGGCAGTCGGGGCTGGGTCTACCTGGTGGGTCCTAGGGTGCTAACCCCTGAGCCACACAGGCACTTCTCATGTTTTTAGGTCAAAATTTCTAAAAAGTTGATTGAAATGATGTGCCTTTGGTGGGAATAAAAAAATAGCCTCCCCACACACATGCACCCAATTTCTGAGGGTTCCACAGGCATCAATTAGGAAGCTGAAAATTCCCTTTTTCTTTTTTTAAAAGATTTATTTATTTATTTATTTATACAAGCACTGGGTACAGTCAGAGGCGTGGGAGGGTGAGAGAATTCACCAGAGCCAGAGAGTGATGAGTAGAACAGGCACAGTGATGAAGTACACTGCTGAGGGGAGCAGTGGGCGGCAGGAGAGGTCTGCACGCCATGTGGGACCCTCGCCCTGTGGCCGGGGATCGAACTGGCGCTGAAGAGGCTGTGGGCAGCTTCGCAGCCCAGCACTCAACCGCTGCGCCACCGGGGAGGCCCTGAAAATTCCCTTTTTCTAAATTGCCTTGGGAGGGGGTAATAAACTCTTTAACATGATTAGTGAGTGACCTGGCACCACACAGCTTTATCTGATGAAAGTAATAAATTATACTTCAGGTTCAGAAATCAGCAATAAAAAAGGCATGCATCCCCATTTAAAACAGGGAGTATTGACATTTGGGGAGTCTGCCAGGAAACTTGCATGCATCTGCCATCTTCCCTGCCCATATCTAGTTCAAAGTTCATGAAACCTGTATCCTCCACTTCCTCTGTCACTCTCCAGAGCTTAGCGTGTACTCTGGACCCACGAGCGCTCGATACAGGTGGTGCACGAGCACCATGGACACTGATGAGAATTTCAAATTCTCATGTAAACATACCTTTGTTCTATCACAGTTTCTCTACAGGACTTGGAATGAAGGGGAGAGAGAATGAGCATGCATGAGCCAGCCCTGAGCTGAAGCCTAAGAGTCATGAACAAGAAATAAAGGAGCCACCAATTATATGAAGTCAAGCTGTACTTTTAACTGTAAGATTTGCCTCACGACCAGAAAAATCCAAGACGTAGGATCATTAATTGTACTTTGCACCACGAGCCAATTTTATTCTGCAAAAACAGACAGGCAGCCTGTCTGCTGTCCTGGGTCAGAAATAGGGATTCAACAAGCTTTTTTAACTTCTGCACCTGGACTAGTCCAAGGGGAATATGAGTTATTCTAATGTTACAGCAGTGGAGTAATTTCTGATAATAATAAGAATTTACACCCATGTGGAGCCTACATGTGCCAGGAACTGTTCTAAGTGCTTCACACAAAGCTCCTGACCACTCTGAGGCAGTAAGATTAGCGTTCATGCTTGCAAATAAAAAAAGGTTAAGAAACTTAAGGAGAGTAAGTTAAATAAGTGCATGTTTTGCAGACAAGAAAAACAGCTAAGTGCTAAGAGCTTAAGTAATCTGACCCAGGGTCACACATTGGAAAGTGCTGGAGCCAAGATCCAAATCAAGCTGTTGCCTCCCCATTTCATTCTTCCATTCCCTCCCTATGTAGAAACTCCACCCATTCTTTTGGCTTACCCTCTACTTCTTTTCAGAATAAAATTCTTCACTCAGAGAAATTTATTTATTCCTAGAGAATTGTATGTAAATGGAATAATTGAATTTTATAAAGCAAATCAGATTTGAAAGCACTAAAAGAGAATTTCTTTTTAAAATCATGCGACAGGAATCTATAAAATGACTGCCTATTTTAGCACAATGCTTTGTAAACAGTAGGTATTTAATAAATGTTGAGTGCTAGTAACCTCCCTAATCCATGTACATGTTTCTTTTGGTAGCCTAAGGATATTTAAAATAAAGTACACATTACTAAATGGGAAGAATATTGGAGAGAAAAATGCTACTAAGAGCAACTGCAGACTGTGAGTGATTAATTCAGTGAATCACCCAAGGAAGCGGGCGTCCTGCCAGTGCTGGCCTCGGGCTCCATGCCACCCTCTATTCTGATAGGGATGCCAACCCTCCCGGGCCGCTGACAGATCGCTGAGGAGAGGAATGGGTGGGGTGAGATGGAGTGGATCCGAGGAAGGCATTACCCATAGCAGTCGAGAGCCCCTAATCCACCTCCTTTCTGTGGCTATCTTCCAGGGCCCATCATACCTCTTGTGTGACAATGCTAGACTGTGACATCCCTACTATAGATCAAGGGGCCTCAGCTTTTTCAGAGGACATATAGCAAGACTTTTTCTCTCAGGAACAGTGAGAATTGGGTAGAGCAGGTTGTGAGCTGGGTGTAATGGTTCCTCAGGCTATTCAGCAGATGCTGGGTGAGGTCACCCCATAGAACTGAGAGTATCCCCTCCCTAATCTAGCTTCAGGTCATAGAAATTGCAGATGGCTGGGAAGAGCCAGAAAAAAGAATTGCTGTTCAAGGAGATTTGAAGGCCATCTCTGTGTCGGCTGTATGAACGCCTGTGCCATGCACACAAAGTCACAGGTATAATATTCCTCATTCACCCTTTCATTAACTTATTTATTCATTTTTGCTACAAATATTAATTGGGTACTTGCCACATCCCAGGCACCCTGTTAGGCAGTGGAGATAGTATTGTAAGATTGACCCCTATGTATAAAACTTGTCTAAATTCAATTCAACAATGTAGAGCAAGGATCTAAATAAAAGTTAGGAGGCTTATAACTTTTCATTATGTGTTTTGTCTCATATATTTTGAGCCCTTCAGTTCTCCTTATGAGTAGTAAATACAAATCAGCTAATACAAATAGAGCTAATCAGCTTGAACTCGAAATCAAGGAAGGTAGCAGGAGGCTCACCCAAGTTTAGGCACGGACTCGGGTTATAGGAGGAGAGGCTGGAGGCCTTACTTCATCAGAAAAACCTGCCCACTCCTATCAAATTGACAAACCAGCTTTATCCCATTGTTGGATTTCATGATCCGGGGACTGGGCCTAAGAGGGTAATGTATGAGGGTGAGGGCATATGGACAGAGCTGGGAAGAAACGTGCTGGTCCTAGCAGGACCTCACAAGCCGGGAACCAGTGAATGAGTAGGTAACAGCAGAGGATGTTGGGTAGTTGACTGAGAGGCATAATGTGCCCGGATTAATTTGGCCCTTTTGGATCTTTGCAGGAGGCCAGAAAACAAGGCGGCACAAGAACTTGAATATCCCAGAAGACCTCGAGCCTGGTTTTAGAAAAGGTAGGGTCTTACCACCATTTGCAGAGACCAAAGCTGGGTTTGAATTCCCTATGCCACAAACACATTCCTGTGGCAACTCAAAAATATATGATTTGTTGGTAAAGTAAGTCCCACACAAAATATCGCTAGTGAACATAGTGAGTGAGCAGTCTGCTCTGTGAGTAAAGAACTACAAAAAACAAGGACATAGTGGTGAATCCACTTGGGAGAAAAAAGGTGCCTCAGAATTGCTTAATTTCCTGAGCTCAGCAGTTCACTACTAGGTCTCAGAACGATTTCTAGTGGGGAGACTCTGCCTCTTGTCTGTGAAGTGGCCATGAAAGTGATACCCTGGAGGTTGTGTGAGGAGTAAGAGATGATGGGTGAGCAGAGAGAGCACAGTCCAGTTCACAGGGAGCCCTCAGTACATTTTAATTTGATGACTCCAGTGTTCTGGTCTGGCAGATGCAGGCCTCTGTCCTATTCCCAGTTCCCACACTCACTTTGTGAGAACTTGAACAAATTCCTGGGCCTCAGTTCTCTCAACACTGTCTCACAGTGGTGTGCTGAGTGTGTTCTAGAATAGTGCGGGGTCTCTCTAATCTCCTGAGACTACTAGGGATCAGCAGGGGACAAGGACTGAGCATGTTTTCCGCGTGGTGATCTATTTGTTTCCTGCACTGCATTCTTGTGTGTACCTCACTTGAACAAAGGTTTCTGACTCCTTAAAGAAGCTTGTGAACCACTAGTGAGGCCCCAGTCCTTTCCAGATGTAATAGTTTTGTAGAGTAGGAGCTCATGGATCATCCTCTCTGCAAGCAGAGACTGCTTATAGACCAAGAGGTCACCCCAGGTCCTGAGGCTTTTCCCTGGAAAGCCCTGTACTTCCAGGTTCCTTCTGCCTCAGTGTTCTTCCTCCCCAGGATGCCTACTAGAACCCTGTCTCTGTTGTCCAGGGTGTTTTCTTTGATCCCCAGGGTCATGCAAAACCTATGGCCCCTCTTTGAAATGCCTCAACCTTTGTTTTTGCCTCAGTTATACTTGCTCCTGTAGTTATTTATTGTGATGTTTGGTGTCCTTGATTGTAAGTGCTAGAAGGTAGAAGCTATGGGGATTTGTGAGGGTGAATAGAGGGTGTGCAATCAAAGCTCAGTGAAGAGATGGCTGGACAGGACTAAACAGCAGATGTTAGAACCTCCAGGTAAACTTAATACCCTTGGACAAACTCAGGAAAAAAATATTTTAAATTTATTGATAATTATTTGTTAGAGTCATGCAATAATAGTTGTTGCAGAGAGCTACTTTAAAGATTAATAAGAAAAGCATGAGATAATGCCTTGTATCTGGCAAATAGCAAGTGCTCAATATATGCTAGCTGTTATTTAAAGGCAACAACAAAATGAAGATGACAGATGGAAGTGAGTAGAGAACAACTTGATAGTAACCACAAAGCGTTAGCAACACAGTCGTTATTTTACTATAAAATAATGGATTGAGAGTGCTCGAGGGCAGAATTTTAAACCACCAAGGATCTTTTAAGCAAGTGACATCTTGAGCACATCAGTGTTATGGGGTGGGGGGAAGGGCTAAATTTAATCCACAAGGTCCTGGCACTTATAATTTTCTATCCAAATATGGTGTCCCAAAAAAAACATGTGGTTAGTTACCCCCATCTTCATATCACTGCTCATGAGTCATTTCAATAGAGAGGACTGCCCTGACTCCACCCCTCATCACCATTACCTTTGCCCTGTTTGAGTTCTTTGTGATATTTGTCATCACTTGAAACTTTATATTTTTATTTGTTTATTGAGTATTGCCTGCATCTTCCACCTCAAGTATAAACTCCATGACACCAGAGACTCTGGCTGCTCAATTCTTTTGCAATCCTATCACTAGACCCATGTCCAGCATCAAGGCATGAAGTAGATGCTCAACAAAGAGGTATTGAATGAAAGAATGAATGGCTGCAGCCTGGTGACCCAGCGGGGCACTGCAATCAATTCTGCCAGTCATTTTTTAAGTTCTCCCTGGAGCTATAAAACTGTTTACAAACCAAGTATTAAGTCAAGAGACTTACCCTGTCAAAACAGAAGCAGGAGCAGTGATAGGTACAGGTGCAGGGGGGCCTGGATTAAGAGCATCAGTATTTACAACAAAGAACTTTACAGTTGGATTCGCAGTTCCTGCCTAGGGAAAAAAAAAATCACAAAATTTGTGTTGAAAAAAATTACAACATCATTGTACAATTCTAAAACTGTGTAAAAAGATCTGTATTATGACCATAAGATAATACACATTATAAATAATTATGTGTGACATATATTTTATGACACAAAATAATTATGACACATTCAAATAATTTCATGTAGATAAAATGAATAAGGGGAAGTAAAAAATACAACCTTCACAAGTTCAGATGGAAGCATTTCATACACATAATGTATGACTTGAAGACCCAAAGAATTTCTGTTAACAAATGTTTACAATGTACATACTTTGTGCAAAGATACCTTTCTTAAAATCAATTATTTTACTATTGTGACTCAAACATACTCTGACTCCAGAAGACATGATGTCTTTAGCGGCTGATCACTAGCAAGAACACCTTGAGTTCAGCCAAAGACCTGATCTACCAGGAAAATTAATTTACCTGAGCTGAGAGACAATGATACTAATTAGGAAGGCATCATTTCCACTCTAAGTTTAGGTTCACCGTGTTGGGCCTTTACAATCAGTATTATGATAGAAATCTATTAAACCTTTTTATGTATATACCTAGATCTTCAATTGATAAATCAATTAGAAATAATATGATATTTTTAGTGAGAATATTTTATGGATTTTTTTTTACCAGTTTCATCAAAATATAACACTCTACTGAAAATAAATCTCCATATTTAGTCTCTGATTTTTTTCTTTTAACTTCTGTCTTACTAAAACGGCAGCCCTTCATAAAGCAAATTGAGTGAGTGGTAAAAATAAACATCCTTTTCCCGAAGTGCTTACAGCAAAAAAAAAATTTACTATTAGATTTTCCTAAATGCAATGCCATGGCCAGTATTATTATGGTACTAATGAAAAATCCCAATACCATCTAAATACCATTTATCAGCTTAGACTGTTTAATAAAGCTCTTCAATTTTCACAAATAGACATCCCGAGCAGTCTTAAAAACCAAGGTGTGACACAGTTATTCCATATGAAGGACATGCAAAATTCACATTAGTGCCATGTCTATAATAGAACCACTAAAACTAGTCATATAACCTGGTTAATTAGTAATACAACCTGATATATAACCAAGCTTTCAACTTCATCTAGGGCACATTCCAACTTCTACAAATGAGATGAGCTTCTGATTCAATTACAGTCTCCCTTTTCTGCCATTCAAACATTTCATCCCCCCTACCTCTTTCAAAAGCAATTTCCCCATCTTTTTCAGCTTGTCATTCCTCAAAGTTTTTGGAGAAATTACAAAACCTTAAATCACACTCTTTCCTGGGATAATAAAAATACTTTAAAATTGCCAGATGCTGTTGACTTCAGCAAGAGTAATCACAGCAAGCTGTTGAAGAGAGACTGACAATATTTTCATTAGCAGGAAAGGATTAAATGAAACCATTCTCTTCCCATCAAATCACGTAACCACTCTAAGAATCAGAGCACAGACCTTTGGATATGGAATCCGCACAGTCTTTGGGTACTGCAGTGACTCATCAGAGTAGAAGGAGTATTCAATAAGCGGGACTTCTGTGTCGTTAAATTCGGCATATGCTAAAAAAGTGCCGTTTGGAGACCACCACAGAGCGGAGTAGGCACTGAAGATTTCCTCTGAAAAAAAGACATAAATTGTTCTGTTACAAGAAGTAGCTGATAAATTGGCTTTGGCATTCAAAATATTGTTCTCATTAGCTTTAGTAATTACAGTAGAGTTCAACTAATGAACCACTTTGCATTTGCTGGGCTTCCAAAATAAGAGTAATACAAATGAATAAAAATAAAATCTTCCAGGATAGATCTGGATTATAAAAATAAGTAACCCGTTGGGCCATTTTAGAATATTTTTGCACACAATATTTAATATAAGCTCTACATTTTTTTTCTTTATTTTATACTCTCTAAATTTATGCCACAAAACATAATAAAAGTAAAATTCACACAAGGGGCTAATTCTCCTGCCTAACTTTAGTCAACATGCCAACACTCTCCCCAACTGGGCTCATTTTGCAGTGAGCCCACAGGGTCCTGGTGGGTGGTGTGTGGCTCAGGCTACCAAACCAATATGGTGCCCAGAGTCTACTACTCTTGGCACAAACAAGGTGTGGGAAGGATGTATTTAGAATGGCAAAGAGCTCCATGAGACCCCTACCAAGAAACATTTCCTTTGCCTAGCTCAAAAACTGAAGACTCCCTTGGATTAATACCTTCCTAGGTGTAGAAATTGATGGTTAAGGGAAGAAGGTTGGAGAGGGAGAAAAAGGAAAGGGAAGATCTTGCTTTTACAAACATCATCAGACTTGTTCCCCGTCTTTGGCAATGGTAGCTCCTTGATATCTTTGTTATGGAGTCTATTCAAGGACTTCCAATCTCTGGCTCTCAAAATATCAAAGTGGAGGTGAGGGTTCAAGTAGACTGGGTGGAGGCTTCTAGCTCCTTATGAGGATATAATCCTCAAGGCTCTTGTTCTGCTGAGTGTAGAAGTAAAAGTGAAAGCATACAAACTTGAATCTTAGGGTTAGGAAATCATCTATTCCAATCACTTTTTGGATACTTGAGGTTTCCTTTACAGGTTTATTCCAAAAGCTTTTAATAATAATAAATAATAATAACAATAAGAATAGTAATAACAGTAATTCTAGAGTATAATAATAGCTATCATGATGAGAGGCTAGGCTAACATTTAAGGAGTGCTAACTATGCTTTGCTAACTATGTCAGTGACAAGAAGTTGACCTCTATTATCTCAGTTAAGCCTCTCATTTGCTTATGGTACAGGTGACCAACGTAAGCAGGTAAGTCTAAAGAGAAGAAATAATTTTCCCAGGGTCACAGGCTCAATAATCAACTGGATCAAGACAATCCAAACTTGTCTGATTTGAGCATATCCTCTTCATCGCCCTTTCCCACCGTCTCTGCCTGTGAGTCTCAGCACTTCTGTTAACAGAAACTCTTCTATTAGGAAGGCAGCTTACTTCCTCCATTGGACAGATCTGTACCTGTATCATTGAGTTACATTTATAAAACATTTGCATACTTTGAACTTCACAAAGATCCCTGGGTGACCCTATTCAGAGCCCATTCTACCGAAAAGGGAACAAAGGCTTAGCAAGATTGAGAAAATTGTTCGTGACAAGACCTTGTGATTGTAAATCATGGGGGTTTCCCACTGAGATGCTCTTCATATACCGAGTTGACCTTTCATTCCTTATCGCTTCTACCCATTGCTTCTAATCTAATGCCATTACAGAAAATGAAGGCAATTACAGCATTGTTATAGTGTTTTGGAGATAGTGTTTTACAAATAGCAGGTAGTGGTTTACAGATTGCAGGTAGTGGTTTACAGATAGCAGATAGTAGTCTCTGATTTGAATTATTGGTCGTTTAGAATCCAGAACATAGTTTTCTATATCAACAACACATTAAAGCCATAATTGTACTACTTTTGGTCTAACTTAAAATCCTGAAGAGACAAAGGTAGAAAAAGGGGTGAACAACAAAGGGAAGAAAAGATTTCCAGGCCTTCCCGATACAGAGCAGGTTGTGAACACCACTGTCTATGGTTCCCCCTTCCCCAATGCTGAACCACTCGCCACTCCTCCATCCTGTGACAGGTACCTCCCAACCACCACTCTGACTTTCCTCTGCTACCCCTAGATCTAGTGTCCTCTTCCAGACAGTGCTTTTAACTTGCTTGATTACAGCATCTTTGTCTCCCTCTCTGGGCTAAATTTCCTGAGAACAAAAGTTGGGTGGCACTTTTTTCAGTGTCCCCAGCACCTCCATGGCTAGTGCGCAATAGGAATTGCACCGAATTACCCAGTATCCCATTGTCAACACTGCTACTTCAGGGAAGGAAGGCGCATACCATCTTCTAAAATTACTCCTTTCTCTATTTCTTGCTCCTTGCTCTCACCACACTCTCACTTTCAGCTTTGGATGAGATCAACTACACTCACGCTTAAGAGCTAAAATCATGTGACTAACTTCATACAGGAGATAAAGTATTATCATTAAAAAAAGATGTTCGCTAGCTAAAATAAGGCACTAATCAATTAGAATATAGTGAAATAAGACAGTAAAAATATAGAGGAACTGAGCGAGAAAGTTACTTGGGGACGTGGAATGAACAGGGTTCAGGGCACAAGTTCAGAATGCAGAACCCTCTGTGAGGCCAAGGCCATGCCAGCAACTTGCAGCTTTGTTATTTTCTTATGATCCACAGATTCTCAAAATGTAAACTTTTTCAATCTCAAATCTCCTTAGCTGCAATAGAGAGGGCCGCTCCACTGGGAGGGTGGATCCCATAAATGGAGAAACAGGTGTTCTCTCTTCTAAGTGTAGACCACAGAACTAATTGCAGGAATTGCCCTGTGGGGATGTCAGAGAATGAGCTGTCATGCCATTCTTCTGTGAATGGCTTAGTAATGAACAGGCAAAATGAAATCCCTCCAGCTATTATTTACCCTAGAAAGAGCCTTAGTATTAGATTTGTTCTTATCTTAGAGACACCTAGCTCTTGCAAGTGAAGAGGGAGGGAGGACAGAGCTTCACAACTTTGGAAAGTGGCTTAACCCCATTCACCTGGGGAATCTGGAGACCTGCTGAGCTATTAAAGACTGGTGACTGGTGCTAGTAAATTTCATTTTAAGTTTTAATAAAATATTTCCCATCATGACCATGGGAATTCATCTTTCTTTTAAAGTGATTCGTTGTGATTGTTATAATGTTACCCATTTAACTGAACTTGATGTGAACTGGGATATGAACCAAAATTAATGCATGAAGAGAAATTTTTTTAACTATGAAGATGAAATAACAGAACAAAATGATAAAGGAAAAGATGAGTCTTTCATAAGTATGAGGCAACCTTGTGAATGGTTTGGCATAGACTCAAAATGTCCTTTACCATGGCAACTACAGACAATGTTCTAATTTTTTTTTCAAGTTTCTAAAATGTTTTCTACTTTCCAAAACCCTTATCCTAAAAGAGAGACTAAGTCTTTTAAACATTTTAGGTTCTGTTTTTATCTATTCTTTTCCTATACCTTTTCAGTGATTTTTCCCCCTTCTTTTAAAAACGGGAATTTTGATTGGATTAAGTGCAAAGAAATACAATTCCTCCATAAAGCAGACATTTTCTTTCCCCCATATCCCCCAACCTCCAGATAATATTTGTCATCTTTCGGAATGCTGCAAGAACATTTAGCTTTCCTTAGACACTTCTGGGTTAGGAAGGCCTGGTTAGAGAAACACCTGATCTCAATCTGGAGGTTGTTATGTCCCAGGAACAGAAAGACCTTTTGTTGCACTTGGCCAGAGACAATAGGGGCATTGAGACACAAAGAGGACAAGGCAGGGCCAGTACAGTTGAGAACCACTTGGGCAATGAGCTACCTGGTGAGGGTGAGTGCTGTGAGAGAATTGAGAACATTTGAAAAAAAAAAAAAATGCAACTTATTTTGAATGTCATTGACTGTCCCCATTTTTAAAGAATTATCTATGTTTGAAAGCTTACAGATATCCTGACTTGAAAACAACTTTAAAATCTCTACCTTCATAAACCCAGTCAGTTATTCCGTTAAATATCACATCTCGTCTCCCATTCGATGTGATCCTCTTGGCTTGTTCATGTGGTTCATTTTTAACATAAATATCATTTTCCCAAACATATGCCTAGGAAGAATGAAAACAAAATTGACAAATAATAACATGTTATGAAATATTTTATCCCAGTGGTTTAAAAATCAGTTATCAGTTATTTTTATCCTATAAAAAATTGGCATGCAAGTGTATGATTACCTTACATTATTCAATTTTAGCAAGATTTACTCCCTGCTTATTATATTCTTACATAATAAGTATACAAGATATGAAACCCCCAAATAATCCTAAAACCACTCTTAATATGTTAAAAGGAAGAAGCTCAAAACCACTGCTTTTTGGATGCTTAAGTGTATGTGAGTTAATCCAGAAGACTGGCCAGTTCTAGAGGATGATGAGTGACTTTGCATTTCTTTTTGGGGGAGGGGAGTAGCAGAAGTGCAATTACATTCCAAGAGGGAAAAGTTCAACTACGGACAAACATTCCATCTTCTTATTTGAATTTCTTTTTAACACTCTCAGCACTATAGAACATGAAGTTATATCTAGACTAACACGGAGAAAGTTGCAGAACTAGCCAAAAGCAGGTATGTCTCTTATAAAAACATGTAAGTACAACAGAAATGAACATTTAAGAGTTTAATAAGCATTTTTCCAGTAAGTAAACAACTCCCTAGTAGTAGGTCAGAAGCTGTCAGGAATCATGTTTACTGTGTTGAGCTAGTAAAAGATTATCTTAGGCAATTACTCTATATTTGATAGTGAAGTATTGGCTCCTAAATGTCTGGTACTCTATATCAGGATTACTAGCCTGAAAGACTCGAGTCATGGCTTTCTGACATCAGAAGACACTCACTGACCAATTTATGACCCTCTGGTGACCATGCGATCCACTGTGTTTCATTTGGAATTCTCTCACTTGTGATCAGTTGCCTGGAAAAAAAATGAAAGCAAACAGCACCAAATGAATAAATCATAGTAGGATTTATTTTTTATTTTAATTATTATTAGATTTAAAAAGTATAATCAATCCTATGAGAAAGTCACTGACCTTTTACTTAAGTCATAAATGTCATATGAAGCTGTGTATGAATGCCTCCATAGCTGTAAAAGGAAGCAGGTAATTCAGTTTCTAGGATTTGGGCCACTTGCTGAAAGAGCTCAAGATGAGAGATAAAGTAATTTAACATTGTTTAATTCTCAAATTTTATCACATATTATATCATTCCTATCCTATCTTATCCTATCCTATCCTATCCTATCCTATCCCATCAGATCCAATTTGATCCTATCAATTGCCTATCTAGAATCTAGGATTTGGCAATTACAAAGAATCTTAGTACAACCTTCTTTGGACTCCATCTATAATGTAGTTCTGACAGCCAAGGAACCTTCTAGGCCCGAAATAAGCTCAAGTACCATTTCCATGTGAACATTATTTCTAGCATTTACCTTGGTCTATTAAGTTTATCTACATAGTAAAATACAAAGTTTCACCTTTGAACCACCTTAATGGCAAAATAATTAACAGATGTATAATTCTATTGCCGGTGGTGGAGGAATGTCTATTTTCCTATACCGATCATGATTATACCCATATAAAAATTCAACCCGAACACACATTTTTACCGCACTTTGATTCCTAATTGCCGAAACTTGGAAGCAATCAAGATGCCCTTCAAGGGCCTCCCCGGTGGCGCAGCGTTTGAGCGCTGGGTTGCGAAGCTGCCCGCGGCCTCTGCGGCGCCAGTTCGATCCCCGGCTGCTCCCCGGCCACCAGAGGAGGGTCCCACATGGTGCGCAGACCTCTCCTGCCGCCTGCTGCTCCCCTCAGCAGTGTACTTCGGTCCTTCTGCCTGCTCTGCTCCCTGCTCTGGCTCTGGTGAATTCCCTCACCCTCCCGCGCTTCTGACTGTACCCAGTGCATGTATAAACAAACAAATAAATAAATAAAATAAAAAATAAAAAAAAAAAAAAAAAAAAAAAGATGCCCTTCAATAGGTGAATGGACAAATGAACTGTGGTCCATCCAAACAATGGAATATTATTCAGCAATAGAAAGAAATGAGTTCTAAAATTACAGCAAGACATGAAGAAGTCTTAAATGCAAATTGCTAGTTTAGAGAAATCAATATGAAAAGACTATCTACTGTATAGTTCTAACCATATGACATTGTGGAAAAGGTAAGGGTATAGAGAGAGTAAAAATATCAATGGTAGCTAAGATTTTGGGTGAGGGAAGGATGACTAGGTGGGGCACAGGGGATTTTCAGGACAATGGAAATATTCTGTACGATTTTGCAATGAGAGGTGCATGTCATTTACATTATATACTATTCACACCTCATAGAATGTATAACACATAGTAAACCTCAATGTAAATGATGAACTTTAATTAATAATAATATATCAATATTATTTCATCAATTATAACAAATGCACCACACTAATACAAAAATGTTCATAATAGGGAAAAATGGGGAATTGAGGGTAAGGGATGAGGTAGCATATGGAAACTTCCTGTACTTTCCGCTCTTTTTCTGTAAACCTAAAACTGCTCTAAAAAATAAAATCTCTCATTTAAAAACAAATGAATTAGAACTATACCAGATGACTTGGAAGAAGTTCACATGGTATCATTGTGTGGGAAATGCAATTTATAGAAAACTATTTCTATAGAAAACAGGATCCTATTTCTATAGAATAAGCAATAACTAAAAAAGGATTTTTAGCTTCATAAAATTGCATGAATAAGAAGGAAAATATAAAATATGGAGAAATATGCACTAGGTTCTTAATATAGGATACCTGAGGGAAAAGCAGGGTAAAAATCAGGCAAAAATTAAATTAAAGATCAAAAAATATGATTACAGATTTGCACTTATAAAAATTGTGTTGATATATGCATTCACATATAAATTAAAGATATTTTAAAAGAAATTACTTATCTAGTATCTGTCTTCCCTGTCATTCTCCTAGAGGCAAGACATTATGTCTTAGCCATCTTTAAATACCTGGAGTCACCTCTGGTGCTCAGGAAATAAAGTAAAATACAAATCAAATTTTACCTATGAGAATGAAATAGATAAAATAGGCAGTCCAAGGACACCCAGCTGCATGGCAGGGCTGAGACATGAGTCAGGATTCCTAACTTTTGAGAATATTTCCACTTAAAAATTATTACTCTCCTATCCACTCACAGCAACAAATACCTATGAAACCTACCTTTTTGCAAGTCATAAATTCCTTTTTGAATCCTAAGTTATTTGGACATACCCCATGCTTGTTTCTGGGCAACCTCTGAAAGTAATACTTGTTAGAGCCACAAGGTGTGATGCAGGCTAAAATGAAGAGTTTTAAGAAGGTTTGAAATCATTGCAGGATGACAGACTCATCATGGATTATAAAAGGAAACCGAATATGTTTGAAATGTTCACTTCATCTTATGACACGGACTCATCTATTTAGGCTACAAACATTGGTATATATCCTCTCTCAGGTACTAATGTATAGTACAGGATCCCTCTCTCTGAGGAGCTCATAGTTGATGTGTGACATGTGGAAGTAAACTATCACCAGAAAAGAATCACAAGAGATATAAAGGAGGTAGGTAGGGTGTGGCAGGATCACAAATGGGTCCTTGGGGAAAGAAAGAGACTTTGGGACTGAGTTTCAGTGGCAGAGGGCTGCCATACAGAGAACGGTAAAAAAAAAAAAAAAAAAAAAAAAAAAAAAAAAAAAAATCCTAACAGAATGAATGGGAGTTAATGGTAGTGAGTGAGTTGGGGAACAGAGTGGCAGGGGGCAATGTTGATTAAATGATCCAAGAAAGCCTGGACCTGAATTACTGAAAAGAGAGAGCCATATGATGATGTTGGATGAAGGTTCCAAGAGGAAGCAATAGCAAATGTTTTGGCCCTTAAATGGGAATGAAAGTGATGCTTGAGAAAAATAAAGAGCTCTGCACTTAAAGGTTCTTCTTCAGATCATTGAATCACTGGCAAGCCCTTAAATCCAGACATACCTGGTCCCCACCCATAGCAATGCCAAGGTAAGTGATTTGGAGTAGGCTGAAGATGTCTATGTGAGGTATTTTTCAAAACCTGCCCTTGTGATTTAAAGGGGCAGGCAGGACTGAGGAGGAAGCACGAGCTGCGGCTGGGGAGTACAGAGAGGGCTTTGAGGGGCCAGACTGAGGTCCCATTGCACACACAGGCTTCCTAGGATCCTGTGGTTCAAGTTTGTGAGGGGAAGGTGGTGGCAAGTCAGGGATGGTAAGGGCTTAAACTCAGGTCTGACATTCTCTAACTTGGGTTTGAAGGAGCACTTTGGATACTCCTTGAAAACTATAGATAGCATGAAAAGAGAACAGTGAAAATAGCAACAACAGCTAAATCCACATAAGGAATCTCCGTGGTAACACAGGAAATACAAATTATTACCAATGATGGTTGTCCAGCTAAGCCTGCCAGTAAAATCCACTTCTTTGCACACATCAAGTGACACTTGTTGAACTTGGCTTAATAGTAAATTGAACTGATATTTACCTTTTGTTTCACCCTAACCTCACAGTCTTTATGTTTGTCTTTAATATGGAGAGCTGTTATTCAGTAGTTCTCAACTCCAGTTGCTCACTAATCGATTTATTAAAAAAAAATGCTAATGCCAACTCCACTTTAAAGACTTCAGTTTATTGATCTGTGGGTTGAACCTGCACACTGAAAATTTTTTTAAATTCTTCATGTGATTTTAATCTGTGGACAGCAATAAGAATCACTGAATTAAAAACATAATAATTCATTAATTGAGTATAGATGTGTAACTTGGCATAGGATTCTGATTTGCTTTTAGCTGATAGGTTTTAGAGACCTCTTGTCCGGAAAACAGGCTCAGCACAGTAAATGCAGGATAAAGGTTATGACGGGCATCACCATTCCAAAATAGGAATTGGAGTAGGGGATGGTTTGCTTGCCCAGGGAAGAGCAGTGTTAGGGAGCAGTTAAATAAAGCCACTCGGAATTTATTGATTACCCTTGCAAAAAAGAAAGTCACATTTGGGGATCCCCAGCTTTATGATTTGTTTTCAATGTAATAGAATACCTCTATGGGCTTTCATCTATCCTATGTGTCTCAAAATTCTCTTTATTTGACAACTGTGTCAAATCCACAAATAACCAAAAAGTTAAAGTGACTGGTGGTTTGCAGCCCTCCTAAACCTGCTGAGAGTGTATGAGTTAGCTGTACACGTTCATGAACGTGTGAGGATGCGATGTGGGCTGGGAGGTTGGAAGAAGCACTCTCTGCAGGACACTGATGGCCAGAGCTGAGGCTCCCGCACTAGAATAGCTTGTATGTGATTCTACATACAATCCTGGAGGCAGGAAGGTGTGCAGGGTATTCTGGCAGTCTCTTCTGGAGGATGAGGAGTTTAGAGTTTAGCTCTTTTCAAAGCAAATACTTAGTCTTACTTTATACAAAATTGACACAGGGAGATAAGGACTTATATTAATGTACAGGACAGTTGTGAAAATTTGAAGTTATAAATGCTTATTATAAATTTCATTTTATTAACTAGTCTTCAGTATCTCTAATGTAACTTTACTTATACTTTTCAATATTTGAAAAGCACCAAAAATGAGTTCCTCTTAAAACATCTCTTGACTTGTCTTTCATGAATGAGAATGACCACTTCCTTTGATGCTGAATTAATGAGTTTTTAGTGTGTATGGTACTGTTTCAGGATCAATTTTTAAAATTTATAGACTTGAAATCAACTTTAAATCAACATATGCGTTAGATTCTTCAAATGACACAGAAAAAAAGCATTCCTTTTACCTTCACATAGTTGTACTCTAAGAGAATAAACAGTCCATCAGGAGATACTGAATAATCATTTATGGAGTATCCAAATCCATCCTGTCAATCAAGCAGAAAAAGAAAAATTGAGTAATTCCACTTAACTGCCTTTAATGAGCACTTATTATGGAGTGAATATGGCTCTAGACATGTGGTTGGTGTCTTATTTAAGTGGCCTGGAGGAGAATACTTTACCAAGTTTGAGACCACAAAAGGAATAAGGAAAAGGAATAAGATGCTTTCAGTTTGCCAGAAGAATTAAGGGGAAATAACAAATTTAGCTTGTTTAGTTTAGCTTATTTAGTTATTTAGCTAAATAACTAATTTATCTTGGGACTGAGTTTTAAATGCCTGCAGAAACCAACAAGCTATTGAGGCTTAGGTCTTGGGAGGAATTTGGTATAAAAAATGTGTATTTGAAAATCAGTGTCAGAACGGAAAACACTGATATTAGGAAGGACAGGGAATTGACTGCTGGAGAGCATGCAAAGTAAGGAAAGAAGCCAGCAAGTACAGACAGAACCCCAAAGAGCACTTACACTCAGAAGGATGGGCAGAACAGGAGGAATCGTCAAAGGAGTCTAAAGAGTAGACAAGGCAGGGAGCATTTCAAGGAGAGAAAGATCCACTGTGCCATATGCTGCAGAGAGAGTCCAACAGGATGAGAAATGATAGTACTCATGATTTGAAAGGTTATGAAAAAAAAAACAGAATTTTTAAGCCATGAATTAATTATGTGATTAGACATACAAGTGTACTGTTCTCCAAGAAAATGGAACTGTTTCCATATTCAGCATTGAATAGCAAGATATTATTTTCTTGTCTGTAGAGATATTCATGATCTAAAGAAAGAAAACGGTCAGATCAATATTTCAAGTTCTATCAAACGTGTTCATAAGATAAAAATTATGCAATGAAATTTAAGATCTATGTTCACACAGTGCTAAATAAACATTTCTAAGTCAACAAAACATTAAACAATGAATATTATATTAGTATTTATTCATTTTTCCATCATTACTGTCAAAATTCACATTGAACTTTTACAGTACATATCAAAGAAATACTAAGGTTTCTTTTTGTCTTATTTCCCCATGCTCCATAAGGTTTAAATAAAACCAAAGATACGGCTTCAATGCCTTAGGTGCCTCACAAACTAACTAGAATGGATACCTCTTGTCTCCCATCTCCAAATCCTTACCTGAAAACCATCGTAAGGTGTAGTATTTCAGTCTGTAAGTATTTTTCAAGTAATCAGCCAGAGTGTAGGTTGGGCGATTGTCAGCTGCTAGGAAAAAGAGAACCAAATGTTCAGTAAGATTAAATAACCTAAGTGTGGGATAAAATAAATAAATGCATTTCTACAATGTACACTGGCCATAAATGAAGAGAAATACACTCAAAAAAATAAAAAAAACCCACATTTTGAAAGATTTCTAACTGAGTGACTGGAGTAAATATGCATTTAGCACAAGGGACTATGGTGGCATACTATAGGTGCTTTTGTGAAGGGTGCACTATGGAGGTAACACCTAAAGAGGGGATCCTATACTCCCCAAAATACAATAATGTAAACCAACATTTCCTCAATTTAAAAGTGCATTGAATGTGTTGAGTAATTAAAGAACAGGTGAGCATGTACTAGATTCATGCTATGAGTGAGTTTCATCATGAAGTCTAGGTCATCAATGCCCAGTGGAAATATCACATGAGTGCATTTTCTAGTAGCCATATTTAAAAAAAAATATGGCAAAATTAATATTCATAGCATATTTTATTTCCCTGAATATATCCAAGATAATGTCATTTTGACATTGAATCCATATTTAAATGCAGTTAAGAGATCTTTCACTTTATTTTTCCCCCACACTATGTCTCTGAAGCAGTATATAGTTTATCATTAGAGCACATCACAGTTTCACTAGCACATGCCCGGTCAACAGGTGCATGTGGTTGTGTCATGGCCAGTACAAGGCTGGATCATACTCATGCAGCTACGGGGTCTACTTTCAAGCTCTGTCACACCACACTGACCCATTAAGACAGGCTAATCACCCAATGTGAGAATCTTTGTTTCTATCGTTGCTTCTGAAATACCTGGTTCTTCTGCTAACTCCCTATTATTATGTATTTTTTCCCTACTTTGGTGCTATATTTCTTCATTGACCTCTAAGGCAGATATGCCCTGATATTCAGTCTTCAGCTTTCTGCTCTTCTAATTTCTTCCTTCCAAAGAATTCCAGAGAATGTGACCTACTGGGCAGTAGACACATTTTCCATTTAAATAAATACAAAATCTGCAGTCATCATGTGAGCCTACATGTTCCCAACTCACATTTTCAGTGCTGTGTCGGGCATTCTTAGTTGATTTGTCCCATTCTAACCCTTTACTCACCGTATCTGAAATAATTGTCCTTTCAAAATAAATTTTCCTTAGGAAATTTATGTGCTGCTATATTCTGTTACTGGTGACCAAGCTGAAAGTCACAAAACCACTTTTGATGCCCCCCTCTCTTATCACCACTTCCATCCAGTCAATACTGTTGATTCTTCTTGTGAAGTCTGTTTTCCATGGAACCCTACCATCAGGTTTTCCCCATTCCAACCCTTCTACTATGCCACCACTGGAAGGCTTTGTCAAAAAAACTACTTTTACTCTGATGATGTCTTCTATGGAAGCTTTCGGTGGCTCCCCACTGCCCACAGGAAGATTCAAACTCAGCCTGGCACTTGTAACCTTCACCATCTGACATGCGATTCTCTTCAGGCTCATTTCTACTCTCTCCCTGCATGAAATTTCAAACCTAGCCACAGTGATCTGTCCACTAACCCAGCTGATCTTCTTGGACGTTTCCACCTCTGCTCCTTGTCTGAAACCACTTCCCTAAAGTATCTCCAACTACTTTCCTGGTACCACAATCCACCACCCTCCAACTCCCACCTCTTCAATTCTGTCTCTTCTGTCATTTGTTCCTACACTACTCATTTGATTCTTGTCATTAAGTGACTTGGGTTGATGACATATTTTTTATGCTTGCTTCTGTGGCCTTCCCAAGTAGGTCATGGCCTCATTAAAGGCAGGGCCTTGGATTTTTGTTTTGTTTTGTTGTGCATTGACCTGAGCACAGTTCTATGCACTCGAAGGTACAGGCACACATGTATGCACACACACACACACACACACACACACAGAGTTTTTGTTGTTTGACATAAGATATCCTACAAGCCTAACCAAGGTCAACGTGATTCTTCTTCCCTGTCCCAGAAACTTCACTGATGACAAACAGCCTCTTAAGTCTTTTTTCAAATTCTTTGCTTTTTCCATATGCACACAAAAATACACTCACAAAAATTAGCCACCATCATAACATTCCTGTAATGGCAGTTTTAATCTTTCAGGAATTGCAAAGCCAGCAGCCTCCTATTTTATGAACTTTTTATAACTTGTGGAAAGGAAATTCTCTTAAAGGAAATGTTCTTTCAAAAGATGTTCTTAAGACTCTATATCTTTGGATCTCATCTGATGTAACAATTGTTCTGCCTATGAAACTTTCAGTTTCAGTTGATGAAATTGCTACACCTTGTTTTTATTACTTTATTGAATTTATTTAAGCTTGTTAAATTTTTTAAAGGGGTATTTAATTTTTTTTTCAATTCTGTACTGCATTTCAATCTGACAGTTAGTAAGATGTTTCTGTTTACTAGCAGAAGTATAGCATGAGGGTAAAACCAGCCTTTGGATGTGTCAACATTCCAAAGAGAAGCAAAGTCTTATGCTATGGAAAATAGTGTTTGAAGCTCATACTGGATTACAAAACTGCAAATCTGAATTTGCTCACCACACACCCTCAATTGTTCATATTCATTCATTCATTGTTTCATACAAATAATTATAAGGAGAATTATATGACAATATTGTTGGTGGTATATATTCTGCTATTGAGAGTCTAAAATGGACATAAAACATCCTCAAATTAACACAATTTAAATGGATATAGACATTCATAATCCTAATATTATCTGCTAATGTTGATGTCTAGATAGACTGTAAGTATACTACAATTCACACACACATGAATATTGCAGTGGCCTGAATGCTTATGTTGCCCCTGGTAAATTCACATGTTGACAACCTAGCCCCCACTGAGATGGTATTAGGAGATGAAGCCTTTGGGCTGTGATTAAGTAATGAAGGTGAAGCCCTAATGAGTTGGATTCGTACCCTTTAAAAAGTGAACCCAGTGAGCTCTCTCACCCTTTCTGCCAAGTGAGGACAAAGGAACCTTAAAACCTCACCAGACATTAGACACTGAATGTGCTGTCACTTCACCCTCCAAAAGTGTGAGAAATAAATATTTGTTGTTCGAGTACCAGTCTATCATATTTCTGATATGGCAAATTGAATGGGCTAAAATACACACACACACACACACACACACACGCAATGCAAACATATATGTAGACATACATAAAAAATATGTAGACTATATATCACTGACTCGCTTTTATAAGTACTGCATTTCTATAATAGAACACATATGATGTTTTCTCATTTAAAAGCTATCTCACAGGGCCTCCCTGGTGGCTCAAGGGGTTAACACGCAACCTGTGAAACTGTCCATAGCTTCTACAGCATGAGTTCGATCCCTGGCCGCCCAGGGAGCAACCCACATGGCACAGCAGACCTCTCTTATCTCACCTGCTGCTCCCCTCAGCAATGTACTTCAGTTAATCTGTCTGTTCTGTTCCCCATTCTGTCTCTAGTGAATCCCCTCACCCCCTGCATCTCTGGTCTGTACCCCAGCTCTTGTATGCATAAATAAATAAATTTAAATAAATAAATAATAAATAAATAAATACATGCTATCTCACATAAGGGTATTTGCCCAGGATTTTCAGAACACTCTAAAATCTAGAATATTAAAATAATTGAGGCAGAATTCCCTGTGACTTCACCTGCAGCCCAGGGTGCTGCTCTTTTCATTCAAGATGCATTCCTTACTGAGCACTAACTTCTCTGCCCCCTCAGCTGTGGCTGAGCTCTTTCTGCCATCAGCCCACAGTTTTTCTAAACCCATCATCTCCACCACGTTTGCACTCCCTTCTGCTCCCAGTGGGTCCAGCATCATTGTGATCCATCTGCTGATGCTGCAGATTTCCACACTGATGTCACAGTCTTGCTATAGCCCAGGCTGTCCTTGAAGGTTCAGCCTTGGCTTGTGTTAAGCTCACTCAGCTCCTTTACAATGACCCTGCAAGCCAGGTTTCATATCCTGGCTACTCAATCCCAGAACAGCACTGCTAAATTGGAGCAAGTAGAGCAACAAATGTTCCTTGTTTTTTGCCTTGCCATTTGATAAGTAGTGCACATTGGAAGACACTTTTGAAACATCTAGATAAGCGAGTTCTGTGAGACATGAGTGCCAAGTCCAGGTTTTGACCTTTAGCAAGTTCATAGTTGGCTGCCAAGATACAACCTATTTTGTCAAACACTTAGGGGACACACTCACATTTCTTCTTTCTTGTCTACTCGCTCACTGATGGGGCACTGCTGTGGCAACAGATGAAGGTCTTTGGCTGCTTGTGTAGTTTTCCTGGTGGGCCTGGGACATGTCGTTCATTTGACTTATCAGTTCAAAGCATTGTGCTAGCCAAGTAAAGCAGCTAATCATATGTTACCCATCAGCTTATACAGAAACTCTTTGATTCGTGTCTTCTTTAATTTAAAAATCAGAAAAGGTAACTTGATACTTTTCTTCTTGGGTTAGAGCAAGTATTAGGTTGAAGCATGTGAAAATGACATGTTTACCAGACAAATATGGTAGGTTAATAACTTGAAATAGTTCCAACCTGCTAATACACTCACTGTGTATGGTATCTTAACAAATCCTTGCTGCAAGATCAAAATTTTTTTTGAATAAAAGTAATTCCAGAAAGGTAAAATCCAAGTAAGAGAGTAGTATAATTCCATGGAATAGCTTTGCATTGACCAATTGCTGCTTTATGAATATAGGATATTTTGAATATTTAAATAATTCTGAATAATAAATCTTTTTGCTTGTTATTAAGCTATGACATATAATATTTCTCTTTTACAAAGATAAACTGTTTTGGTAAATAAATGGCTAATGAAATCCAACTAAAAAGAAATGTGCTCTTTACAGCTCATAAACTCATAAAGTTGTTAAACACAGGAAAAAGATATCTGGTTATAGAGTTCTTGTGTTCCATATGGTAACCAGTTAACATTTTATATTGATGCTAAAGAAATAAGATGAGTGTTACTTT